TTTAAAATTGAAATTTTTTTTAAATTATTGAATTTCAATTGACAATGAATTAAAAATTTTGGAAAATAATTGAATTTCAATCGAAGTTTTGAAAAATAATTGAATTTTAGTTGATTTTGAATTAAAAATATGGAAAATAATTGAAATTAGTTGATTTTAAATTGAAAATTTGGAATAATTGAATTTCAGTTAATTTTAAATAGAAAATTTTGGAAAAAAAGTGAATTTTAGTTAATTTTAAATAGAAAAATTTGAAAATAATTGAAGTGTAGTTGATTTTTAATTGAAATTTTGGAAAATAATTGAAATTAGTTGATTGTAAATAGAAAATTTTTAAAATAATTGAATTTCAATTATAATTTTGGAAAATAATTGTATTTTAGTTAAATTTTAGTTGATTTTAAATTTAAATTTGGAAAATAATTGAAATTAGTTTATTTTAAATGGAAAATTATTAAAATAATTGAATTTCAATTATAATTTTGGAAAATAATTGTATTTTAGTTAAATTTTAGTTGATTTTAAATTTAAATTTGGAAAATAATTGAAATTAGTTTATTTTAAATGGAAAATTATTAAAATAATTGAATTTCAATTATAATTTTGGAAAATAATTGTATTTTAGTTAAATTTTAGTTGATTTTAAATTTAAATTTGGAAAATAATTGAAATTAGTTTATTTTAAATAGAATTGAATTTTAGTTGATTTTGAATTTATATTTGGAAAATAATTGAATTTTAGTTGATTTTGAATTTAAATTTGAAAAATAATTAAATTTTAGTTAATTTTGAATTGAACTTTTTGAAAAAAATGGAATTTTAATTAATTTTGAAAATAATTGAATTTTAGTTGATTTTGAATTTAAATTTGAAAAATAATTAAATTTTAGTTAATTTTGAATTGAACTTTTTGAAAAAAATGGAATTTTAATTAATTTTGAAAATAATTGAATTTTAGTTGATTTTGAATTGAAATTGTTGAAAAATAATTGAATTTTAATTGATTTTGAATTGAAATTTTTGCAAACAATTGAATTTTTTGTTGATTTTGAATTTAAATTTTTAGAGATAATTGAATTTCAAAAAATTTTAAATGAAAAATTTTTGAAATAATTAATTTTTACAACTTTTTAAATTGAAAATATTTTTAAAAATAATTGAATTTCAAAAGATATTGTGTTAAATTTCAGACAATAATTATAATAAGTGAAATTTCTAGTGATTTCCGTTTGATGAAGAATTTATTAAAAATCACATAAAAAAAATTGAATTCCAAAATTAAAAAAAAAAAAAATATCCAAAATAATTGAAATAAAGAAGATCTCTGCATTGTACACCAAAAAAAAAAACGTATTTTGTTTAAATATTTTGTTAAAAAAAAAAAAAAAAAAAATTCGAAAAAGTCTCATTTTATTAAAATAAGTCGAAAAAAGTCGGAAAAATTCAAAAAATGGTATAATTCGGGGCCTGTTGAATAAATAAAATTAATTTTGCAAAAAAAAAAAAAAATTATTTACCATCGTCCCAATCGAGTAACGATGGATCCTCCCACGTTTGTCCGCCAGCCATACGAATGATTTTCTTATTTTTCTTTCCCTTGCCCTTGGGATGGCATTCTTCGGCGCTTGCATTTGCCATAATTGAACTCGCTTTACCCTGACTAATAGCCAATTCGGCCGCTGTACTAACACCTTTTGCCTTTGGCTTACGTTTACCCTCATCGTCCGTTACTTTTGCATTAATAATATGTTCAATTATTTCGGGATGAATCATTTGCGGTGCTGGTGATTCATAAGATTTTGGATTACCCGTTAAACATGGATCAACAAGATTTGACATAAATGATGTGGAAATTTGCGCTGGCGACGAATAACTCGCAATTGGTACTGATCCTTTAAAAAAAAAAAAAAAAAAAAATTAATAATTAAAAAAAAATTTTATTTAATTCCTCCAATTTTGTAACTTTTTTTTTCTCAATTACAAATTATTAAATTAAATAATAAAATTTCAAAAAATTTACTTTTAAACATAAAATTAAAAAAATTATTATAATTCCAAATTTATATTAATAAATAAAATATATTTCCTACTATAACGTTACCAAAAAAAAAAAAAAAAAAAAAAAAAAAAAACACCAAAAATGATTAGAATTTTTCTACCAATGTAACAAAAATATTTGTTTAAAAATTTGAAAACGAATAAAATATTTGAAAAAAAAACGTAGTTTTTTTGGATAAAAGTTGATATCGTTTCTTTTGATAAAAATAAAATAAAAATTGTACTTTTTCCAATAAAAATTAAAATAAAAATTTTATTGTTTTTTTCGATAAAAATTAAAATTTACTGTTTTTTTTTTTTTAAATAAAAATTAAAATAAAAATTTCAGTTCTTTTTTTGTGATAAAAATTTTCATATTACCTTGTCTAGAGACTTGAGGGGGAATCATAATTGGAGGTGGCGGAGGCGGTGGAGGTGGGAATCCCATAATTTGAGAAAAAGCAACACCTGCTGCGGCGGCAACAACGGGATTTGGAATTTCATGTTGTTCAAGTTGTCGTGCAACTTGATTGTAAGTATTTGCACCAATTACAGGCCTCACCATTGGCGGAATCATTTGACCACCAATTTCAGCTTCAAATCTGCATTTTTTTTTTTTTTTTTTTTTTTTTTTTTTGAATGAAAAAAAACAAAAAACTTAATAAAAGAATAAAATTTCAATTTCTTTAATTTCCCCTCTTTAATTTTCACAACATTTTTTTGTATAAATTATATTATATTCATTAATTAAAAAAATAAAATTCTATTTTTAAATATCAAAATTTGTTATTTACTTTATCTTAATTATTATTATTAATCTTTAATTAATTAACCGAACATTTTATTTCGCCGCTCGAAATTAATTAATTAATATAAGATAAGATTTGTTTCTTCCTAATTTGTAAATTTTTTTGAGGCTTTTTAAAATATCATTCCTCGAGAATTTAATTTAATTAATTAGGCGAGAATAAATTTTATCTTTAATTAAGAAAGTGAAATAAATAATATTTATTTAATTAATAATTAATAATAAACTGTTAATAATTAATTAAAAAATTAAATTATTATTTAAATAATTTAAAATGAAATTAATGTTTAATTAATTAAATTAAAAAAATTAAATTATTAAATAAATAATAAAAATAATAATTATTAAATTAAATAATAATAATAATAATTATTATTATTATTAAATTAAAATTTAATTCAATTAGAATTAATAATAATTAATAATAAACAGTTAAAAATTAATATAAAAAATTAAATTATTATTTAAATAATTTAATGAAATTAATGTTTAATTAATTAAATTAAATAAATTGAATTATTAAATAAATAAATAAATAATAAAAATAATAATTATTAAATTAAATAATAATAATAATAATAATTATTAAATTACAATTTTATTCAATTAGAAAAAATTTATTTTCTGTTACTTAATTAATAGTTTTATTTTTAATTACGAACAATTTACGAAATTAAATATTAGTTAATGTTAATTTTTTTTTTTTTTTTGAATACGAAAATAAAAGAAAATTTTACAATCGAATAAGAAATAAATAAGTAAAAATTGTAGAGAATACAAAAAAAAAATAATATAGAAAATAACAAAAATATTTATTTTGTATATTTTAATTTATAGAAATTGACTTTACCGCAATTTATTAACATTTAATTAATCAATTAAATTAAGACAATATTTTTTTTTGTTATTTTATTATTATATATTTCACGCTGTCATTTATTTTATTTTAGTAATATTTTATTTACTTCTACAATAATTTTTGATTATATTTATATAATATTTTTAGTTATAGAAATTTCACGAAAATTTTTACTTTTTTTCGGAATAAAAACAAAACATTTTACTATATAATGGAATAAAAATTTGTATAAACTTAAAATAAAAAAAAAATAAATTACTAAAAAATAGAAATAAATTTTGCATTATAAATCGAAATGTTTTATAATATTTCATTGAAAATTATTTTCTTATAATTTTCGAACAAATTGCGTTTGAAATATGCGAATAAAAAATTTGAGGTTAGAAAAACTTACCGATTCATTTCGTCTTCCATTTGACGTAATTTCTCCTCCATTTTCGTCACTTTTTCTTTTTACACTTTCAATAAACGAATAGAATAAATTGAAAAAATTATACTTTAATAGTAAAACTAAATTTTCACTGAAAAAAACACTGGAGAAAAAGCGAAATTTTTTTGGTTACGTTGCAGGCGATCTACGACTTATATATACTGAGGCAAGTTCGATTTGTAGGCAACTATTTAAGGATTAGATACAACAATAAACTTCATTTACTAATAAAAAAAAAAAATTAAAAAATAATTAGTTACAATGGTCATAATTACAATAGAAATTGGTTTTTAATTACATTTTAATTAATGAGAAACACAAGGGGAAGACGGAGACGCTGAGTATACGACGCTGGGCGCATGCGCATTATTACAGCGCATGTCCACAAAACGGCGCTAAAATACAAATTTAAAAAAAAAATATTGCAATTATTTTGAAATCTATTTTAATAATTGCTAATTTAAAAAAAAGAAGTAAATTCTATTAAATATAAAGAAATAATTAAGATTCGACTGAAAAAAATCAAGAAGAGAGGAAATTTGCTACTGTAGGTTTTTGAAAACCTTGAGAAAATTATTATCAAAAACTTTGGTTTTTATTTTAATGATTATAAAATTATTAATATATTATTATATTGTAATATTTTGCAATTATTTAATTCAATTTTAACGTATTTTGCCATAGAAAAAATAAAAAAAAAAAAATTTAATTTTCTAATGTTGCCTATACTGGGCAATTGATTGCGCTGACGTGTAGTTGCAAAATAAAGATAGCATACATAACCTTAAAATTAATAAAATGTCAAAAAAAATTCGACAAAGTATTTTTATTATTTTTGCGTTTATTTTCGCATTAATAAACAATGTTTATTCAAATGAATCTGAAGAATTATCAACAGATTTATATGTTATTGAGGGAAAAGTGTTTCCATGGGAAAATGCTGGTAATTCAGGTTGGCAATTAATGACACACGTCATGGCAAACGGAGGTGAAAATTATGGATTTTTAAGGTGAGTTTTTTTATTTTATACTTTTAGGTCGAGAAAATAAAATGAGAATTTCATTAATTTTTAATAAATATTCTTATTTAAGTTAGTTTTAATTATGGAAATTTTATAAAAATTATTTTTTTTTAACGAAACCTAACCTTCAAATTTTACGAATTTTTTTATTTATATAATAATATTTAGATTGTTGAATTTTCTTTCCTTTTACATGTCATAACGAAAGAGAAATTTTTTTTTCGCAACTTTATATAAATTTTTTTTTCCTTTATTGAATAAAAATTAATTTATTTAATTTTAAAAGTAAATTTTTTAAATTCAAAATTTTTAAATTTAATTTAATTTTGAAATTAAATAAATATTGGAATTAAATTTTTTTTTATTTATAATTAATTTAATTTTATAAGGAAATTTGTTAAATTTTAAATTAATTTAATTTTCAAATTAAATAAATATTAGAATTACATTTTTTTTATTTATAATTAATTTAATTTTGTAAGGAAATTTGTTAAATTTTAAATTAATTTAATTTTGTAAGCAAAATTTTTTAAATTTTAAATTAATTTAATTTTGTAAGCAAAATTTTTTAAATTGGAAATTAATTTAATTTTGTAAGCAAAATTTTTTAAATTTAAAATTAATTTAATTTTGTAAGTAAATTTGTTAAATTTAAAATTAATTTAATTTTATCAGTAATTTATTTAATTTTATTAAATAATAATAATAAATAATAAAAATTTTTATTTTATATTATTTTATTATTAAAAAAAAATTCATTAATTTAATGTTAAAATTACATTTTTTTTAAATTAATTTTAATTTTGTAATGTAAATTTTTTTTAAATTTGAAATTATTAAATTTTTTAAAATTTCAAGTTAATAAAATTGTAAATTGCAAATTTTTATTTAAAATTTTTCTTTTCAGAGAGGATGGAACATTTATTATTTCAAACGTTCCATCGGGTTCGTATGTTATTGAAGTTGTAAATCCAAATTATTTATATGAACCAGTACGCGTTGAAATTAATTCAAAGGGCAAATTTCGTGCCCGAAAGGTAAATTTAATTCAAACATCGCAAGTTATTCAAGTGCCATATCCATTGAAAATGCGATCAATTTCGCCATTTAAATATTTCCAAGTACGCGAAGAATGGAGAGTCACTGATTTTCTCTTCAATCCAATGGTGAGAATATAAAAAAAAATTTTAATTAATTAATTAATTGAAAAAAAATTTAATTAAAAAAAAAACACAATTTTTTCCCCTAAAAATAATTTTATAAAATTATTAACAAATAATTAATTATTAATTAATTGTTAATAATTTTTGAAATTATTTTTTTTATTATTTTTTTAAAATAATTAATTAATAATTAATTGTTATAATTATTATTTAAAAATAATTTTATAAAATAATTTTTTCTCACTTCTACTTCAAAAATAGAAATTAAATAAATATTTTCTTTTTTTTGACCTCTAAAATACTAATTTTTTTTTAGCAAATTAAATTTTTTTCCCCTCTCAATTAATCGTCGATTTTTTTTCTCTTTTTATTCAAGGTTCTCATGATGATTTTACCATTAATTTTAATAATGATTCTCCCGAAAATAATGAACGATCCAGAAACAAGAAAGGTGAGAATTATTTAATTAACTATTAATTTTATAATTCAAATATATTTTTGTTTTTTTTTTCCTTAAAAATATTTAATTTATTTTCCCTTTCTTTCAGGAAATGGAACAATTAAATAATTTGACAATTTACAATTTACCTGAAGTATCAGAAGTTTTAACGACTTATCTCTCAGGTGGTGAGAAACAAAAAACAAAAGCCGTAAAAGCGGCTAAAAAACGTCAATGATAATTTCGCAAATTAGAAATATTTTGCGATTCTAGTCTTTAAAATGTATTTTTTCCATTTATTATTTTTTTTTCCTTTTTTTTTTGTTACATTCTCTAAAATAATTCATAACCGAGGAATTTTCATTTTCTTTTCTTTTTTCGTATCTCTTTTTCCTTAAATAATTTATAGTCGAATTTTACATTAACGGTAAAATTTAATCAACAATTGACCAAAAAAAAAACAAAAAAAAATGTAAATATTGTCGGTAGATAGAATTTTACACGCGAATTTCCTTGTTTTTCTCTTTCTTTTTTGTTATCTATTTTTTATTCTTTCGATTTATTTTTAGATTTTTTTTCTGTGGAAAATTTAATAATTAAATGTATTTAGTAAATTTACTGATTTATTTTCTCAAAAAAGAAAAAATCATTTAAATGGCATTTTTTAGCGAATTAATTCCATAATAATAATTATTTTGGTAAGTAGGAAAAGATCTCATTTGGGGTGTTTTGATTTTTTTTTTTTTTTTTAGTCCATTATTCCTGTTTGACTTTTAAAAATTGTTCGCAATTTCAATGAATTTGTATTATTTAAGTAATTTGAAAAAAATTTCTATCACCTACGAAAAATGTATTTCGAATTAATTTAAACAGATTTTGCAAATTTGTTAATAAATTGTTAATAATAAAAAATAATAAGTTTTTACAGGATTTGATTTGTTTATTTTTCCTTTCTTTTCCTTTATTTTAATTTTAAAATAAATTAATAGAAAAAAAAGGAATCTGATATATATTGTCAACATGTTGTTCACAGCGGGTGAAATGGCTTAGAATAAAAGAAATTTCTTTTTTTTTTTTAAAAAAAGAACGATCGCCACCGAAGTTAGTGGGAAATATTCACGTTTCCGAGAATTGAAAAATTCGAACTTATCTCTTCAATGAAACGACGTGCGTGGGCTTTCTTTTCGGTAAATGATCAAACAAGAATGAATTATTATTTTTCAAAAAGTGAATTTGAAAATTTTTCATTTAATACAAAAACAAAATGAAAGTTAATAATTTAAAAATCATTAAAAAGAAAAGGGGAGATAAAAAAGAAATAACAAAAATTATAAAACATTTCATAAATATATTTAAAAAAATAATTTTCAACCCGAGTTTATTGATATTACCGACGGTCGGCAACGAACTGTGTCGATAATACAAAACTTCTCAATCGATAAGATAGTTTTTCTAAATAATTTCTCAAATTAAAAAAAAAACCGATTCTTTTCAAAAATAGTACCCTTAAAATATATTTTAATGCATTTTGTATATTTCTATATATATATGACATAAGAAATCTTTCATTCTTGGAAGTGATTTGAGTCCTTGAATGAAAGTTTCGTCATAAGGCCCTCCACTTGGGTTTGTGAATGGGCCATATATACGAGGGGCCCCAATTGGCGGGAACTCAGTGATTCTTAGAACTTAAACGACCAGATGAAAGTTACATGCATCCGTTATGTTCTTTTTTTCACTATATATACATATTGAATATCTTTCAAATGATTCACCCTGATCGACATTTTTTTTTCTCTCTTTTGTGTCTCTCGATCGACTTTCGGTGCTCGATAATTACGCTTTTGTTTTTTAATAAAACTATTTACAAATTAAAAAAAAAATTTTTAATTTTTTAATAAAATTTTAAATTGCAATTTTTAAAATTGAGATTTGTAATTTATATTATCTCAAAATATTCTTAACTAATTTATTTTTTAAAAATCTTGTACAAAAATAAAATAAAAATGTCGAAAATTAATTTTTAAAAATCAAAAATATACGTAAAAACCTTAAAAAGGTATATAGGATACGAGAGTCCTATAAATATAACGCATATACGGCACAGGTTCAAATGAATCGTTTAAAAGAAATACAGAATGAAAAATGTGTCCGGTTGAGATACGCCGCTTATTCATATATATATAGAATATAAATTGAGAGAAAAAAAAGATGCAAAATAAGAATATAGTCATTATAATGGCGCCCGACAAAGAAATTATATACCACATCAAGAGTGTCAAGTGTGTTACATTGACTTTAAATCGCGGCATTTTTATAATAGACAAATTATCAACGCATATATATTATGATATTGATATATAATTCGTGCATGCAAATATATTTAGTAGAAATTAGTGAGAAAGGTTTAAAATCTAAATATTTACCTCCCAAGATTACCAGATGTGTGGTCGCGGGTATATCCTATTCCTTTCTAAATCATATTACACTTTGAATTTTAAATTAACTACTTCCTGTCTTTTTTTAATCATCACTTTGAATCGCTTTCCGAAACTTCCTAATATATGTATATACTGAATTTAAAGTTATATATTGTGTTTGTTATTTTTGATCGCACCCGTGTTTATTTACTTTAACTTTTAATAATAAAAAACTGTTTCTCAATTGATAAATAAAATAGTTAAGGATATTTTAATTTGACAATATAAGAATTTTCTAAATTTAAAAAATACATTCACGGAAAAAAGGACTGTTTGCCCAAAAGAGTTTCCATACAAAAATTTAATATTTTATACGATCAAAGTGAATCTGTTGTTTTAATTAATTTTGGTAATTATTCATCATTAATATAAAACAAACCTTTTTTTAAAAAAACCACTTCACTTTTTCTTATATCCTCTTTCATGTCCGTAGTCATTAAAATACTTCTTTTTTTTAATCCTCCATTGTTTTATAATTTTATTTCGTTAATGTTATTTATTATTCATCATTAATATAAAACAACCTTTTCTTAAACCACTTCACTTTTTTCTTATATCCTCTTTTGTGTCCATAGTCATCTGAAACAAAAAAAACAATAAGTTAAAAATGATATCTATAATGCATATTTAAAATAAAGTCTGCTAACTCAAAATTCGGTTAAATAAAAATATCCCTAATGGGAAAATTTAAACGAACTACAAATGTACTTTGTTAAATTATTTTTACACGAGGAATAAATAATTTGAATATTTGTGTATTTCTTTAAATTTTACTCCTCTTTTTTTACACAAATATATACATAAAATATCATCTCTCTGAAATCCCTTCCACGATACAGGTACCCCTCTAAAATCTTTCCAGACTCCCTTCCTCGTTGGCCAATTTATTTCTCCTATAGCTTTTCGATCACATAAATGAGAGTGTTATATTCAGAATTCACTCTTTTCTCTCGCAACTCTTCTTCAAATTACTCAATAATCGAAATTTATTTTGTAACTCATATAAATTTCAACAAAAAAAATTACAATTTCATTCAATGAAATTGTTGAGAGTCACAAAAAAGGTCAAATGACGTGCACGGAGAATTTCCAGGAAGCGGTGACTCGATCTTCGAGACCCATTGCTGATGGCGATTTTCGTGAATCATCATTTCTCTTCGCTGCTGCTGCAGAAGAGCCGTCGGTGAATGTTGTGCTGGACCATTCCATTTTTTCACCAACAGTTTTCAGTGAACCATTAGACAGTGAGGAAGTTGCAAAGAATGTTTATCATTATTTTGATTATCAATATCAATCATCAAAATGGAAAAGAACCACCATAAGTTTAAATGAAAATAACAATAAGAATGAATTAGGTGATGATCATAATTATTGTTTGGGAAAAAGTGAGAATGATATGCACGCTGAAGTGGAATTTTCATCATCGGAGGGGGGTGAAATAGTGGAGATTTTGAATTTAGACGAAATTCAAATTAGTGATGAAAGAATCAGTGAAAAAAGTGAACATATAAATAATGTCAATGAGAGTGAAGGTTCATCATCTAATTTTCATGAAGATGATAATGAAGAGAAGAAGGAACACAACGAGGCTGTTTTTGTACCATCAGGTTGGATGCCTTTTCAATATATCGAAAAATTAATATCAATTTTACAACTTCTACTTTATAAAAAATACCTTTTCTCGTTTCAATTTCCCTCAAAAAATTAGAAAATTTAATATGAAAAATTTTTGTATAGGTTTTTTGCAAATAATTTAAAATTCCAGATCCCTCTGAATGGAATTCGAGTCATGTGACCTCGTGGTTATCGTGGTGTATTGGTGCATTTTCCATTGAACCCGTTCCAATTTTATCCGAATTGCCAAAATCTGGCAAAGAACTGTTAGAATTAACACTGAGTCATTGGGAAAAAATTCCTGGCGGTAAAATTCTTGCTCGACATCTTGGTCATCTTAGACTACAGGCGACGGGTGTGCGAAATGATGCTCTTCTTCAAGAGGAACATATTTCCGGTGAGTTTCGATATTTATTTTTACAAAATTCGAAAAACACAATTTTCTAATATAAAAACAGGTGAATAAAAATATTTATTTAAGATGAAATAAATTATATTTTTTTAATGGTAAAAATTTCGGATCATAAATCTGAAAATTGAATTAATTCAATTTTGAGATTTTTAATTCGGAGGATGGATGAGATTGACTTAATGCTATATGCTAGGGTTTAATAGAGGTTTTATATTGAATCGTTTTATTTCAAACTAAAGTGACCGGAAGAAGCTAAAAGTTCCCCTGGGGGTTGACCTCTTACCTTATCAGGCGCGTTTAACGAGAGGCGATCCATTTTCGATAAGGAGCAGACCGCGTCCAAGGAAACGTATAATATATCTTTATCCTCGTTAAATTTCAATCACATAAAACATAAAAAAGATTTTTGTTTTATTTATTATAAAAAAAATTACGTTTAATTTTTTAATTAAATTTTGAATTTCTATTCTACCCTCTATCTTTGAAAAAAATTGAATTTTTATTTTACGCTCAACTCGTATATTTGAAATCGCAATTCTCTCGGTCTATATAATGGACGAAAGTCCCAGGGCTTTATATCAATGAAACTTTTTCATTGGACTTTCAAATCGTTTTCTTTTTTCTTCCTTCTATCAATTGAAAAAAAGTATTTTTACGAAAAAATGGCTTATTATATATATATATACTAGAAGGGGAAAAAAGTTTATTTGATTTAAATAAAGTTTAATTAATCTATTTTGATAAAATAGCTATTCCCACAATGGAAAGAAGGCATCATAACCTAAAAATTTAGGTAATTTTTAGGGTACTTCCACAGTAGAAACGACAACATAACCTTTAAATTTAGGTCATTTTAGGGTGTATCCACAATAGAAAGCCTCGAAATTAGTTCAAGGGGCGAAAAGTTATCTTAAAATTTAATTGTTTTAAATAAAAAATTTTCTTAGCCATTATGTGCATTAAAAATTAATGTATTATTGAATTTAATTTTAATTATTGGAAATGCAGAAAGAAACAGAAAATTTTTGTGAATTTCTCTCTCTCTTGCTCTCTTGACACTCACTAAGCTGGGAAGATTTATAGTGAGTTTGAATAAAGCTGTAGGTATTCTATTCTCCCCTCCGTCGTTTATTAAACGAATCAGTGTTATCGCGGTGAGAGTTCACTCATGAATAAACCATCGAGTGTTTGGGTATACATATAGCATATAGCGCGCCTGAATGCCGGCAATACGGTGTCTCTCGGGGTGAAGAGGGTTGCTGGCCTTACACCCAGCATCCGGTAAATGGTCCAGCGCCTGTACCAGAGAGGTACGGTATATATGTATGTATATATATATAAGCTCTCTCACCACGGGGCGCGACTATATTGTTTTCTTGATGAGCATGAAACATCCCCCCCTCTTGACATATTCTTATAGCTCTCTTACTCTTCAGAGAGGAGATAATTTTCTCACTTCACCTTTTCGTATATATATATATATAACATTTCAAAATCTTTGCTTCGTCATAAAAAAATTGTATTATTCATATATATACAATTGGCAGATAAATATATGATATTAATTTAATTTATTTAAAAATAAAAATCAAACAGTTTATTAATTTATTAACAAAAAAAAATAAATAAAATTTTTATTAATAAAAATTAATTATTACCAAAAAATTAACTGTAGAAAAATTTTAATGACGTGAAGAAAATAATTTTTTTATAGTAAGAGAGATGATATATAACTGAAGAAAGGGACCTAACAACCAAAAAAATATAGGTTATGTTTCTTATAGTTTGATTAAGGCTGAGTCTATATATACAATTGTCGCTTTATGTCGTGTTAACATAAGAACCCAGTTTGTATAGACATAGCCTAAAAGTTTTCCTAAGTTTAATCTTGTGAGATCAAAGATCATTATTTATTATTCATCATTAATATAAAACAAACCTTTTTTTAAACCGCTTCACTTTTTCTTATATCCTTTTTCGCGTTCATACAGTCGCATCTGAAATAAAAATATAATTTTTTAATGTCACAATATATTTAAAAAAAATTCAAAAATTATGTAGATTTAATTGGATAAACTTCTGTTTTTAATTATGTTTACAATTAAAAATTTATTTTAATTTTAAAAAATTAATTTATAAAAAATAAAAAATAGTAAGTCTGAAAAAAATGTAATAAAATATTCACTTTTTTTATATGGAATTGGAAATATTTATTTTCGATGTTATTAAAATTCTGAAATGAAAATTCTATTTTAATTTAATTCTCTAAAAAACAAAGAAGAGAATCTTTTTTGGACACCTCTTGTTGGCAAAAGCAGAGGGATTGGGGGTGGAAGAATGGTGGGGGCAATAAGGGCTGAAATCACCGGGTCAAAGGTCTCTCAGTTTCACACTAGCAACCACCAACTGCGAACGATTTCCCTTATTAAATGTTTTTTGGTAGTTATTGAAAAAAAAAAATTTCTCTCCACAAGAATCAAGTTTTCTTTATAAAAAATATTTTTTTGAAAATAATTTTTTTATTTTATTTAAAATATTTGAAATTTTTATTTTTAAAAAACGTCAGTAAAAATTGTATCAAAAAATAGTGCTGATATATACAAAATACCTTCTTATGAGAATGTAAAAAAGTCAAAAAAAAAAATGAATAGAAATAAAAATATGAAATAGTGAATTTACAATTTATTTAAAATAGAAAGCTAAATATTTATATATTACTGTGATTTTTTCGGTGATAGTGTTTTTTTTTGTTTTACAAATTTTTTTTTGAAAAATGGCGCTTTTTATTGGTGGAATTTGGTGTCGAGAAGCCGGATTTCAAGTTCTCGGTAAAAAGCAATGGCCGATTTCAAGGCAATTTGTCCGCAATGGCGGCGTCGATCATTTGGCATTCCTAAAGGTTCGCGAAATATTATTTTTCTAAATAAAAACAAATTTCATGAATACAATACAATTAATATATATAATATAATATTAATAAATATATTAATATTATATTAATATATATTGAAATACTATTCATTATACTAAGCGGGAGGGTTTTTTTTTTTTTTTTTTTTGAAAAAAGATCGTCACTCGAGGGGCTGCAAATAATTTTTTATGATCGACAAGCACGTTATGTGGAGGATACAAACCCACCCCTTACACCTTCAACAAGATTCCAGATTACATCCTTCAACTGCGGCAATATTTTACAATGGTACACATTTTTTTTTTTAATGAATGAAAATTTTTCATATACTTTTCATAGGGGGAAAATATAAAAAAAAAAAAAATTTATTCATGTAATTTTTAAAATTAGTTTAAAATTATCGTAAAAAGAATTCTTAAGATAAACTGAAATTTTAGAAAAAATCTGTAATTAAAGTTGTTTTGGTATACATGAATAATTGAGTTGAAACTAAAAATATAAATTTCTCAAAAATAGAAAAAAAAGGGGGGGGAAGGTGGTCCATGGTCATCAAGATCGATGGCGAGGGGGGAGAAGGTGTTTTTTATTTCTCTGAAGAACCTTCCTATCAGTTAAATATATATATATACTTGTTTCTGTGAATTTTAGAAAGGTTCAGCCTCCTTCAACGCACGTGTTCTCTGATTGGTTCAACTGGAGGCAGTAGTTCGGGGGCGGTCGGAGGCGGACAAGTTCAACTTTGGCAATTCCTTCTCGAGCTACTCTCCGATTCGTCAAACTCCTCCTGTATTGCATGGGAGGGCTCAAACGGTGAATTCAAGCTCACTGATCCTGATGAAGTGGCACGCCGTTGGGGAGAGCGCAAGAGCAAACCCAATATGAATTATGATAAACTTTCGAGAGCTCTCAGGTATGTTAAACATACTCTTAAATATACGTCTTTTTCATGTAATTAAATTTTAATTTAACATATAAGTCTTCCACAAATCAAATAAATAATTATTAATTTAGCTGTATTTCATCATACCTGCACTAATTGGTTGCAATATTTTTTGCTTTAAATTAAACTTGAGTGAAACCTGATCAAATTCGTTCAGAGATTGATTGATGCTAATCTGCCAGGGATGCAAAGTGGTCAAAAAACCATGTTCGTTCCAAGAATGTTCTTAAATTTTTTTGGGAACGTTTCATATGTCAGCCAAAAAATGTACTAGAACATATTATTTGAACATCCATATTCTTAAAATGTTTGAGAACATTATTTGGCGGACATGAAACGTTTTTAAAATGAACATGGTTTTTTGCCCACTGGATAGGAACTTTTTTATTTGAGAAAAATAAATATATAGGACCTTTTAAATTTTGGGAATTATTAAAAGTTCAATATATACTGTTATGCTGAGGAAAAAAAAATTAAATAGGAACAAATTAATTGCAGATACTACTATGATAAAAATATAATGACAAAAGTTCATGGCAAAAGATATGCCTATAAATTTGATTTTCACGGATTAATGTTGGCGTGTCAGACCCAAGCTGGTGTTACACTGGAGTCAACAGGAACACCTCGTGGAACTGGATCGACGACAAATTGTCATCAATATCATTCACATCATTTATTCCCTAGTGGATCAACGTCTCAACATTCACAACCACCATCACATCAACCACCACCACCGCCACATTATTGTTGGCCTTATCATCGATTTTCATCGCCTACTTAAAAAAAATATGGAATCATTTTTGTTTTTAAATACCCTTAAATTTTATATCCATAATAATGGTAAAACTTGAAATTAATGATTGCAAATAATATGATTCCTTAATATGATCGGTGCTATTAGGGCTTTTAATAAATGTAAAATTTTAGTTCCACTGATGATAAACATATACTTATAAAGAACTTTTTTATAATATATAAGAAAAGAAATTATTGTATAAGTCGCATTGTAAATAATTTTTGTGTAAGTTTCTAATAAAGTGTAAAAAAAATTATATATGTGGGTATTTTTATGGGTAAAAAGGGGTCGAATTTTTATTTATTCAAATTATTATTTTGCAGACTTTTTATCAAAACGATTTTTCTATATTACAGAATTTTTATATAACTGGAAATTCACCTTACAGAATTTTTATTTGTCAAAATTTATATTTACTCGAATTTTCATTTAACATATAAAACGCATTTTAAAGAATTTTTAGTGTGTATAGAATTGCATTGCATAGAATTTTTATTTTATTCTTTCAGATGAATTTTCATTTGTTCGAATTATTATTTGATATAATTTCCATAAAAACCGATTTTTTTACTGAATTTTTAACCGAAAAATCATTTAACAGAATTTCTAATTGATAAAAAATTTTCATTTGTCCGAAATTTCAAATGACAGAAACAACAATCGATTTTGGCGCGATTTTTAAATTATCAACTAATCAAAAAATTATCCAAAAAATTATGTGATTGGTTGATTTTAAAAATCGCTCCAAAATCGACTGTTGTTTCGGTCATTTTCAATTTCGGACAAATATCAATTAGAAATTCTGTTAAATGATTTTTCGGTTAAAAATTCAGCAGAAAAATCGGTTTTTATGGAAATTATATCAAATAATAATTCGAACAAATGAAAATTCATTTGAAAGAATAAAATAAAAATTCCATATGCAATATGCAATTCGAAAATTTTACACCATTCGAAAGAACAGAAAAAAACCTTTCGAATTTTTTTCACCCTTTTTATAAAATAGTTTTGATTTTTCAAAAAATCCAATAACATAACCTCAAAACTGAAAAACGTTTTTTAACGCAAACAAAACTTTAATGAAAATTAATTTCAAACAATTTCAGAAGATATTACACTTTTCCGAAATTTATTATGTTGAATTAAAATCTTTTGATAAATTATTTTATTATTTATAATATTATTATTATTATTTCTTTAACATTTTGACTTTTTTCCTTCTGTTTAGAGAAAAATTGCAATTTTTATATTATTTTATTCAGGTGATTAACATTTACAAATCGTAAACTTTTTTTAATTATTAAAAGTACGTTATTGTTAAAAATTATAAATACAAATTTTATTTATTAAATAATTTTTTAAAGTACTTTTAACAATTGAAAAAAGTTTACGACTGTAGAAAATGTTTCATTGAATATAATAAAAATTTTTTATAAAAATTAAAATTTTTGTCTAAAGCTGAAAAAAGTCAAAATGTTAAAAAAAAAATAATAATAATATAATTTATCAAAAGATTTTAACTCAACATAATTTTTTCCAAAAATTGTTTAACTATATCTTCTAAAATTGTTTGAAATTAATTTTTTTTTTAAAATTTTGTTTGCGTTAAAAAACATTTTTCAGTTTTGAGGTTATGTTAGAGCCGGACCACTCGCGTAAACATAACAGTAATTTAATTTATGGGAAAACATTTTTGAATTATATAGCTCAATTTCAAAAATTTGAAATGACTTCCAATTTTTTGGAGAAGTCTTCATTTTTATGTCATTCACCTTTTATTTTTATAAAATATAAATAAAAAATATTTTACCTCTTAGATGATTCGATCTTCTTCGTAAAGTTAGGTGAAAAATGATGAGAACCGCCTTTTTTAATCGCAGTACACATGCGCGAGAAAATTCAAAACTGTAACTTTCGGTTCTTTAAATTTTAAGCTGCTTCTACAATGCTTCTTTTAATTATAAATAGAAATTTACTTAAAATTTAAAATTAAAGGCTTTTTTTTATAAAAAAAAAACAATTCAAAAAATTTACTGACGTATAATTAAATTACTATATATTGTAGAAAATACAAAAAATTCATATTTTCTTTTAATTCTAATCATTCGTTTCTTTAAATTGCTCGATTTTTGTACAAAAATCCTTGTGATTATTCCAATCTTTCACCTGACACTCTCTGGAAAAAATATACAAATTTTCTATTTAATTAAAAAAGAAAAATTTGAAAACTGAAATTTTCCAAAAGTAATTTTTTAAACGATCTAAATCGTTTTAATTTGAAAATTCTCTTGAATTGTTTTTAAAATATGTAAAAATTACATCCTTTTTTTTCTCAAATTTTGAAAATGGTGTCTAAATTATTTTTTTTTTAACTCACCTATCACAATACCAAGCCTCTTTACATTTTGAGCAACGTTTTTTCGCTGTATTCTTACAAAGAAAACATTTTTTTCCATCAACAATGTCAAGTTTATTCATATCGTATGATTCACTTAAAATTTGCGCTGTCGCTTTAATTTCATCAATATTTTTTGTAAAAAGAGTTTTCGACTGATTTTTAGCCAATTTCTTCCATTTTTTATTATGTTTATCCATAATTGTGGATCTTATCTAAAGTAATAGTGAAATAGAAGAAAAATGATATTTAAAAATCGCGCCTTTTGTGAACGCACCTTAAGATGTGTGCATCTTAAACGTAGAGTGGGAGAAGCAGGGTTGTGTAGTTACGCGTAATTTCGAAGCATTTTATTGTAAAACGTGCAATTTTGAAAAGAAATTAAATTTTTTTTTTAAAACTTACCTCGGGTATCATTTCGACGTTTATAGGTCGTTGGGCATTGGAAGCTTGAGAAGTTACGTTTAAATAACTCAACCATTTTCTTAAATCCAAAAGTGGTGGAATTTGATCCAATACATGTTCGTGTAAAAATTTCTGTAACTAATTTTTTTTTGTTTTGTCTGTTATTCCATAATTTTTTGAATAGTCATATGTTAAGCACTTTGTAGAAAGGGATACAAGAAGCAAAAAATTATAGGTTATGTTTATGATCGTTCGAAGTAAAAATACACAGAAACTTTTAAATGCGGTACAACAATCATAAACATAACCTATAAATTTTTGCTTCTTCTGCCTTTCTTCAGAGGGCGAGAAACAAAATATTTGTTTTAATTTTTTTTCTATTATTTTTTCAAATTAAATTTTTGAGAAAAAATTGTTACCTTGAGAAACTGTGAAAGACGAAACTCGGTAATTTCATAATAAGGGGCACAATTTGGATTTAAGAGAATTTCCCGTAAACCAAACCAAACTTGACCTTCGGTTTTGCAAATTTTATCCTCCTCGGAGAAATTGACTTTCTCCCATTTTCCATCGTAACAAAATTTCTCACCTGACGATATGTTTTTTCATTATTTTTTTTAACGTTTTCAATTAATAATTTTTTATTTGAAAATGCTTTTATATTAACAAAAAAAGAGGAAAAAAAGTAAAAATTTTTTTTGAATAAATAAAAATTCAAACTCTGAAGAAAGGGAACTGAGAAACAAAAAATTAGAGGTTATGTTTATGATTGTTTGATATCTTGATCAAAAGTTTCTTTTTAATTATAAAAAATTAAAACATATATTGTATATTATTATTCTTTTTATTTCAGATAACTATGGATACGAAAGAGGATATAAGAAAAAGTGAAGCGGTTTTTAAAAAAAAGGTTTGTTTTATATTAATGATGAATAATAAATAATGATTTTTGATCTCACAAAATCAAAAATAGTAACTGTTAGGTTACGTTGACAATAGGCTTAGCCATCTTTCTTCAGAAAATGCGTCACATAAAATAATAATTATTAAAATAAAATAATTATAAATAAATTATAAATTCATAATTAATTAAAAATTTTTTTTTAAGTACCGTTAATTAATTTTGTCCATGGTTTCGATTCGATGAGTTGACACAATAAATATGGTAAATCGTGAGTGCACAGCATTCGTGACAGTGCACAAAGTGGAAGATTATTCGCGAATTCTGATAAATAACGTAAAATTGAAATACACTTTATTCCAATGTCAAATTCCAATTCGGACCATTTTTCCAATAATTCTTGTAAACATGAGGAACTAAAAAAATTTCAAAAAAAAGCGAAAATAACAAAAATTTTTTAATGGAAATATTTTCTTTCATAATTTTTGAAAATTCTTAAATTTATTTTTATTTTTTCAAATATAATTTAGTAATTTAAAGAAAGTAAATTATTTTAATTAATAATAATAAAAAAAACCTTACGTTCTGTCATTAATTTCTAATTCTTGTTTCTTGCCAAATAAAAGATGAGTAATATTATTGATTGCATAATCAATTAGATCGAGAATACAATCGTCAATTGTTTCAATTGTTTCCGAATGATAGAGAACATTTTCCAATAGAGAAACCGCGAGTTCCTCATGATAAAAAACACTAAATAAAATAAATGTATTTGATGGTTCCTCATTTATTTCGATTAACATTGGAAATACTTTGTGTTTCCAAATTTCAATTTGTATTGCCTCGTAAATTAAAACGGGTATCTGAAAATTATTATTATAGAAAAAAAGAAAAAAAAAGGAAAAGAGACACGCAAAAGATATAAAAAAAAGTGAAGCGGTTTAAAAAAAAAAGTTTGTTTAATATTAATGATGAATAATAATGATTTTTAGTCTCACAAAATTAAAATAAGCATTTTACTCCCTTAGGTTGGAGAAAAAAATGTTATTTTACACTCGACAATTGCAAAAAATACTATTTTACTCCCTCGTGTGGGAAAAATTAATCTATTTTCTCTTGTTTATTAAAGTAATTTATTTATTGAAAAATTAATTATTTAGAAATAAATAATTAATTATAATTGGGAAAAAAATTATTAAATAATTAATTAGAAGTAAATTATTTTTATAGATAATTAATATTAATTGAAAATAAATAATTAATTGATTTAAGTAAAAAAAAATGAATTAAGCTGAAATAAATAATTAATAAATTAGGCATTAAACATACTTTTTGAAAAGTGATGAACAATTCTTTAACGCTTTCCTCTCTCATTGAACTAATTTCCAAAACACTTTGCTGATTAAGAAGCATCAACACTTTGTGATGTTCAAACCATCTGGAAATTTTTTTTTCTTTTTACCAAAAATTAAAAAAAAAAACAAAAATAATTAAATTTTTAAAAAAATTTATATTTGTTAATTTACCGTTTTGTTCCAAATTCTTCCAACGGAAGTGCTTGAAAATGTTCAATAAAAGCTTCCGTTTCCCAAGGCGAGAGAATTGTTTCCATATTTTCTGCCATGACGCGCGTTTACTCCACCATTTGTAAACAAATCTTTCATCACATTTGGTAACTAAGAATGCTTCAGATCATTTAAAAATTAAATTTGAATAAAAAAAAATTTTTTAATTTGATAAAAAGAAAATTAAATGAAAAGAAAATAAAAAAAAATTTCGTAAACAGAAAACCGAATTTTCAATGGTAGATTAAAATAAATAAATTAATAAATAAATAATAATAATAATAATAATAATAATAATAATAATATCTAATAATAATAATATCTAGTAATAATAATAATATTAATAAAATACATATATAAAATAAATATTCAATAAATTCAAAATTTTCCAGAGTCATTAATTGAATTAATTAAAATTCAAATAAAAATAATTCCAAAAGAAACCAAAATTTTAATTGTTAAAATAAATTAAATAAAATATATTTTAGAAAAATATCTCTAGAAATAAATTTTTCAAAAATTAAATTACCAACTTTTGTAATTGATAATTTCTTGTTTAGTTTCTTGTATAAATAAAGAAAGAAAAATTCTATTTAATTCCAGAGGGAATAATATAAACTAAAAATAAAATTCTACAATTTAAAAAGTCAGTTTATTAAAATTTGATTATTTTAAATTCTTTTTATTTCCTTTTTCTTTCTTTTCTTTGTTTTCTTTTTTTTGAAAAAAAAGGATTCACTGTAAAATGTGAAAATTTATTCGTTGTGTGTATTTAAAAAATGTATAAAAAAAAAATTAATTCTATTACTTACGAATTTTTCGAATTATTATATATTTACAGATAAAAAAAAAGGGGGGGGGAGAAAAAAACAAAATCTTCAAACGTGTGAAGATTCATCTCCAGAATCGGCAGCCATTGCTTCACGATTTTCGTACGCCCAAAATCCATGGAATTCAATTAAGATACTGACCATTGTGTCGCCTTGTCCGCTATTTTAAAAATTAATTTTTCAAATGTAAGAAAATAATTTCTAATTTGATAGAATTTTCATTTGTCCGAACATGCAAATGACCGAAACAACAATCGATATTGGCGCGATTTTTAAATTATCAACCAATCAAAAAAATTATCCATAAAATTATGATTGGTTGATAATTTAAAAATCGCGCCAAAATCGATTGTTGTTTCGGTCATTTGCAATTTCGGACAAATGAAAATTCTATCAATTAGAAATTTTGTTAAATAATTTTTCGGTTAAAAATTCAGCAAAAAAAAAAATCGGTTTTTATGGAAATTATATCAAATAATAATTCGAACAAATGAAAATTCATCTGATAAAATTAAAATTGAAAATTCTATGCAATGAAATTCTAGCCAATAAAAATTCTTTAAAATGCCTATATTATGTTAAATTGAAAATTCGAGTAAATAAAAATTCTGTGAAGTGAATTTTTGATTATTAAAAAAAATTGTGAAATATAGAAAATCGTTTTGATGAAAATTCTCCAAAATACTAATTTGAATAAATAAAAAATTCGGCTCAAAAATAATTATTGACAAATGAAATTCTGTAAAATAAAAATTATAATTAATAATTTTTAGAACATAATCATGCGTTTCAAAATTTTTCAAAATTTCAGGGATATAAAAAATTTTATTTTCTAAATATAAAAAAAAAAATATTCATATTTTTCCTTACCACGAGAGAAGATCCTGTAGTGTTATTTTAGAAGGATCGGCCGGCTTCACCATATCGAAAATTTCATCTTTAACATCTGCAAACGTCACAGGCTCCTGTCCATGCATTGACATTTGTTCCTGAATTGCCTAGAAAAAAAAAATTAAATTGAAAAATTAATTTAAATTGCAAAAAGTATTATTTTACTTTCCAGGGTTAAAAAAAAAATTAACATATTTTCTCTTTTGGGGAATTTTTTTGAAAATAGAAAAATTAATTAAAAATAAATTTTGCAATTAATTGAATAAAAAAATAAATAATTAATTAATAATAAATAACAATAACTAATAAATAATAATAATAATAATAAATCATAGTGAATAATAATTAAATAATTTTATATTCGTACTTACACGAAAGAAATAATTAAGGCAAAATGTATCCAAATATCCAGTATTATTAATATCCAAAATTCGAAAAAGATAATGTAAACTTTGTGGTTCATGACGATTCTCCAGTGCAAGAACAAAGTCCAAATATGTTTTATAGTCCATTTCTCCCTCATAGGTAAGGCATTCTTGAAAAACGCGTTCCAAAAAAACTCCAGTTAACGTTCCTGTTCCATATCTAATAGAAAAATAAATTTTTCTTTTTAATTTTCGTTGGAAATTAAAGAAGTAAAATTAAAATATATATTAAATTTTGAATAATTATCGAATTTTTTTTTCCCCATTTTTCTAAATTTGATAACTAAAAATCATTTAATTTAAATACCCGGAAAGTTCTTCTTTATTCAACATTCCATTATGATCACGATCAAGATTAAGATATTGTCCATAAACTTTGAGTGCCGATGGCGCTGAAAACCAATTTGCCTCCTGTAAATCCTTTGGTAAATCCTCATCTCTCAATTCAAGAAGATCATCGAGAAAACTACACGCCAATATATCCTGTATACGAACACGTCCCGTTCTCAATGGATCCAAAAAAAAGAGAAATTTACGCACCGCCGTACACACATAAAATGAATGAAACGATTTTTCCAAACCCTCAAGTTGCGGTAAAGTTGGAATTAATTCTAAAATATAATTTTCTAAATCCTAAAAATGAAAAATGAAAAAAATTAAAAACAGAATTAAAGAATTAAATTAAGAGAATTAAGAATTAAATTAAATTAAAATTAAAAACTAAAACTAAATAAAAAGAAAATTTAATTTTTTGAAATTTTACAAAATTCTTTCCTCCAAATTTATTTTGCAAAAAAACTAATTCTTCGAAAATTCAATTTAAACATTTTTTTTTTCTTTTTTAAATTAATAATAAATATTGAAATATATTTTTCCCAAAAAAAATTTCCCAAACATTTTAATTTTTCATTAATATTATTAATAATTAAATAATATTATTTGTAAATTTAAAAATTTTTATTACATTTTTTTTTTTCAATAAATTAATAGAATTAAAAAGAAGAATTCAAAAAAAAAAAAAATAATAAATAAAATGAAAAAGAATAATAATTATTACCGATTCTCGAAGATAACCCTGACCAGTGACATCGTATAATGAAAGTCCAATTCTCGTTTGATGTAGCCAAACTTTTCTCATTACATAATTAAATAATGCCATTATACTAACGCGACCATGTGGATCGCCTTGTTGTAATTTTGCAAATACAACAGCCGTAAAATATAAACTACATTTTTGTCCAGCGAGTTTGCCAACTTTTTTAAAATCTTCATAATTTATTAATTGTTCATCGCCTGATAATGGTGGACTATGATGTTTATCAAGTAATACCCATAGTGCTTTTAATTCATTATTGTCCAATAATTGTCGTGATCTTCTTTGTAAAAAAAGTGCACGCGTTTCTTCACGTAATTTTTGCGGTAAAATTTCGTCATCTTTTGGCAACTAATTGAAAAAAAAAAAATTATTTATTTATCAATTTTATTAAATTTTTATTTAAATATTTAAATTATTATTTATTTATTTAAATTAAAATAATAAATAATAATTAATAATTAATAATAATAAAAATTTATTTAACAATTTTATTAAATTTTTATTTATTTATTTAAATTGAAATAATAAAAAATAATTAGTAATTAATAATAATAATAATAATAATAATAATAATAATAATAATTTAAAATAGTAAATTAATTTTTTAAACTGCGTAAAAAAATTTTTAAATAAAATTTACAACAAATAAACAACAAATGGAATTAAAAAACAGTTTCAATAATTAAATTTTTATTTATATTTGTTTTAATTAAAATTATTTTAATTATTTTAATTAAAATAATAATTAATAATAAATAATTAATAATTAATAATAATAAAAAATTTATTCAACTTTTCATTTAATTTTTTTTTATTTATTATTATTTATTTATTATTAAAATTTTTTTACTTTTTTTTTTTAGTTATTTAGTTTTTTATTATTATTATTATTATATTTAATTTTGAAAATTCAAAAATTTTTTTTTTTAAATCTAAATAAAATTCTATGAAATTTTTAAAAATTTGAAAATAAAAAATTTTTTTTGTCTACCTTAAAGTAGAATTTTGGAATAATTTTGTAAGTAACATCTTTGTCCTTAACATCAGTTCCTTTCCATTTTTTATAGATATTTCGAAAATTTTCATCTTCTTGTCTATTATTTTCTTCGGCTATTTCGTCCGCTGTAAAAAAAATAATAATTAAAACAAAAAAAAAAAAAATTAAATTACATATAAAAAACTAAAAATTACAGAAACAAAAATTCAAAAATTAAAAATTATACAAAAAAAAACCCGCAAAATAAATTAAAAAAAAAAACAAATATTTTCTTTCAAAACTTTTTTTCCGACAATTTTTTATTTTTTTATTTTTTTATTTTTTTATTTTCAGTAATAAAGTAAAAATTAATAAAATTAATAAATAATAATAATAATAATAATATTTATAATATATTATATTATTATTATTATTATTATATATATTTTTTTATTTTATTTATATAATAATAATAATTAATAAAAATGGAAAATAAGAAATAAAAATTCGAATTGCAAATTATACGAAAAAAATGCGAAATAAAATTAAAGAACAAAAATTTAATTCGCATAATTTCCGAAATTATTTTTTCGAAAAATTTTTGTTTCCTTTTTATTTTTTTTTTTTTTTGCAGTAATAAAGAAAGAAAAGACAATAAAAAAAAATTAATAAAAAATTCGAATCGAAAATTATACGAAAAAAAGGCGAAATAAATTATTATAGATTAAAAAAGAAATATTTTTCCTAACCTCCAAAACTTTTTTTTTACGAAATTCTTTTTTTTCACAGTAATAAATAAAATAAAAACAATTTAATGAAGATAAAATAAAAAAAATAAATTCCAAAAAAGTCGAATTGAAAGTTATTTACGAAAAATACGCGAAATAAATTAGATTAAAAAACAAATATTTCGAAACTTTTTTTCTCAAAAATTGTTTATTTTTTTTTTTTTTTGCAGTTATGAATAAAGTACTAAATAGTAAAAAATAAAACAAATAATAAAGAAAAAAGTGTTTTTCTATTAGAAAACTAATAATGTTTTTAAAAAAACATTATACTCAGTATAGTTTAAAATTAAAAATTTGGAGAAAAAATTCTAACCTATAAATTAAACTAAATTTTTCATTAAATAAATTTTCAATTATATATTTATATATATATTTTGTATGTAAATTTCACTTACATTTGTTGACGAGAGAACATTTTTGTAATAAATTTGACAGCTCCATTCGAAATATTTCACTAGGTTAGGTTCTCCTGTGTTTACATTTTCTTGCGATCAGGGTTGAGAAACTATTGAACAAAAAAAAAAAAAATAATTATCAAACCCCAGTGTTGAGTAGGAAACAGCGCGACTTTTTACCCGTCACATTTTGGAGGTTCCTTCTCAAACCATTTAATTTTAGAAACATTCCCAACCCTGTCCAATTAAAATTTTTACCTCTTTTTATTAAAAAAAAAAAAGAATAATAATTAAACAGTTTTAAATTAAAATTGTCATTTTTAATCTAAAGCTAAATAGAAAAATTATATTCTCCTTTGTTATTGTATAAATAAGAAAATTTGTCTTTTTTTAACACATATATAGCAGACGACAGTGCATAAATTTGTGATTCGAATATTCGCAATTTAAAAAAAAGAATTATAATTTTTTTTCGAAAAAAAAAATGAAGCTTTTGACGCATAATATGTTGACATCCAAGTGTTTGAAAGGTGTTTCTGTTGGATATCCTCTTGCAATTGTGGTAAAAGAAAATATTTATTTTTTAACTAACCTCTCTGTCTCTCTTGCACGCATTGATTTTTTCCTCCATTTTTTCTTATATTTATAAATTTCGTCGGGGGAAAATTATTTTTTTTTCTGAATTAATAGTAAAATTTAATGAATGTTAAAAAAATTGTCGAATTAAATTATTATTGATTTTAATTTTTTTTCGAAATTTCATTTATTTTACATTCGTTTTAATATTTCGATTTTTAGGTTAGGATTTCCGAAAATAAATTGTTATAATTGTTTGTTTAAAAATTTATTGTTAATTTAGAAAAATGATTTGTTTTTTTTTTTTTTTTTTTGATTTCTGAAGAATAATGAAAGAAAATATGGAAACATAAAAATATTTTCTTTAATTTTCAGGCAAAAGATATTAAACTTTGCGAAGTTGATTTCAATTCAGAATTTATCGTTCGAATTATTCCAAAATTAGATTGGACAGCACTTTGGAAAGCAGCAGAAAGTGTAAGTTTCGAAATTTCCCCCTTCAAAAAAAAAACAAAAAAAACAAAAAAAAACAAAAAAAAGGGACGAAAAGAAACAAAAAATTAATTAAATTCAAAAAATTTGCTCTAAAATACAAAAAAAGATAAAATAAAATTAATAAATTAAAAAAACAATAAAAGTAATTTCAAAAATTTTGAAGAATTAAAAAAATTAATAAAGAAGAAAATAAAAATTAAATAAAATAAAAAATTTGCTCTAAAATACAAGAAAATAAAATAAAAGTTAATTAACAATTAAAAAAAGACAAAAAAATATATTTTTTTTTGAAAAGACGAGAAATAAAATTAATATTTTAAAGAAACAAATAATAAATATAATTTGAAAATTAATTTAGAAAAATTAAAAAAAATAATAAAAATAGATTTGGTAATTTAAAGTAATAAATTTTTTTTTAAATAAAAATTAAAATACAATTATTTAAAAAAAAAAATAAAAGTAATTTCAAAATTTTTGATGAATTAAAATAAAATAATAAAGAAGAAAATAAAAATTAAATAAAATAAAAAATTTGCTCTAAAATACAAAAAAAAAAAATAAAATAAAAGTTAATTAACAATTAAAACAAGACAAAAATATATATTTTTTTTTTTTTGAAAAGACGAAAAATAAAATTAATATTTTAAAGAAACAAAGAATAAATATAATTTGAAAATTAATCTAGAAAAACTAAAAAAATTAATTAATTAATAATTATAATAATAAATAAATTAATTAATTATTATAATAATAAATTAATTAATTAATAATTACAATAATAAATAAATCAATTAATAATTATAATTTAAATAATTTAAATTCTTATATAATAATTCTTATAATAATTCTTAGAATCTTATTATAATAAAAATAATTTTCAAAAATTACAGATAGGACACGTGGGTGAATTACCACAAATTCTCGTCGATGATTTTGAGTCAAATGAAGATTTTTTGAAAAAAGTCCATCACATTTTAATGGAAGTTGAAGTAATAAATGGCGTACTTTTGTGCCCGGAAACAGGAAGAAAATTTCCAATAACCGATGGAATTCCAAATATGTTACTCAATGAGGACGAAGTTTAAATTTAAAAAAAAAAAAAGAAAAATTCCATTTTTTCATTTTAAATATCAACAATTTGCATTTTATCACTCATTTGCTTAAATAAAAAAAAATATATATGTACAAAATGAAAGAAGTTATAGATTTTTTTCAATTTTTGAAAAAAAAAACTCAATCGAAGAAAAAAAAAATTAATTTAAAAAAAAACGAAAAGTTTTCAAATTTCCCTCAATTATTGTAAATTCTTGACAAAAGAAAAAACATGGAAATATTTTCAAATTCATTTTTTCTTGAAATAATAAAATTTCTAAATTAGGGGAGGAAAAAAAAGAGAATTTGATTTGAAATCTTTTTTTTTCCGAAATAATAAATCTATTTTCTAAATTAGGAAAAAAAAGGGGGAATTTAATTTGAAAATATGTTTTTCGAATTAATAAATCTAGTTTCCAAAATTAGGGAAAAAAGAGAATTTGATTAGAAAAAAAATTTTTTTTTTTCCTAAATTACGAATTAAGGAAAATTTTTCAAAGAATTTTTATTTTTACATTTGCATAGGCTTAGATTTTTTATTTATCTCCATTTAAAATGCAAAAATTTATTTATTGTAAAATAAATTTAATAGAATTTTTTTTTTTTTTTTTATTTGTTGAAGATTTATTAGATTTTAAGGATACGACCAATCGATGTATTGTGGATAGTCGCTAATTTTTAAGGTAAAAAAAAGGAAAAAAAAAAGAAAAAAACTCTGTACAATTAGAAAATTTTGTCATTATGTTTTGAATATTAACATATAAATAGAATGAGAAAAAATATATATATGTATACATAATAATTTTTTGTTTTTAATAAAAAAAAATAATAATAATAATAATAATATACAAATTTTGTGTATTTTTTTTCCTTTACGCATTTTTTTGGTAAATATTTATTATAATATTAGAATTTTTATTTTAAAAAAATTTTTTATTAAAAATATGTAAATCTTTTGAAAAAATTATAAATTATAAATTGACGATTTAAATAAACATCAAAAGATTATAATTTATTACTAAATAATTTTTTTTTTTTTTTTGACGAATTTTCATTTTTCGAATTAGAATTTGAAAAAATTTCTCTTTATACGAATTTTTATTTATTCGAATTAGTATTTTGCAGAATTTTCAATTAAAACGATTTTCTATATTATAGAATTTTTATTTAACCGAAAATTAATTTCGCAGAATTTTTTCATTTGTTCGAATTTTTATTTACTTGAATTTTCAATTTAACATAATATAGAAATTTTAGAAGAATTTTCATTGGCCAGAATTTTATTGCATAAAATTTTCATTTTAATTTATTTTTCAAATGAATTTTCATTTTAATTTTTTCAGTTGAATTTTCATTTCTTCGAATTATTATTTGATCTGAATTTTTCATAAAAATCGATTTTTCTGCGATGAATTTTTAATCGAAAAATCATTTAACAGAATCTTTTTAATTGATGGAAATTTTCATTTGTCCGAAATTTCAAATCGCCGAAACAATAATTGATTTTGGCGCGATTTTTAAATTATCAACCAATCAAAAATTATTATCCATAAAAATTGTGATTGGTTGATAATTTAAAAATCGCGCCAAAATCGATTATTGTTTCAATCATTTTAAATTTCGGACAAATGAAAATTTCTATCAAATTAAAAAATTCTTGTTAAATGATTTTTCGATTAAAAATTCATCGCAGAAAAATCAGTTTTTTATGGAAATTATATTAAATAAAAATTCGAACAAATAATGAAGTGAATTTTCGATTATAATAAAAAAAAATGCTTGTAATATAGAAAATCGTTTTAAAATTGAAAATTCTGCAAAATATTAATTTGAATAAATAAAAAATTCGGCAAAAAAAAAAAAAAATAATAATTATGACAAATGAAATTTCATAAAATGAAAAATTCTAACAATTTTTAGAACAAAAAAAAATTCTGAATTTTATTAAATTAAAATATTTGATAAAATTAAAATTCTTTTAAATAAAAAATCGCATGTAAAGAAAAATTATAAAAATGGTTTTTTTGTATTTTGATTTTTTCTTTTTCTTTTCACCTAAAATAATAAAAGAGAGAAAAACAATTTTTTATGGATTAATTTTTATTGCACAGATATGTATATAGGTACAATAATAGATATACATTAGGTTTTTTTTTTTTTTGGTTTTCTTTCTTTATTCACACTGGACTATTTTCTATGAATATTTTTTTTGTTTTTTAGTTTTTTTTTTTTTTTAAGAATGTTAGTAATTAATTTCATAGGGGATTACAATTTGCCTTTTGGATTAATTATTATTTAATATTGTTTGGCGGTTCGGATTTTTTTTTATAGTAGTACTTTAAGAGCGATTATCTAAATATATATATATCTGTTTTTATTTTTATTTATAATTTTCAATATTATTGTGTCGTTTTATATTTTCAAATATAGTTATATATTTTTATATATATATATATGGCAAAATATTATGTTGAAGAGTGAGAAAAATAGTCAATTTTCTAGGGAATTATTTTTATAATAATAATAATAATAATAATAATAATTGAAACATTGTTCGAGGTTTTATGTTTAATATAATAATTTAACAAGCTAAATAACGCTTTAACAAAAAAATTTGTTCCTTCAAATCGTAATTAAACACAAAAACAATTTTTCTCCAAAACTATTTTTATATTTTACTTTTTTTAACATAAATTTTTTCACCATAACTTTTTTTTATATTATTTATTAATTTTACGTAAATAAATCTTATTTTAATATTATTATTTTTTGTATAATTTTTTTTTCTCTATTTTTTTTTTAAATTATAAAAAAAATTGTTTAAAAGAAATAATTACAAAAATTGATTTTAAAAATGAATTCAAATTTTTTGGGTATTTTCAACAAAAAAAATTCAAAACGTAGCCAAAAAATTATTAAATTATTTTCACTTCCAGAGAATTACGATTTGAATGAACAAATTTAACGAGCGACAATTTCTTACTATTAACAAATAATAGTAATATTAAATAATGATAATAATTCTACGTCACAAAACAAAAACAATGACAATTACAAGACTAACGAGCACGAGATTCTTAAAAATTATTTCCTATAAAATAGATTTTAGTTCTTGATGCAAATTAATTTTTAAAAAAATGGTTTTTATACATTTAAAGGGAGTTAGAAATTAGTTTAAAAAAAAAAAAACATTTGGATATTTTCAAAAAAATGTTTGTGATTTCAAAAAAAAGTTCAATGGATAAAATTGTTTTGGATCCGAAGAAAACAATTTTTTATAGAAAAAAAAAGGGGAGAGAAATTGAAATTTTATTTTCCTATTGTTTTAATAGATCAATACCTAAAAAATATAGTGAAAATATATTCATATTTCATCCTCCGTAAGTTTTTTTTTTTTTTCTTTTTTCGAGTCAAAAAGCTATAAAAATAGCTCTCAACTAATCAGCCACAGCCGTTTTATTTTTTTATCTATGCAATTTTTTTTTTGTATTTTTTAATTATTATTTATTATTTATGTTTATATTCACATAGTAAGTAGTATTTTTTTGTTTTTTTTTTTTTTTTTTCTTTAAAGGCAGGAATATTTTGGATTGAAGCTATGAAAATACATCTGTACATCGATTTATCTATGGCACATAATTAATTAAGATTAATTAATATATATATATATATATAGTTCTACGATTGTTTTTTTTTATTTTTATTTTTTCAATATCGAGTATATTTTTATATAGACAAAAACCTTTATTTTTCATATTGACAAAATTTTTCCGAAAAAGAAAATTTTTCCCGAAAAAAAATATTTTCGTTTAAAATAAATATTTAAATTAATAAATAAAATTAAAAGTAGAAAATTTTCAAAATGGGGAAAAAAATGGATTTTTATTGTTTTTTTTGTTCCCTACGAAATTAAAAAAAAAAAACTATTTTCAAATACAATTTTTAACTATTTTTGTAATAAAAGAAAAAAATTTAATTTGAAAACAAAAATTCGGTTATTTTTTTTATACTTGAAAAAAAAAAAGGAAAATTTCTTTATGAAATATTAAAATCAACCGTCGTCGCGTTAATTATTAATAATAATTTGTAATTTATTAAAAAAAATTTCAAATTTTTTAAGTCGCACTTTTTTTTCCATTGCAATGGATAATAAAGGTTTTTGCTACATTTTTTTTTTAGAGAATTCTTTTTTTTTTTTTTTGGTTTTCGTTACTTTAATGGAAATATTGAGAAAGGCTTTTATTTTTTTTTTTTCTTTTGTTACACCTATTAAGCAATTTTTCCTTTATGTACGCATTTTTTTTTTATTAAATTAACATCACAAATGTTTAATACTGCCTTGAGGGAAATCTAATTGAGTTTTTTTTTTTTTTTTTTTTTTATTTTCTATTTTCTATTAATTATTATTATCCCCCGGGGGAATTATTAAATCTAAGTTTGAAAGAAAAATAGAAAATAATATTTTTCAAATATATTCATTTAAAAAAAATAAAATTAAATCCCTTTTTTAGTTATTTTTTTTTAAATAGTTAAATAAAAGTGACTAGAATTATTATTTGAAAGTTAAGATTTTTCTTCTGTTTTTCATTCTTTGTTGGGAATGTTTGAATATTCACTGAGAGAAAAAACTAGACGAAACACTACACGATTTACTATTAATTATCTATTAATTATCTATTAATTAATAATTAATAATTAATATTTAATAATTAATATAATTATTGATTAATACTTAATAATCAGTTTCTACGTCATTTGTTTTTTTTTTTTTGTTTTTTTTTAAATCTTTTTTTCTTTTTTTTTTTTTTTTTTTAAAGAGAGAGATATGTCGCAGACGGAAAAGTTTTGTCTCGGTTTAAAGTGGCGATTGACTAGCACTCTATTATTTATAATAATAACATTAAAATTGAAAACATCTACATTTTTTTTTTCTTTTTCTGAGAGAGAAAGTCGCCAAAAATTAAACACTTTTCATCATTCTTTTTTTTTCTCTTTTCTTTTCTTTTTTTTTCTGGAAATTCAAAAGGAACTTTTTCATTTGATTAACGGTCAAGTTCTCCCTTCAATCTTTAAATTACAATCAACAATTAAAATATTATCTGCTGATAATAATAATAATAATGGTAATAATAATAATAATAATAATAATAAAAATTTTAAATAGTAATAGTAATAATAGTAATAATAGTAATAATAGTAATAATAGTAATAATAATAATAATAATAATAATAATAATAATAATTTAAAATAGTAAATTAATTTTTTTAAACTGCGTAAAAAAATTTTTAAATAAAATTTACAACAAATAAACAACAAATGGAATTAAAAAACAGTTTCAATAAAATTAACAATTAAAAAAAGAATTTAAAATATTTTTTCTAACATTAAGAAAATATTTGATCATAATAATAATAGTAATAATAATAATAATAATTATAATAAATAAATAAATAAATAAATAAAATATATTCTAGAATTAAATTTTTGAATTGCGAAAAAAATTTGAAAAATAAAAATAAAGTTTAGAAATTAAAATGTTGAAAATTGAAATTGTCAATAAATTTTTGAAATAAAATTTAGAAATTAAAATTTTGCAAAATTCAAATTATTGTCAATAAATTTTTGAATTAAAATTTTGCAAAATTCAAATTATTGTCAATAAATTTTTGAATTAAAATTTTGCAAAATTCAAATTATTGTCAATAAATTTTTGAATTAAAATTTAGAAATTAAAATTTTGAAAATTGAAATTATTTTTAATAAATTTCAAAATAATTTGTAAATAATATTTAAAAAAATAAATGAAAAATTAAAAAATTTTTTTTTTTGACTGAAACTTATTTGCAAATGGAAAAAATGAAAAATCAGAAAAAACACGAATTTCATTTACCACGACTCTCAATATTGGCAACATTTCTTTGTGAATAAATTGAACCTTGAGCTAATCCACGAATTGGACCTTTTCTTAATTCTAAATTTGGCCCTTTTGCAAGACAATTATTATTACCATTAACAAGTGATGAATCACGGCCAACTGCTGATGACATTGAATAGGATTTTTTTGATAAAAGACCAGGATTTGGTCCCGACCATGGAGCATAATCTGGTCTGAAAAAAAATTATTAGTTTTTTTATTTTCTTTCTTTTTTTCTATATTTTTCAAATCCTTTGTTTCACAAAATTTTTTTTAGGCAAAATTACTTTTTTATTTTCTTTAAAACCCGTGTATAAATAAATATTCTGTTATTTAATATTTATTCAAAAAAAAGGCAAAAACAATTTTTTTTTAACAAAAAATGAATAAAAAAAAAATTCAAATATTTATTAATTTTTTTTTTGAAAATATTTTTAAAATGGAAATATTAATTTAATTAATTAATTTAAAATATTAATTTTGTTGTCAATTTTTTTTCCTTTTTTGAAGGTTTAATTTTTATTTTGGAAATTTTTTTTGTAATTTTTTTGCAATTTTTTATTTTTATATTTTTAAAATAAATATTTATATTTTATTTTATACGTAATTTTTAAAAGAAAATTAAAAAAAAATAATTCTTTTTTCAATTCTTTGACAAAAAATTTAAAATAAAAAACTATTTTTGAAAATATTTTCTGTTTTTTTCCATAGTTTTAAAATGATGGAAATATAAAAAAAAAAGGAAAAAAAAGGGCGGAAAAATAGAGAAAAACTTACAGAAGCAAATCGTTATCGGCACCATGAGGCAAATCTGTATTTGGTCCAGATGGTTTTGACCGATAAGGCGATTGATATTCATTATCTTCAGTAGTGCTTGTTCCTCTAGAAACTCTGCAAAAAAAAAAAAAAACAATGATTTTATTTTTCCCAAATTAAAAATATTTTACAGTTAATTTTTATTTAAAAATATTAATTAAAAATTCTTTTTAATATAAAAAAAAAGTAAAATAACATTTGTTAATTTAATAAAAAAAATCCTAAAATTATTTAATTAATTAGTTAATTAATAGTTAATTTAACAAAAGAAAAAATGTAATTTAATATTTTTATTTAAATTTTCTATTTTCTTATTTTTTGTATAAATATTCATAAACGGAAAAAATTACCAAAAGGAAAAAAAAAATATATATACTTACTTGGGTGTTTCAATTTTTGTTTTCGATCTTTTACATTTTTCATTATCATTTTCCTTGTGAATTTTCTTGAGTGGTGAAGCGGTTAATTTAATTGCTTCCGTAATGGGCGGACTATCTTTTCTATCGTCACTTCGGCTACTGCTAATTAACGAAAAAAAAAAATTTTCAAAATTTGAAAATCTTCTGTTATATTAAGATAACAAATTTCGAAAAACGACACCGACCCCGTGACCTCGACACCGTCCTTGAAAAATCTATTTTCAATTATTTTCAAATAAATCAAAATACTTTGCATATATGCTTTTAGAAAATCTTACAAACTATTTTTATGTAACATCTTTTTTCAATTTTATCCCGAAAAAGGGTTATTTTGCAATTTTTTAAGAATTTTTTGATTTTTTCAATTTTTTATTATTATTTTTTATTATTTATTGTTGTTTTTTCAATTTTTAGTTAGTAACCTATAGTATTGTGTCTAATTTTAAGTGTCATTAAGTCAAATGTTTTTAACTTAATAATTTTAACATTTCTTAATTTAAAACGAAACATCTTCTATTATATTAAGTTAACAAATTTCGAAAAACGACACCGACCCCGTGACCTCGACAGCGTTCTTGAAAAATATATTTTCAATTATTTTCAAATAAATCAAAATACTTTGCATATATGCTTTTAGAAAATCTTACAAACTATTTTTATGTAACATCTTTTTTCAATTTTAAGATAAATTTTATACAATATTAATAAGATATTAATTTAAAACATAAATTATATATATAATATACATAAACTACAATAAGTAAACAACAATAAGTACAATTTTAACTGAGCGAGCGAGGAATACATCGCTAGTACAAAAATTAAATTCACAAAATAGTTGAATTTCTTTTTATACGAATTTTTAAATAAAAAAAAAATTTTTCTAATTGGCCCCTTTGAAAAAAAGAAAATTGTGCAAAATTTAAATTTAATAAAATGTATTATCATAAAAATTGAAAGATTAATTTTTGTAATTTGTTTTGAATAAATTTGATTTTTTCTTTTTTTTTGAAAAAAATTTATTAACAAACCTTTGACTACTGGAAGTATTGAGCGGTCGAATTGCTTCTTCAGCTACCATTATATCTAAAATATGCGAAGCTCTCTCCTCATCATAATCAACGCTGTCCATTGCTAATAAAATCACTCTCTCTGGCACGGATTTGAATTTATCCATTAGACGATCTTTCACTTTAATAATAAAAAAAAATAATAATAATAATTAATAAATACTAAAAATAATAAATAAATAATAATAACTAATAAATAATATTTAAAAAGAAAATGTTTTTTTTTTCGTGTCGAAATATTCAATTTTTGTATTAATTTCGAAAAAAAACATTATTATTTAATTATTTTTAATAAATAGGACAATTTTGTTGAAAATTATTTTTTTTATAATTATTTAAAAAAAATTCTCTAAATCTTACTTTTATTTTTCTCCTCGAAACTTTTCATTCGCGGTGGTGGCGTTGGTATTGGCCGCAAATTTTCCACCTGAAATACAGAGGAATAAAATTTTTTTCTATTTTTCCTAAGCTAAAATTTTTGAAATTTTTTTGCGTTTTTATTTATTTGCGAAAAAAAATTTTTATCTTCCGTATTCAAAAAATTCGGACAATTTTCTAAGCTTTTATTTCATTTTATTTTACAAATGAAAATATTAATACTAAAAAATACTAAAATAATAATAATAATAATAATAAAATTCTATTTTCAAGTTTTATTTAAAAAAAAAAAAAACGAAATTTTTGTAAATAATATTTTCTTAGGAAAAAAAAAGGACCAACTTACTTTTTCTTCCTTTGGCTTGGAACTATTTTTATTTGGACCAGTGGGATTTTTCTTCTCATAGCCCAATTCAATGAGTTTTTCCGATGCTTTTTGAACATTATTATCGCTTTGCTCTAACATGTCAAGTAAAATAGTCTCGTCAACTTTTGGAAAAACATTTTTCAGGTACCTATTTCAATTGAGGAATAAAGAAAATTAATTTTTAAAAGTCCTCTTTTTTTTATACCTTCTAATATTCATATCACAATTCTAATGATTAAAAATTCTCTAATCATTGCTATTAGAACAATACAATAATTTCATAATGCTTCTACATCTAGATATACATATATTAAAAATAAAAAAAATTTTTTGAAGAATAAAAAAAAAATGTAGAAAATATACAAATATTATTCACAAAAAAAAACATTAATTTTCTACTCAAGATGCAATATTTAGAAAAAAAAGGATTTTTCTGTAAATAAAAAAATATATATAAATTTCAGTAAATTAATTCAGAAAAAAAAAATTAGAAAAAAATTGGCATTCAACATTCCAACCTTTGTTTTTTTTTTATTGCTACAAATAGAAATAAGATTTTTAATTTTCAATTTATAGAATTGTATTTCAATTATTATTGAAATAAAAAAAATAGCGATGCACATGCATTAGCGATTAAAAAAAAATAATAATTAAAAAGAAATGAAGATTTTTTTTTTCTAAAATTTCCAAGTAAAATGCAGAGAAAATTACAAAATTCTCAAATTAAAAAAAAAAAATCCTTCCAAATTCGATATTACAATAATAAAATTTATATTATAATTTATTTATTTCTACGATTGAAACCAAAAAAAAATAATAATTATTATCAAATTATTTATTAATAAAATATAATTTGCCCGTTGAAAAAAAAAATATTTCGAAAAAATTTGAAATTAGATTTTAAATTCGATTTCACATGGAAATTAAAAAAAAAAAAAAAATGAAAAACTTATAACTAAATAAAGAAAAACGTGCAATGATGACGAAAAAGCAAAGAAAATGAAAAATAAACTAACCTAGATTTTTATTTTATTTTTTTTTTTGAAATAAATTTTTTTTTTTCAAATAAATCGTGTGAAATCCAATGAATAAATTGGTGCCGAAAAATCAGGAAACTGAAAGAAAAACAAAGCAAAAAAAAAAAAAATAAAGGAATAATAAAAATAAATCTTCTGAAATAAACGAAGAGTCTAATACACAAATAAATTTTTTTCGAAAAATATATAAAAATTAATATAGAAAAAAAAAAATGTTTCATTTACAAGCCAAAAAAGAAGCCGAGAAAAAAAGCTACAATAGAATAATAAAGAAAAAAAAAAGTAAAATAATCGCAGATAGATTATAGAAAATGGTGCATTTTCAATATTATCATTTTTTGTCTTTCATTTCGCAGAACAACAAATTTAAAAAAAAAATACAATCAATTCACTTTTTTGCGTTCCCTTTCGATGCACTTTTTTTTTTCTCGTAAATAATGTATTAGAAACTTCGGATGCATGCTACTGCTACTCTTTTTATATATATTCTAAAAAAAAAATATATATATTTTTCAAAACATGTCGGATTTGAAAAAGGGGGAATAGGAAATTTGAAATTTTTTCCTAATTTTTGAAAATGAGAAAAAAAAGGGGGACTGACGGATTATATGTTCAAAAAATCATTAATTAGAATTTTCATTTAATGAAAGGATTTTTTAAAAAAAAAAAAACATTTTTTCTAAAAATTCATTTCTTATAATTATTTTTAAACCGAATTTTTATGTTTCTTTGAATTCATATTTTGCAGAATATTTCATCAAAAAACAAATTTTCTATTTTAGAAGAATTTTTCAATAATCAAAAATTCATTTCACAGAATTATTCATTTGTTTCGAATTTTTATTTATCAAAATTTTTATTTATTCTAACAAATAAAAAATTCTGTGAAGTGAATTTTCAATTATTTGAAAAAATTCTTGCAAAATTCTAATTCGAACAAATAAAAATTTGTATAAAGAGAAATTCTTTCAAAATGCTAATTCGAAAAATGAAAATTCGACCAAAAAAAAAAAAATGATTTAGTAATAAATTATAATTCCATAAAATTAAAATTCTAATTAATAATTTTTATAACATAATCATGCGTCCCGTTTTTTTCTAAATCCTACATTTTGAATTTTGCAAATTGTTTTAAAACAATTTTTTGTGTAATTAATTTTTTTTTTTTGGGGGGGGGGAGGGGGATAAATAAATTGTCCGACATATTTTGAAAAAATTGCAGGCCTCGGATTGACTTACAGGCACTAAAAAAAGTCGTTTTAGTCGATTTATATTAAAAAAAAAGTCGAAAAAGTGGATTATTTTTTATTTTAAAAAAAATATTTTACAGATTTTTAAATAAAAAAATTTTTTTTTTTTAAATAATAATACTTTTAGAAGAGTTAAAGTTGAAATTTTTAGAAATAATTTAATTTCAAAAGATTTTGTTAATTTTTAGACAATAATTAAATTTTAAAAAGATATCGATGGAAAATTTTTAGAAATAATTAAATTTTAGAAGCTTTTAAATTCAAATTTTAGAAAATAATTGAATTTTAATTGAAATTTTGGATAATAATTCAATTTAAGTTGATTTTTGATTGAAAATTTTGATAATCATTAATTTTGAATTGAAATTTTTGAGAATAATTGTATTTTAGATGATTTTGAATTAAATTACAATTAAAAAATTGCAAAATCATTTAATTTTTAGGATTTCTTTTAAAGATTTAAAAAATAATTGAATTTCAATTAAAACTTAGGAAAACAATTGAATTTTAGTTGATTTTGAATTAAAATTTTTGAAAATAATTGAATTTTAGTTAATTTTAAGAAGAATATTTTGAAAATAATTGTATTTTAATTAATTTTAAGAAGAAAATATTCAAAATAATTGTATTTAAGTTAATTTTAAATAGAAAATTATGAAAATAATTGAATTTTTATAGAAAATTTTCAAAATAAATAAATTTCAATTGAAATTTTTAAAAATAATTGAATTTTAATTCAAATTTTGGATAATAATTTAATTTTAGTTGATTTTTAATAGAAAATTTCGATAATAATTAATTTTGAATTGAAATTTTTGATAATTATTGAATTTTAAATGATTTTTAATTAAATTACAATTAACAAATTGCAAAATAATTTAATTTTTAGGATTTCTTTTGAAGATTTGGAAAATAATTAAATTTCATTTAAAACTTTGGAAAACAAATGAATTTTAGTTGATTTTGAATTGAAATTTTTGAAAATAATTGAATTTTAGGTAATTTTGAGTAGAAAATTTTGAAAATAATTGAATTTTAGTTAATTTTAAAAAGAAAATTTTGATAATAATTGTATTGTAGTTAATTTTAAATAGAAAATTTTGAAAATAATTGAATTTGAATTGAAAATTTTTTAAAATAAATGAAATTCAATTGAAATTTTCAAAATAATTCAATTTTAATTAATTCAGAATTAAAAATTTTGAAAATAATTGAATTTTAATTAATTTCGAATTGAAAATTTTGAAAATAATTGAATTTTAATTGATTTTGAATTGAAATTTTTTTAAATAATTGAATTTAAGTTAATTTTAAATAGAAAATTATGAAAATAATTGAATTTTAATTGGAAAATTTTCAAAATAAATAAATTTCAATTGAAATTTTTGAAAATAATTGAATTTTATTTGATTTTGAATTGAAATTTTGGGAAATAATTGAATTTTAATTTGAAATTTTGGATAATAATTTAATTTTAGTTGATTTTGAATTGAAAATTTTGATAATAATTAATTTTGAATTGAAATTTTTGAGAATAATTGATTTTTAGATGATTTTGAATTAAATTACAATTAAAAAATTGAAAAATAATTTAATATTTAGGATTTCTTTTAAAGATTGGAAACAATTGAATTTTAGTTTATTTTGAATTGAAATTTTTGAAAATAATTCATTTTGTATTGAAATTTTGGATAATTATTGAATTTAAATTGAATTTTTAATTGAAGTTTTGGATAACAATTTAATTTTAGTTCATTTTTATTTGAAAATTTTGATAACAATTAATTTTGAATTCGAAATTTTTGTACAATAATTGAATTTTAATTGATTTTGAATTGAAATTTTTGATAATAATTGAATTTTAGTTAATTATGAGTAGAAAATTTTGATAATTATTGAATTTTAGTTAATTTTAAATAAAAAATTATGAAAATAATTGAATTTTAATTGAAAATTTTCAAAATAAATAAATTTCCAATTGAAATTTTTGAAAATAATTAATTTTGTATTGAAATTTTGGATTATTTTTTGAATTTTTAATTGAAATTTTGGATAATAATTTAATTTTAGTTGATTTTTGTTAATTTTATTGTGATATTTTTTTTTTTAAATTATAAACAATTGTTAATTTTCCTAAAAATTTTGAATTGAAAAATAGTTTTGAAATAATTGAATTTTTTTGATGAATTTCATTAAAATTATTAAAAATAATTAATTTTAGTGAAGAATTTTAGTTGCAAAATTTATTAAATAATTGAAATAAAGAAGATTTAAAGATCTGCATTTTATACTGAAAAAAAAAAATATATTTTATTTAAAAAATTTTGTTTTAAAAAATGTGAAAAAAAAATCGAAATAGTCTCGCATTTTATTAAAATATGTTCGAAAAAAAGTCGTAGTTTTGAAAAAAAAAAAAAAAAGTCTGAAATAGTCGAAAAAGTCATATAATCCGAGACCTGGCAAATTATGATAGAAAAAAATGGGGGGGAAAAAAAAATAAATTTTTAAAAATATAAATATATAGATTGATAAATATACATCTAGCATCCATAGTTTGTTAGTTTTTTTTTTAAATAAACCTAAGTTTCATTTTTGGGGAATGAGGGGGCGGCCGAGACCCTTTCAATGTCAGATTGTGAATTGCATGACGTGGAACTCGCCATCTTGTTATCGCGTAATTAGAATGAACTCCAATGGGTGTACAAGGTCCTGGCGCACAAAGAGGATTCTTCTCAATTTGTAGAGCGCTCATGACCAAAGCAGCTCTGTTATGGTATCTGAAAGGAATTTCGCTCGAAACTTAACATCAAATTTTCCCCGTTTTTTTTTTTTTCTTTTTTTTCTATATTTTACATTCTCATTATGAGAAAATAATTTTTTTTTTTAAATTTTTACTTCTCTAAATGACAAAAAAAAAATAAAAAAATATTTTCACCTGTACTTTAAGTTAAAAATAATTATTTTGAAAAATGTCCTAAATTTTTGTTTTAGAAAATTTTGGAAAAATACAGAATTATCCGTTCGTGTATTAATAAATTTCTTCTTTTTTTTCGGTGCAAAAAGAAAAATTGTCATTTTTGATTAAACTAGATATAAATTCTTTTCCCATTGTGCATTGAGTTAGTAGAGAAAAGCAGTTAAGCCATTTAAAATCAAATTGTGGATCAAACGATCTCTATTTTTTTGGTTTTTAAAGAAAATATTTTTCTCATCAGACTTGAATTTTCTTTTTTTTCGTAATTAATTAAATTCAGTTTAAATATTATTAATTATATTTGTTGAAAAAATTAATAAATGAAAATATTTTTATTTTACAATTAAAATAATAATGATTGGAAAATTAATCACGTTTTTGAAATTAATATTAAAATTAATAAATTTACATTAACTAGAATTAAAAAAAATTAAACACTTTTTTTTTTGAAAAGTAATAATTTAAAATTAACTACGATGAAAAAATTAATCACGTTTTTAAAATTAATATTAAAATTAATATTTAAAACATTAATTTTGTAAATTAATATTTAAAACATTAATTTTGAAAATTAATATTTAAAAAATTAATTTTAAAAATTAATTCCATTTTTAAAATTAATAAATTAAAATTAAACTATTGCAATAAGAAATTTTATTTTATAATAAAAATTAATTAATTAATTGTAATAATTTTTGTTTTTACTAATGTGTAATAAATTTAATTCGCTTTAAAATTTGTAATTTTTGGTTTTTTTAATTGAGAAAAAAATTCCAAGACTGATGAAAAAAATATAAAAGAAAAAATTAAGAACCGTTTTCTTTTCTTTTTTTTCTTTTGTCTCTAAATGTAGAAAAAATTAAAGAAAATAAATTTCATTACTTTTTCAATAAAAGACGAATATGAGTATCGGTGACAGTGGGAAACATTGCATTGATTTTTGCAACTTGAATCTCAGCGTCGGAATTATTTGGCATAAAACTTGTCTCCATATTTCTAGTTGGTGTTGGCGAGCCAATTGTCATATCACCAAAGCGATTTGTCATCGCGCTAATTGATCGTGTCGACATTGGTGTCTTCAAATCCTGAAAAAATTAATTAATATTCTAATTGTTTTTTTTTTTTTTTTTTAAATTTAAATTTTCATAATTTAATCCGAAAATAAATTTCGTAATTCTTTTATTTTTATTCAAAAACCAAAATTCGGTTGCTTTTTGGGATAAATTAACAAAAAAAAAAAAAAAAAAATTTTTAAGTAATTTTTAACTTGAATTTTAGCTTTAAATTTTTATCTACTTTTTTTTTGTTTCTACGTAGTTTTTTTTTTTTAATTTTTATATTAAAATTTTGAACATTAAAATACAAAAAAGGGGATTTTTTTTTTATTTTGGAGGAATTGGGTTTCATTTTTTCACTCTCGAGAAAATTACCTGCAAACTCGGAGGCAAGAACGCAGGTTGCGGATTATTATAAGGCGATGGGGTCGGATAAACCTGGGGTGCTCTGTGCGAACCGGAATAAATAATATGTCCACCGACACTTCCTCCGGTCTGTTGTTTTGCACAACATTTCCAGAAAGCAGCGTGAAAAATTGTGCATCTTTTTTTTTATTTTTCATTTTTTTTTTTTTAACTATTCTATTATTTTTCAAACAATGAAAGCAAAAAAAAAAAAAAAAATTTAATTACTGCAAAATAAAAATTTACATTCCAGGGTGTCTAACAATTGCTAGGAAAAAAATTCCCTGATCTAAATTACACTAAAACATTTTTTATTTTAATCAAATAAAATTTATTTTCATACAATTAAATCATTTACCTGTCTATTATCCACTAATTTCATTTATTTATTTGAATCAAATAAATAATAATTGTTTCGTAAAAAAATAAACTATTTGAATTGAAATTATATTAATTTAAAATTAAAAAAAAAAAAAATAGTATTAGAAAAAAATGCTTTATAAGAGTTCTGCTAAATAGAAATTAAATTGAATTTTAATTAAATGTAAATTGAAAATTTTGCAATAATATAAAATCCAACTTTATACAATTTTGCTAAATAGAAATTGGATAATTTAATAATCGACGAGGTTAAAAATTTTTTATAACTTAAATGTGGGATATTAGCATTAAATAATAATAAATTATTCGTATTAATGAATAAAATTTACTTTATATTCGAAGTTGAAACGATAAAATAAAATTGTAATAAATAATTTTTATTTTTATTAAAAAAAAAAAAAATACAAATATTTCACTGAAAAAAAAAAAAAATGAATTAATTGTTATCCAAGTTTAAAAAATCCAGGCCTCGGATCGACTTTACGGAATAAGAAAAGTCGTTTTTGTCGATTTACATTCGAAAAAAAGTCGAAAAAGTCGATTTTTTCAATTTTAACAAAATTTAATTAGTTAATAAATATTTTACTTTAAATAAATAAATGTTTTTATTAAATATTAAATTCATTTTATTAATTCTGTAATAAGCATAATTCAATAAGAACCTTATTAAGAATTATTAGAAATAATTGAATTTCAAAAGTTTTGATTAATTTTCAGAGAATAACTAAATTTTACAGAACTAAAAATAATTTATGATTTGGAAAAAAAAATGATTTCACATAGTTGAATTTTAGAATTATAAAAAAAATTTAATTTGAAATTTTTTTAAATAATTGAATTTCAGTTGATATTGAATTCAAATTTTGAAAAATAATTGAATTTAAGTTAATTTCAAATAGAAAATTATGAAAATAATTGAATTTTAATTCAAAATTTTGAAAATAATTAATTTTGAATTGAAATTTTGGATTATTTTTTGAATTTTAATTGAAAATTTTCAAAATAAATGAAATTCAATTGAAATTTTGAAAATAATTGAATTTTAATTAATTTGGAATTGAAATTTTTTAAAATAATTGAATTTTAATTGATTTTGAATTGAAATTTTTTAAAATAATTGAATTTAAGTTAATTTTAAATAGAAAATTATGAAAATAATTGAATTTTAATTAAAAATTTTCAAAATAAATAAATTTCAATTGAAATTTTTGAAAATAATTAATTTTGGAATTGAAATTTTGGATTATTTTTTGAATTTTAATTGAATTTTTAATTGAAATTTTATATAACAATTTAATTTTAGTTGATTTTTAATAGAAAATTTTGATAACAATTAATTTTGAATTTGAAATTTTTTATAATAATTGAATTTTAATTGAAAATTTTCAAAATAAATGAAATTCAATTGAAATTTTGATAATAATTAAATTTTAATTAATTCAGAATTAAAAATTTTGAAAATAATTGAATTTTAATTAATTTAGAATTGAAATTTTTTAAAATAATTGAATTTTAATTGATTTTAAAAATAATTGAAATTAGTTGATTTTAAATTGAAAATTTTTAAAATAATTAAATTTGAATTAAAATTTTGAAAATAATTGAAATTAGTTGATTTTAAATTGAAAGTTTTTAAAATAATTAAATTTCAATTAAAATTTTGGAAAATAATTGTATTTTAGTTAAATTTTAGTAGATTTTGAATTTAAAATTTGGAAAATAATTGATTTTTTATTGATTTTGAATTTAAATTTTGGAAAATAATTGAATTTTAGTTTATTTTGAATTTAAATTTTTATAAATAATTGAAATTAGTTGATTTTAAATTGAAAATTTTTAAAATAATTAAATTTCAATAAAAATTTTGGAAAATAATTGTATTTTAGTTAAATTTTAGTAGATTTTGAATTTTAATTTGAAAAATAATTGAATTTTAGTTTATTTTGAATTGAAAATTTGGAAAATAATTGAATTTTTATTGATTTTGAATTGAAATTTTTGAAAAATAATTGAATTTTAATTAATTCAGAATTTAAAATTTTTAATACAATTGAATTATAATTAATTTGAAATTGAAAATTTGAAAAATAATTGAATTTTAATTGAAAATTTTTAAATTAATTGAATTTTAGTTTATTTTGAATTGAAATTTTTGGAAAACAATTGAATTTTAGTTTATTTTAAATTGGAAATTTTTTAAGAGATAATTGAATTTCAGAAAAAATTTTAAATGAAAAAATTTTAGAAATAATTAATTTTTAGAATTTTTTAAATTGAAATTTTTGAAAATAAAATTGAATTTCAAATGATTGTGTTAAATTTCAAACAATAAATTATAATAAGTGACATTTTTAGTGATTTCTGTTAATGAAGAATAAATCACATAAAAAAAAAAAAATTAAAATTACAAAAATTTTTTAATTGAAAATTGCTTTCAAATAATTGAATTTTCCAAGAATATTATAAAAATCATTACAAAAGAATAGAAAATTTTTGCAAATAATTAAAGTGTCATGTGATTTTGAATTAAAATTTTTTTTGATAATTTTATTTGCTAATTTTTGCTTTAAAATTATAAATTATAAACAATTATTAAATTTCATATAAATTTTTAATTGAAAAATAGTTTAAGATAATTGAATTGTGTATATATTGAATTTCATTAAAATTTATTGAAAAATAATTAATTTAGTGAAGAATTTTAGTTAAAAATTTGTTAAATAATTGAAATAAAGAAGATTTGAAGAAAATCTGCATTTGGATACTTAAAAAAAAATGTATTTTGTTGAAATTTTTTTTTTTTAAATTTAAAAAAAATTCGAAAAAGTCATATTTTATTAAAATAAGTCGAAAAATGTCGTATTTTTGAAAAAAAAGTCGTAACAATCCGAGGCATGAAAATCATATTTATTAGATTTAATAAAATAATTATTTTATTATTTATTATTATTTTTTCTTTTCTAATTTTTATCTATTCTAAATCTAAATTCTAAAAAAAAATTTTAATTACTCAAAAAAAAAAAAAAAAATTTACCTTCATGTACGAAATAAAAATATTAAAAATTAAAAATTAAAAATTAAAAATTTGCAAAATGAATCATTTATTAAATCTACATTTTTCTAATTATTTTCAAATGAAAAAAATAATAAAATTTTGTTTGCAAAAATAAAAAAAAAATTTTTTGTTAAATTCAAATTTTTGCCCCCCCCCCCCCGAAAAAAATCCGTCCCTACGCCCCTGTTATAACGAATAATAATAATAATAATAATAATAATAATAAATAATTAAAAGAAAATAAATAACAAAATAAAGAATATTGTAAAAATTTGCATTTTTGAAGTGCCAGGAAAATGTTCTAACTTCAAAAAAATGGATTTTTTTTTTAATAATAATACGAAAAAAAAACTAACCTGCAACGGAATACTTTCTTGTGTACTGACTGTTGACGCAGAACTTGGAATAATTGAATTTTGAGCCTGTACATATTGAGCATATTGCCAATATCTCACTCTTGGATCCTCCCATGTTGTACTTCGATTAAAATGATTTATAAAATAACTGCAATTAAAAATAGAAAATATTTTTTGCAATTTACCCCGAGATTTCATAACCTAACTTTTTTTTTCTACGCACACTTTAAAAAAAAAAAACAATTTTCAAAAACGTGCGAAAGAAAATAAAAAAAATGAAAATAAAAATAAAGGGAAAATTTTGACAGTAAACAGTAAAAGAACAAAGAGAGGGGGAAGGGGTGAAAATGAAAATATTATGATTGCGTAACTAATTACTAAATTAAACTGAGGGTAATTTTTATTTCTGATTATACAATTTTTTAATATATAAATTTTTTTTTTTTAAATTTGATAATATTACGTACGGACGGCCACTTCGGGAATCGTATCTGCATTCCCAACCGGGCGGCAATTGGTTTCTGTCACTTTGATCCGCCATTTTACACAACACTATTTTTTTTTATTTGACGTTTCTTTTTTATCTAGAGGAACGACGAAAATCGTCTTCAAGGGGGAAAAAGGCGAATTCACATTTTGTGTCATAAGGGATTGGGTTAGAGAGAAAATTTGTTAACAATTCAGAGTTTTTGAACATAATATATTGTGAATACAGCTTAATTTTTATTGCTGGACAATATATGATTGGTTAATTTAAAACTTGTCCAAACCAATGAAAAGCCGTTTCGAAAAATTGGAGAGAGAGAGAATTAGAACTTCTATAATATGTAAATGGTTTATGACATAATATTATACATAATCTACATTTGATATATGTAAACAATTGTTCATTGTTTAATAATTTATACTATATTTAAAAAGTAAAATGTTATTTTACATTGCTTCCAATTAATTTATTCTTATTTATTTTATGTTAAATAGATAAAAGTGTTTTTTTTTTTGAGGGAATTTTTTGTGACAATTAAAGTGTTTGGAAATTATCGCCAATATGAAACGAACAGTATGTATTTATTTATTTATTTACAAATATAAATTGATCGTTGCTAATTATTTTTTTTTGTTTTATTCTTTTTTATTTTGGTAATTAAATTTATTTTTTTTTTTTTTTTTTTTGATGAAAAAGTTAATTATAATGAAAAAGATTCTCGAAAAAAAGAAAAAAAAATTAAACTACAGGAAATTTGTATTGTTTGGATTTTTTTAATTTCACTGAGTAATTTTATTGGGTGAAATATTTTTTTAATAATAAATAAAAATGCTACCTTGTTCTTAACAAACACGAAAATTAAAAAAAATTTAAATAAATATAATTTTACAACAATAATAATAAAAAATAAATAATAATAAAAATAATAATAATAATAATAATAATAATAAATTTTTTTAATAATTTTCTTCTTTTCAAGCACAAATTTTATTATTTATTTTTTAAAAAATTATTTTATCAAATTATTTATTTATTTTTTATTATTTTATGAAATTATTTAGTAATTTTTTTTTTAATTATTTTTTAAAATTATTAATTGACTTTTAAATTCTATTCTAAATTAATTATTTTCAATCATTTTATAGAAATTATTTAGAAATTTAATTATATTAAAATATTTTTCTATTTTTTTTTTAAAATATTTTTTCAATTAAAAATTTTCTAAAATTCAATAATTGTTTAAAATTTTTTTAAAAAAATCAGCTAAATAAAATTACCAAAAAAAAAAAAAAAAATTTCAATTCAAAATCACTTGAAGTTGGAATATATTTTCAAACATTTTAAATTTTAAAACTTAAAATTTAATTATCTTTAAATAATTTTCAAAAATTTAATTATATTTGATAGCATTTTTCAATTAAAAAAAAAAAAAAAATTTGAAATTCAATTTTTGCCCTGTAAATTATTATTATTATTATTATTATTTTAAAAAATCTGAATTTTAAATCTTCCCAAAATTTTATTATTTTATTTAAATTATCTAAAATTATTTTATAAATTATTTTCAATTCTGTAAATTTTAATTATTGTTAGAAATTTAATAAAATCTTTTAAAATTCAATTATTTCTAAACAAAAAAAAAAAAAAAAAATTTAATTACATAACTCTTTAAAAATTCAAATATTTTTTAATATTTCTTTAAAAATTCAATTATTTAAAAAAGTTTCAAATAAAAATTCTAAAATTAGAATTAAATAATTGAATTTTTTAAGAAATATTAAAAATATTTGAATTTTTTGAAGAGTTACAGTTAAAATTTTTAAAAATAATTGAAAATTTTTGAAGATTTTTTTAAATCTCAAAAAATAATTTATCATATAATTTAAAAAAAAATAAATGAATAATAATAAATAAATAAATAAATAATAAAATAAATAAATAATTTATTTATAAAAAAATAGTATTGTTGAAGATTTACAATTTAGATTTTTTAAAATAATAATAATAATAATAATAATTTACAGACAAAAATTGAATTTCAAAATTATTTAATTGAAAAATGCTTTCAAATAATTAAATTTTTGAAAAATATTATAAAAATTATTTTAAAAAATTAAATTTTAAAAAATTTATTAAAATTATAAAATTTTAGTTAGTTTTAGATAGAAAATTTTAAAAATAATTAAATTTTAAGTTTTAAATTTGAAATTTTTGAAAATAATTTGAATTTCCAATGATTTTGAATTGAAATTATTTTATTAATTTTATTTGGCTGATTTATTTTTTCAAATTTTAAATAAATAATTGAATTTAAAAAAAATTTGTAATTGAAATTACATTTTAAATATAATTGAATTTCTAAAAAATTTCATTAAAAATTATTGAAAATAATTAATTTAGAGAAGAATTTTAAAGTAAATTAATAATTAATAAAAATAATTAAAAAAAAAATTAATAAATAAATTCCTAAAATAATAAAAAATAAAATAAATAATAAAATGTGTACTTGAAATTAAAAAATTTTAATTTTTAAAAAGAATAAAATTGTTAAATATTGTTATTATTATTATTGTAAAATTATTTATTTTTTTCTTTAAATTTTTGTTTTTTTTATATTTAACAAATTTTTAAAAATTTTTTTATTCATCATTAATATTAAACAACCTTTTTTTTCAATATTGTTATTCATCATTAATATAAAACAACCTTTTTTTTACCATTAGCTTGCCAGCGTTTAGTAAAATCCATCAAATAAGTCTAAATTTAGATTTTAAATTGAAAATTGAAAATTTAAAAATTCTACAAAATAATAATTCGAACAAATATAAAATTCGGTTCAATGAAAATTATATCTAATGAAATTTAATTAAATGAAAATTTTGAACGATTTTTAGAATTTATTTTTTTTTTTTTCATCACAAATAAATTTATACAGATGACAGACGATAGTCGAGATGCAAAACGTTCGTACATTGTAAAACAAGAAGGCGGTGGAGGAGTAACATTTTCATATGATCCATATATTGGTTATTCAACATCAACATCGTCGACTGTTAATCAACCATTACCAGGACAACCACCATTACCACCAATGCCACCACCAGTACCACCTCCACATCATGTATTTGTCACACCACAAGCAGTAAATCCACTTCAAACATGGACACATCCACCTCCACCACCATGGCAATGGTTAGCTCAACAACAGGCCTTATCATCACAAGCTGTTCGCGATATTACCACTAATTTTTCACGTGAAATTCCAATAAGAGGAAATTTCATCAAACGTGAACGTTTTAATAGTAATAATACAACAAATACTAATAATGGTCACAATAGAAATATTATTTATAATCAAAGAAATAATTTTCATCGTAATAAAAGAAGAACACAAAGATTTGATTCGCCACAGGGAAAAATTGAACAAACATATTTTGATGTTACAACAGTTCCAACATCAGTTGCTTCAAATTTAATTAATAATTTAAAAACAAATCGAATTGAAGATACTGATATGAAAACGGTTAGTATTAATTATTTATAAAATAATAAAAAAAAAATACATTTTATTAATCTAAATAATTATTTTTTAGGAAGATGAAAGAATAAAGAAAAATAAACCACGTAAGCCAATGTCACAGAGTTATCCAAGTCGTCCTTGGAATCGTGAGGACGCTGAACGTGCATTATCAATTGAAAGTGAATATAATAAAACAGTTAAGGCACAAAGTTTAATTATTAAATTTCCCGATCCTGATTTAAATAAAGAAATAGTACGTGATTTTCATCCGGGTATACAAAATATACATTTTCAAAGTCCAAGTGGTCCGCGTTATTGTTTTATTCAAATGGCTGACAATGTTAATATTGATGAGGCAATTAGAGAATTGGAAAAAGTATCATTTGGCATTGGTCATTTAAAAGTTGAAAGAAAATCATTAAGGGACGATGATAATCCAATGCCAGAGGAAATTGATCCCTATACATTGTATATTGGAAATTTACCCGAATCAGTTAATGTTAATGAAGTGAAAAGTAAATTTACAACCGCAGCAAGAGTTGATGTTGGTTATGCACAAAAAATGAGAAATACGAGGTATGTTCTTTTTTTTTTTTTATTTTGTTTTATTTTCTTGTTTTTACTAATTTATTTTGTTTTTAGGTACGCTTTCATTCGCTATAATAGCGTTGATGAATCAATATCTGCTTATAAACAAGCACACGATTTAATGTGGGATACAAGAAGTATAATTGTTCGATTTAGAAGACAAAGGGGAAATACAAATTTACCGGGTGAACAAAAAAATTTAAAAAAAGTACGCGATGAATTGACAATTGATAAAGAAGAGGAGCAAAATAATATTAAAGATAATGAAATGAAGAAGAAAAATGAAGATTTTACTGGTTCTGAAAAACTCGATTCTTCAGTATTAAACACTTCGGTAATATTTTTTTTTGTATGATTAATTTAATAGATATTAATTAATTATTAATCAAATACTTTAATATGTAAGGAAAGCTTACTCTCGCTTGAGAGTGAGGTGGAAGCTACAAGGAGAAGATGTGGAAGAAGTAAATGAATTTTGTTATTTGGAATATTGGTTTAATACGAGGTGGAAAACTCACTCTCACTTAATGAGAGTGAAAGGAAGAAATGTGGAAGAAGTAAATGAATTTTGTTATTTGGGATATTGGTTTAATACGAGGTGGAAAACTCACTCTCACTTAATGAGAGTGAAAGGAAAAAATGTGGAAGAAGTAAATGAATTTTGTTATTTGGAATATTGGTTTAAAATGGGTCAGACAGAATTGCGTGCACGTTAAAAAATGTGAGCTCAAAACTTTGGCCACTCTTGAACAAAAAAAAGTAGGCCTATTCTTTAGGTTTTTTTTTTTTTATTTTTTACTTTCAATTGGTATATAATTTATTTGGTAAACAAGTGAGCTAGTGAGAAAAAAATTACAATTATATTGTTAATTAATCATATCCTTGAGCATATTATTCTAAGCAACCTATTTGCAACATTTTTGTTGGCATATTACATTTGATAAAAAAACATTTTCATCCGGTAAACAGATCGGTTACTATTTTTTTTTTTCTTTTTTTTTTTTTTGGTCCTTGTACCTTGCGTCATGTGCAGAAAGAGAGTATAAAAATATTTTTTTTCAGTTATTAAAGGAAACGATAGACTGTGATATTTCAATGACACAGGAGGAAAAAGATGAAACTAATGAATTACTTACACAAATAAAAGAGGAGCCACAAGATTATGTGGAAATTGATATTCAAAATAATAACGATGACGATGATGATGACGATGATGATGATGATGATGATGACGACGACGATGACGAGGACGACGAGGAACAAGAAATTGATGATGAAGATGAAATAAATGATAATGAGGACAAAGATGACGATGACGATGACGATGATGATGAAGACGAAGAGAAAATAAACTTTTCTACTTGTAATGATGATATTATTACAGCAAGGAATGTTAAAAAAGGATCAGAAGAAAAAAATGCAACCGGTATACAGTCAGATGTAAGATAAATTCTAAATTATCATTATTATTTATTTATAAAAGAAGCAAATATAATATTTAATTATATAATTTTTTTTCAGCATTTGGATCGAATATTCTCCGATCTCGAAAATATTGCTAGCGATATTTCCTTGTAAAAAAAAAAATTTTATATGGAATTTTTTTTTAATTTAAATGTAAATACAATGAATTGTTTCATATATGATCTCTCTCTATATATCTATCGATTATAATAAAATAAAATATAGAAATATTTCTGTATAATTTAAGAATTGTAATAATAGTGAAATAGTTGGTAAAAATTTTATGTAAATGTATGATAATTTTTAATCACTTAAAAATAATAACAAAAGGCGTAGATTTTATTTAAAAAATTTTTTTCTATGTTATATATATATATATATATATATATACACTGATAAATACGATTTATATATTTTTTTATTAATGAAAAATATCTTTGATATTTAGTAAATTAAAGTATAAATTCATAGGGTAAGTGTACCAATTACGGTGAGTTCATAAAAAATAACTATTATTACTATTATATTTAATATAACTGTTGCAAAATGATTTTGATCTTTTTTTGATACAATTATTTATAAAGATGTACATTTAAACAATTATTAATTTAATTATTTGAGATCAAATTTTTTCCCTCGCCATAATTGAAACATTTTTAAGATTTCCATTGGCTTCAATTACGTTAGGCAAAGTATCTTCAAAATAAACGTAATTTTGGTCATCCAAAATTGATACACCCAAACTGATACAAACGCGACGTAATAGAAAATTACGGTATTAGTTTTAATTTCTCATATATGTTTAAATAATCGATTTTTATAAAGTTAAATTTTTTTTTAATATCTAAATAACAAGCTTTTAGTTTAATAAGTTTCAAAGGTATTTTGACTCGAATCGCGCCGTAATTAGTACATTTACCCTATGTTTTTTCTGTAGAAAGAAACCGAAAAAGCAAAAAATTATAGGTTATGTTTATGATAGTTTTGCCTTTATTGGGCTGTGTACCTATTTTTGATTTTGTTAGATCAAAAATTATTCATTATTCATCATTAATATAAAACAACCTTTTTTTCAACCGCTTCACTTTTTCTTATATCCTCTTTCGCGTCCATATAGTTATCTGAAATAAAAAGAATAATAATATTAAGCATTCAAAACAACGAAAATTTTTTCTCCAATAGTTGGTAAAGGATTTTATTGAAGAATGGCCTTTATGTGTGCGCATTGTTGCCAACTTAAGAGTTTTTATTTTTCCTTCGTTCCGCTATTCCAAAAATTCAGTCTTTATCGTGTGTGCACGTGGTACCGGCTTCGTTTGCGTTTTTTTTTATTTTACACACAAAATTCTCAAATTGCCGCGGTTATTTTTCTTGTTAGGTTAACTTTGTACATGTGCCCATGATAAATACTGAATATTAGGAATAGCGGAACGACGAGAAAAAATAAATTCTCAAGTTGGCAATGATGTGCGCACATCGACACATTATCGATGTCGACACGACAATTGCACATTGATGCAAAAACCACACACAGTGCATTTAATTTCAATATACGATGTTCTGTTATTGCATCAAGTTACTCAATTCTATATATGATTTTATCTTGATCTATAGTCCAAATACATTTTCCTTATTCAATAAACAATTTAAATTTGAAAATTAATACACGCGTTCATTTTTAATAAAACAAAATTTATAGAATAAAAAAAAAGTCGAATATTTCCTAACCTAAAAAAAAAAAATTTTGAAAGGTTAGAAATAATTTAAGAATTTAAAATTTTTTTTAAATTGTTTAAATTTATAAATAAATAGTACAATTAAAATTTTTTCATATAGGGTTTTAATTTTTTTCAATTATATAACTTTTTCGAATATTTCGACAGTCGAAAGGTTAAAAGTCGGTCATTATTATCTCTCCCTCTCTCTCTCTCACTCCTTCATGTTGCGAAAAAAATTATATATACAATAAAGGTAAGAATAGTGTTAGAGAAAAATTGTAGTGCAAGAAAAGTGTATAGAAAAAATAAGGTAAATTATGACAGAAACTATTTGGAAAAATGGACCATTCATTGGTGCTATTGATGAAGGGACAAGCAGTGCCAGATTTTTGGTAAATTTTTAATGATTATAATTTTTTTTTTTGTCAGCTGATTTTTATGTTACGCGCACAATCATTAAAATATATAGTACATGTACAAATTATCGTCATTATCATTGTATTCACTTATTACAAAAGTGATAAAAGCTATATTTTTTTTCTTACATATATTTATTAATATAATATTATTAAATATTAAACATTTAAAATATATTAGACATTTAATTATTAAAATTTAATTTTTAAATAAGATTTTTAAATAAGATTTTTAAATATACGATTTTAATAATCGAACGGACAGTCAAAACAAAAAGTTTGTCCAATTTCACCAAAAAAAAAGAAGATTATTTTTGTCATATTTTAGGTTATGTTACCTAAAACGTTTCACAATTAATTTAAAAAAAAAAAAATTAATTATTATCTAAATTATAGACATTTTTTGTTCTCGCTTGTTAATTTTTGAATTAAAAAAAGTAAAATATTTAAATTTGTTTTTTGAAATTAAATTTTGATTGTTTAATAATAATTAAAAAATCTGTTTTTGAATTTTAAAAAACAATATTTTTTTTGCTATATGTGATGCTCCACGAGAAAAGGGACCTTAAAGACAAAAAATTTATAGGTTATGTTAGTTTATTTTTAAACAATCATAAACATAACCTTAAATTTTTTGCCTCTAAGGTCCCTTTTCTCATTGAGCGTCACATATGGGAAATTTAAGTTTTTTTTGAGAGGGGGGGAGGGGAGGAGAAATTATTATTTTTTTTTTTTGAAAAATATTTTCCCTTTTTTTCGATAGATTTTTGATGTTTTACGAAGAAAAGTTGTGGTTTCACATCAAATAGAAATAAAACAAAAATATCCCCAAGAAGGATGGGTCGAGCAAGATCCAAAAGAAATTCTTCAAGCAGTCATGGACTGTATAGTACAGACCATGGATAAATTAAAAGATGTCGGTTTATGTAAATCAGACATTAAAGCCATTGGAATTACAAATCAACGTGAAACAACTCTTGTTTGGGATAAAAATACCGGGGAACCTTTACACAATGCAATTGGTAAAAAAAAAGAATTTTAAAAAAATTATTTAAAAAATTTTTTTTTGAACACATTTTTTAACGATTATTTTTTTTTTCAAATAATAATTTAAGTTTGGCTCGACATGAGAACAACGACAACAATGGAGGATGTTCTTGATAAAATTCCAAATAAATCGAGAAATAAAAATTATTTAAAGCCTATTTGTGGATTGCCAATGTCACCATATTTTAGTGCTCTTAAAATTCGTTGGCTCATTGATAATGTGCCAAAAATAAGACAGGCTGTTCAAAATGAGACTTGTGCCTTTGGAACAGTCGATACTTGGCTAATTTGGGTAAAATTTTTATTCGTTCTTATTCATTAATTATTATAGGTTTAATTTTCCAAATTAAACTATTTACATACATTATTTTTTTTTGCACCGAGTTTCCAATCTATGTTGCGTCGATAAAGTAGTTTAAAGAAATGGGCGCGAAATTTAAAAATAAAAAATTTTTCTTATAACAGAATCTCACTCAGGGAAAATTGCATGCAACGGACGTATCAAATGCGTCACGTACAATGTTAATGAATATTGAAACACTAAAATGGGATCCATTACTTTGTAAATTTTTTGAAATACCACAACATATTTTACCTGAAATACGTTCCAGTGCAGAAATTTACGCTCCAATCACTAATCCTGAGGTGTTAGCTGGAATTCCAATTTCAGGCGTAAGTTTTTATATTGAAATATAAGAAAAGATAAATTTTAAATTTTAATTTAAAAATTTCTTTTTGGCTAATTATAAAATAGTGCGTGGGAGATCAACAAGGAGCTTTGCTAGGACAATTGTGTCTAAAACCTGGACAAGCAAAAGCAACATATGGAACTGGATGTTTTCTGCTTTACAATACTGGAAATGTGGTAATTTAATATTATTCATTTATTATTTCCTCAGGTATGCTTTTTTGGGGTTTTTTTTTTTTACAGAAAGTGGATTCAAATCACGGTTTGATAACAACAGTGGCTTATAAATTGGGAAAGAATCCGGCAATTTATGCACTTGAGGGTTCAGTTGCAGTTGCTGGTGCTGCCTTATCATGGTTACGTGATAATATGCAAATGTTAAGCAGTATCACACAATCCCAAGATTTAGCTGAACGAGTTCGTTGCTCCGGTGATGTTTATTTTGTTCCGGCATTTTCTGGATTGTACGCACCCTATTGGCAACAAGACGCACGAGGGTTTGCTTTTTTTTTAAAAAAAAATTTCAATTATCTATTAAAAATAATGCTATGAAAATTTGTGAAAAAAAAAAATAATTGAATGATTTATTTATTTTCAGTGTAATTTGTGGAATTACGGAAGATACACAACAATATCATATTATTCGAGCGGCATTAGAAGCCGTTTGTTTTCAAACACGTGATATACTCGAGGCAATGGTGAAAGACTCGGGAACAAAATTGTCAACATTACAAGTTGATGGCGGTATGACTGTTAATGATTTACTTATGCAATTACAGGCAGACATCACGGGAATTCACGTCGGTGAGTGTAATAGTAAAAAAAAAAAATAAATAAAATTATCATCAAGAACACTTTGGAGAAGATAAACTAATAGCATTTGCTTCAAGAACTTTAAAAGCCGAAATAAATTATACGACAACTGAAAAAGAATTAATAGCAATAGTAATGTTAAATATTTTAGACATCGTGTTTATATGGACGAATGTTTAAAATTTTAACAGATCACAAATTAATCGGTTTGGGTCTTTAATTTAAAAGATTTAATAAGTTAATTAATTTATAATAAGTTAATTATTATAATAATTAATTTATAATAAAGTAGTTATTATATAAATAACTACATATTGAGATGGAGACTAAAATTAGAAGAATACGATTATGAAATTATTTCTGATACAGATAAACCATCATTGGAAAATTAATCGTGTTGGTAGAAATCATTAGATAGCCCCTGACAATTAATTTTTCGTTACTTGACTTTAAAAATATCGTTTAAAATATAATATTTTGTGAATTAATTTTTATTACTAATTTAAGAATAAAAATCAATCGTGTTGGTAGAAATCGTTAAATAGCCCCTGACAATATTTTTTAGCTTATGTGGTTGGTTTTCAATACCACACCCTGCTTTAGTGACTTTATTGTTAAAATTAAAAATTACTAAATTTTCACTAGAGCAGGATGCGGTAGTTGACGAGAATTATGACAAATGTTGCGAGTGAAGGACAATAGAAACCAACCTTATTTAAAGTCGCATTCACACTGGCATATAAGTATTTTAAGCTCATTATGCAATTCTACAAAACACCATCCCAAGAATTTATCCCAATGCAAAATTATCTATTTTTAAATTAAAATTCATTTTTTATTTAAATTTCTAGATAATTTCTGATTAAGTTAATAATTTTGATAACAATATATTTGTAACACTTAAAAAAAAAATTAACTGAAACAATAATTAAACATTACTTTTTAAGTGCGTCCAAAAATGTTTGAAACAACAGCATTGGGCGCGGCAATGTTGGCAGGAATTGGGGCAAATCTCATAGAAATAAGTGATATCGATGCATCGCAAATTACAAAATTTTCCCCACAAATTGGAGAAAATGGTAATAAATTTTTTTTAAATTTTGATTTAAATTATTAATTATTTGTTTAAACAATTTTAATATTAATAATTAAGATATTAATTTACTTGAAAAATAATTTTTTGTTCTTCTATCTCAAATTTTTAAAAAGATATTTTTTTTTATCTTTAGAACGAGATTTGCGTTATTCAAAATGGAAAGCAGCAGTTGAACGTTCAATGAATTGGGATACGACAACAGCTCCTGTTCACGATAGTTAAATAAATAAAAAACAAATTTTCTCTCGTTTTAATCTAGATAAGAAAAAAAAATGTTATCGTTAAAGATAAAAAAAAGAATTTCTAGAAATTCCATAGTTTTTAAATTTATTTTTTAGAAATAGCACCGAAGATAATTAAAAAGCTTTTTTTTGCCATTCAATGCAAAACGCTTAATTAGTAATTTATAAATAGAATATAGAATAGAATTTTTAACTCTGCAAATATTGACGATTAAAAATAAGAAAACTTTTTCTATTAAACAAATAATAATTATTATTAATATATTTCAAATAAAAAACAGACAATATTGTCGACATTGCCTTTATCATTCAACGAATGTTTTTCTCACAGTCAAGATTTTAGAAAAAAAAAATTTCTAAAAAATTAATAATTAACATTTATTTTGGTCGATTAAAAAAATTGTTTGTTATTATTTTTATAATTATAAAATGTAAACATTAACAACAAATGAGGTTGTGAATTTTTCGTGAAATTGATAACTATATTTTCAAATTAAAAAATTAAAATTATTTTGCAAATTTTTTTTAGAAGAATAAATTTTATTTTGAAAAGTGTTAAAATTTTTTTTTTTGATTCATAAATAGTTATCAAAATATATTAATTCTACATTCCAGTGTTTGAGAGTAATGTAAACTAATTGATTAATTAAGCATTAAATATTAATTAAATTTTAATTTAAAAAAAATTACAAAGGAAATTTAATATTATTACTGGAATATAGAATTTTTGTAGCGGCAATAATTATATTATAAATAGTAGATAGGCCTAAATAATTCGAGAATCGTTCAAATTTCGAATTATCGTTTATAAAAATAGAAGCAAAAAAAGACTCGCAACTTTTATATAGTTAATTTTTCTAATCGAATATTGCAACTTTTCCATAACATGATTTCGTATTTTTACAAAAAATGTACTTAGAAAATAATTAACTAAAACGCTTTTCAAACTAGTACTTAATTATTTATAATAATAATTATAATATAAAAATGTCATCCCATATTTTAATTATAAAATAAATATATACACTATGTATTGATAAATACAATATCTTTTCTTTTATTTAAAAAACAGTCAATAATTTTTAATTTCCGTTAATATTAGAATAGGAAAATATTTTTATTGAATTGTATTTATACATATATATACATTAATTATTTTTTTAATACTTTGATTTTCATAATTAAGAATAAAAACTTTAAATAAAAATGTATCCAATTTGTTATTTTATTTATTTAAATAATTGAGGAGCAAATTTTCAAAACTTGATAAATCCATTTTTCAAAAAAATGGAGAAAACCATAAATTTAATATTTTAAGGACCTCACAAATCGATCTGTAACTGTTAAATTTAAGGAAAAAAATTTATTAATTACAAATTTTTAATTTAAAAACTTATTGACATAACCAAGATGATTTACAATTTGTATGTTTTATATTAGAAAAAATTACCAAAACCTGTAAATCACTCAATTATGACAAAGTTCAATTAGAAACATAACGTATTGAATATAAAAACATTGTTATAGAAATAAATTATTATAAATTTTTTATTTTAAAATTAACTCTAGTGGTTATGTGTGGAAAGTCATTTGTTTGAATTTCTCGAAATAAAAATATATGGATTTATCAGGTTTTGAAAACTTGCTCCTCAATTGAAGTTCGTGGAGTTAAAAATCTCTCCGAGGAACAATTGCATATTTATAAATATTTGAATAATTATAACAATATAATATAATTCTAAATGAAAACGTAGTTAGAAATTACGATTTTTTATAAAAATTAATTTATTTTATAAAAGAAATGTGGTATCTTATAATTAAGGATGTAGCGGTAAATAATAATTATATATTTAAATGGCTGCTAATATTGAAAAAACAATTTCATTCAATAATTTAAATATCATTAACGTGAAATACTAAATTGGATGAATATAATTCATTTAAATCGTTTACTAATTTAACCATACGATACTCATCTAAATACGAATCGTCTTTAAGTAAAATAAAATCAACATTCTCCCCATCAATAGTTTTCTTAATTATTCCATATTTTTTCAAATCAAAACTTTGTGGAATATAATATCTTCGATTTGTTGGAAATTTAAAACTTCTATCAATATATGCAATTCCAGCCATACTATTTAAGTTCAATTGAGTGAATAATATTTTTTTACCGGAGGTATTTGGGATGTATTCCAAAGCATCTTCTTGAATTCTATGAAACGGATTATCTGTACTAAATGATACACTTTTACCTAATTCTCTTCCTAATATTTCATTGTAATGTTCATTAGAAACTAAACGTGCTTGATAAAGTGGAAATGGTTTTTTGAAAAAATGTCCAGTAACAATTTGTCTTAGGGCCAATCTCTTAAATGCAACATCTAATCTTGTTTTCCAATGTCTATCTCGTATTAAATTACCAGAAAAATGTGAATAAATAACGAAGTAATCCTCAAATCTTATATTATTTTGAATTCCTATTGTACTCTTGAATGCGTCAAACACAGGTGCAACATCCTGTATTTCCCAATAAGGAAACATTGTATTAATGATTCTCTCTGCAGATAATAAATTTTTAACTTCATATAAAGAATATTGAAACAGTACATCATCAATAAAAATGTTATTTTTTATTTTTAATGAATTATATAGACTTGGAATTGAATCAGTTTCAAAAATATATTTTGCCAATGAATTATAAGAGACCATAATTTCACTGGAACCTGGTCTTAAAATATATTCTTTTAACATTTTTTTCGAATCACTGAATCTGTGTAGGGGTATTCTCGTGGATATGGAATACGCAGCATCTTCAATACTTGAACTTCTTATTAATTGTCCCACTTCTTTACTGTTAAGTAACTTTGAACTCTCTTCTCTAATTTTAATCCATTTTTCTTTTTCTATTGGCTTTTGAACTAGATCCATTTGCAAAATAGAATCTCCATTAATGTAATGGGTATTCTGTACAGTAAACTCAAGTTCCGGATATACAATGTATTGGTTTTTCAAAGTATGCTGAAATTCAGAAAGATCGACAATTCCATATTGAGAATTCATAGTTATGTGGAAACGTACTTCTTTTTCAAAGGGAAATTTTGATATTTTAGAGTCAATTGGTGCAATATCTCTCAAAAATGTAAGATCGTTAAAATAAAATTCTTTTCCTTTCAATTTCTCCAAATCACTAACAAAAATGCTTTTCATTGATGTTTGACTAAACAATTTTGTTGGAAGTTTAAATTTGGAAGTTTCAATATTTTGTATATTTGATAATGAATCGACAAGGCTTCGAACATTATACAAATTTGATTTACTGTCTTTCAAACCAGCAATTCCTTTATTTTCAAACTCCAGTAATGTCTCAGTATAATCAATGTTTGCTAATTCTTTTAATAATTTATCTTTAACGAAAACATCATTAATTCGCAAATTACCCTGGGAAGTAAGTTTTCCAAATTCTCTTGAAGTTGACGGAATATTATCACTTGGTAAACCACTTTTAACAATTGGTTGTCTAATTTCAATCGCATTTCGATAATCAATAGCTGGCTTATTTTTCAGTGAATTTAGATTAGCGTAAAATTTATCATTGGTTGAAAATAATGTATTTAACTCATTTACCAATCTAACCATTCGTTTTTCTTTTACAATGTCCATATAGACTATTGGCAATGTAATAAAATCAGATTCTTTAACAGGTTTGTCTACTTGCCAGTAATATGTAAAACTTATTGTATCAGGAACATAATACATTTCCATGGGAACATTGAAATAATAAGGATCAATGTGCACTATTCCAGATGGATTCTCAATTTCCAATTTATACAATACTACTTTCTTTGAATCACTAGTTCTAGGAGTATTTTTTAAAGCATTTTCTGCATTAGAATAAAAAGCCCTATGATTCATTTTAAAACGACCAAGATAATCTTGAGTAAATAGTAGTTGTGACAATTCTTCAATACTTAATTCTACAGCATGATAAAGTGTTTTTGGAATTGTAATAAATTTATCATCACACTGTCTAAGGGCTAATCTGTATAGTGAAGCTAAAAATTTTCTTTGTGCAGGTGCACTTTGTGGTAAAGTATTTGCAAAATGTGAATACAATACATAATAATCCTCAAATCGCATATTTTGCCGAATTGGAAATAACTCATAACTTTCAAACACAGTTTTAATATTCTGTAAATGAATCCCATCAAAAATATAGTTTATAGTTTTTTTCGCATCTTCCAAATTTTCAACCTGATATAAAGACTTTTTAAATAGTACATCGTCAATAAAAATATGATTCTTTATTTTCCATTCGTTAAATATTTCAGAAGGTGTAATACGTGTATTTATTTCCTTCGCCAACATTTCATAAGTAGGAACACGAGTTTCAATTGGATCGATTCTTAAAATGTAACCTTTTAACATTTCTTCCATTTCAGTTAATCTATGCCGAGGAGTATTTAATGAGATAAGGCTGGCAGCATTCTCGATATCTACACTTCTTGTAAGTGTAGATATTTCTTTAGTGTGAAGTAAATAATTATACTTTATTTTATATATCTGCCAATCCAATTTCAATATTGGCCTTTGTTTTAGTTCTAAAAGTAAGAAATCCCTTCCATTTTTGAATTCAGCATTTACTACCGAAAATGTGAGTTCTGGATAAACAACAAATTGGTTTTTCCAACTCTTATCAAATGCTGCTAAATCAACAATTCCATATTGAGAATCAATTGTCATGTGATAACGAACTTCTGTTATGGAATTTGATTTTTTATTAACAATATTAATTTCACTTGGACGAATATCTGTCAATAGGGTAATATCATTAAAATAAAAATCTCCTTTCATTGCTTTCAAATTATCAACAATTTGTGGTTTGTCTAATGTTTGTTTAAACCACAGTTCTTTTGGCATTTCACACTTTTCTATGTCTTGATTCAAACGTATTCTCTCTAAATTTTTTTGTAATGTTATTAATTTGTCTTTATTTTTGTGTAAATCAACCCAATTTTCAGGTTTTAAATCTTCTAAAGATAATAACATTTCACGATATTTTTGTTCACCATATATAACTCTAGATAGAGGGTTACTTAGAACTAATTCTTCAGCTAGCCTTGAAGTATCAAGAGTATTTCCACTTATTTGCACAATTTCTCGTGACGTACCTGGGTTGTTTGGTGTCTTATTCCATTCAATCGTATTATGATAAACTTGATAATCTTTTATTATTTTCGTATCTCCATCTAGATTTAGATAAGGCATAAGTCTCCGAAAAAGCTCTTTTCTGTCCATTCCAGAAATATCAACATTTGGCAAAGTATCCGGAGAAAGAAGTTGGTCGAATCCTTTTGATGTTGAAGGAATATCATTAGTCGGCAAACCTCCTTTTACTTGTTGTGTTTTCAGATTAACTTTGTATGGTATTATTTTCGTATCTTCAAGATAAGGTAGATTACTTCGGAGTAGATCATTTTCTCCCATTTCCAGTTTTATTTCAGAAATTTCATTAGTTGCTGGATTATATTTACGATAGGAGATTTTGTTCATGTTATCTTTTACTGGCAACACGGGAACTTGAAGTGAACTGCCTTCAATGGTTCTTAGTTCTGCAGTATTTCCAAATGATGATATGCATGTGGGTCCAAAGAAATTTTCACCTTTCGGATAATAGTATTGAACGAGTTTATAATTATTCTCTTCTCTCACAACCTTTGGTATCAGACCATTAAATGTTGACAGTTTCATATTCGTATTAAGCTTTTTTAACACAGTTGTTAATAACAATTTTAAATTTGTATTGATCTTTGGAATTTTTTGAATCATAGTGTTATAAATCTTGTGCAATTTTTGGTAGCCAAACTTTCCTAAGCTGTTGATTAATTCAAATCCAGGATCTATAACTCGTAGAAAGGTAATAGATAAATCTTTTAAAAAAAACTTGGTAAAAATTTCCTGCGCAACGGTTTTAGTAATTAATTCTGAAATTTGGAATAATGAATTAAATTTAGTGGCACTTGATAAGGTTGTACTGATTACATATTTTTCGCCTAATCTAGTTGCTAAGCTGGTGGTTATTTTTGTTGCATAGTTTGCAGCAAGACCCGCTACAGGGATCAGGGTGAGAACATCTAGAGAACAACTCATAACTGCATCTTCTATGTTTTTTCCTATTATGTTTTCAATACAATTGTAAAATGGTACAAGTGCTTTAACAAAAGTAAAAACCTTCTCTTTTGTAGTTTCATTTTTATAGTCTTCCATTAGCTGATTTACAAATTGTGTTGTCTTTATTTCTGCAATTCTCTCAGCAAATGCTTCGCTATTTGCATTAGATTTTTCTAGAATAGTATAATATTCACCATCCTCTATTGGGAAAGAGAGTAAATTAGTAACAGTTTTAGAAAAATTTTGCTCGTTCCCACTGTTTGTAAGTAAAGTTAAATTTTTATTTTCCTCTTTAATTGCGTAAAATTCTGGCTTATTGTTTTCCTTCTGTATTGAAAATAATAGGTAAATGTCATCGTTCATCTTTTGTTTTTTTACTTTTTCGGTGAATGCAGGAAGGATGATAGGAATGAATACAAAAACGAAGGAAGGATCGTAAAGTACTCTTGCTACCATCACAGTAACATTTGAATTCAGTTTTTCTTCAAAATTGTTTTCTACTATAAATTTTTTAATTCTGATTTTTTGAATTTCATTATATGTCTTTCGTACATTTTTAAATTGATTTTCATAGACAACTTGCAATTCAGGTAGATTTTTTACGGAACAACCAGAAGGAACACTTATTTTTATAAAAAAATGATAATATGACATATAGTTTGTCACATATTCATTTTCATGTTCTTTAAAATAAGGAATGGGACAATGTTTCTCTAGTATAGTTTTTGCCAATAATCTTCGATTTTTTAATTCTCTCATTTCCTTCTCAAGTTTGTATAGAAGAATATTGTCAAAAAATTGATGTACAAAATTATTTAATCTTGCATTAATATATGAAAATAAAATCTTATAAGCTTCAGTCCAAAATTCTATATTTGATGAAATTTGATATTTTTCTCTGAATGTTTCTTTTTTCTTAGAGGCGTAAAAAAATAGTGCCGGTGTTGAGAAAACATTTAACATTATTTCATAAGTTTCGTTACCGTAAGCCTCTTGTAAATCAAACTCTCGTGTAATTGAAATTAAATCACCAAACGAAGCGTTTAGAGTTTCTCCAAGTATGGATTTGACAATTTTCAAACCAGCCATTGCGTACATATAATCCACTTCCGTTATGTTCATATCTTTATTTTCTGGCTCGGGAAATATTGGCAGGATATATTCAAAAAAAATTGTTTTAGCTGACAAAAAATTAAGTTTCGGGCTTTCGTTTGTTTTTGAACAGTAATCTATACTTGTGTAATTGTTAAAGAATTCCTGCTTTATAGTTTTCATCAGCGTGGAATAGGATGTATTATCTGCCTTGTTGATTATTTTTGCTAAATAATCGTTGATATTACCATAGTGTGAAAATAGAGCATTGTGGATGATGTACTGATATGTTTCATCTACGTATTTTGTATCGAGTGTTTCATTTTCGTCACCACCGTAAAGATCGGTTCCTTTTAATATTGTTTGTAGAAGCTGGAGTTTTGTTTCGATTACATTGTTTGAATTATCAAGGTATTTGAAATAAGTATTTAGTACAGGAACAGACTGATTTCGCTGATTCAATGTAATGAGACCTTTGTTGTAAAAAATAATTCCCAGAGTGTTAAGATAGTGACAAATGGATAAAAATTGAAAATTTGATGAATGTACGAAAACAGATGTGTCGTTCATCATGCTCCGATTTGCTATGAGTTGTACTTTTTAATTTTTTTTACTGTTGCTGTTGTATGTAACACTTTTATGAAGGTTTTTATTTTTCCTTAGGAGATCTGAAATAATTATATTGACATTTTGTTTAATTTAGATATAATTTTTTTATTTGATTATATGGTTTGATTTTAAATTCCAATAGAAAAATTGTGGTTTATAGAAAAATTTGAAACAATAAAAATCTTTGACGCAGTTAACAACATTTAATAAAATACTATAAAGTATAAATTTTTTAGTTTATTTATTATCTATTTACTTACAGAAAATAAGAACCCTTATTGTAAGACAGCAAACTTTAACTATAGTGTCTAGAAGATAATTATAAAAAAATTGAAATTTTTTTCGATATTTATAGTATTTTAATGTATAACTTGAGTAATGTTTTAAATATATATTGTCGTATGTACAATTTGTTTATGATAATTTTTTTTCTAAGAAACCCTGTATTGAGAAATTGACATTATTTCAAGGTCTGATTTTGTTTTACGCCTATAATAGCTTTAAAATTTGAAATATTGTGAAAATAAATAACTCATTAAAATTTGTATAGATTATTTTATCTTCTATAAATATAATTTAACATTGAAATTAAAAGTAAAGCAAACTTTAATAGAAGTGTTTCGAAATTATTAGGGTGTTTTCAGAGCGATTGAAGGAAATAAATTAAATTCGAAGAATTAATTTCAATTAAACAAATATTTAAAATGATATTTTCTTATAATAGAATGTTTGTGAGCTGTTAAAAAATGTAGCTATACACGTGTAAATTTGACCACATGTAATTACGCCGGTAATGATGACTTTGAAATTAAAAGTAATTTCTTTGAATAAACTTCACGTGTATTAACATGTGTACGTATATTTGATACTTTGAAATTTTTTCCAAATTTTGGGTATATTGTTTACACACACGGAATTACACGTGTAATAGATACTTTGATATTTTTTAAAAGTTTTAAAAAGTTTTTACATGTTTTAATTTTGTACGCTTGTAATTTATAATTAGTATTAAAAAATGATTTTGATTAAAATAAATATTACTATATATATTATAGTAATAACAACTTTAATAATACGTTAACATAATATATAATTTCTTGGTAGTAACCAAAAAGTTTGATTTGCGGTATAAGAAATTTAATTTTCAAATTATGAATTACTTAATATATATTTAATTATTAGTTTCTATTTAATTAGTTAATAATATATTAAGATTATTATTCCACATTAATATTGTATATTTAAATAATCATTTAATTGGTTAAAGTTAATAAAGTAAACGATGGGAAGGTAAAAGTGGAATAAAAATTCAAAAAATGTATCATCAAAAGAGCGACGTTTCGTTGGCTAAGGTTTTCCAATTTAATCAGGCTAAATTTATTAAACAGATAGAAACAAGTTCAATATAATAAGAAATTCGTTACATTTTGAAAATATCTAAAAATTTTAATATCATTAGAGAAGAATTTAAGATTATATATATATATCTCGGATCGAATATTCAATTCGAGCCCATGTTAATTCTTATGGAGCGGTTAGAATTTTAAAAACGTTCACAGCTCTAATATATATATATATATATATAAAAAAAGGTAAGATCATTAAAGCCGTTGGAATTACAAATCAACGTGAAACAACTCTTGTTGTCCTCTTAGGAGATCTGAAATAATTATATTGACATTTTGTTTAATTTAGATATAATTTTTATATTTGTTTATATGGTTTGAATTTAAATTCCAATAGAAAAATTGTGGTTTATAGAAAAATTTGAAACAATAAAGATAAAAATTATTGTAAAACAGCAAGCTTCAACTATATAGTGTCCAGAAGATAATTATAAAAAAATTGAAATTTCTTTCGATATTGATTACAATTTATTTATGATATTTTTTTTTCTAAGAAATCTTTCACTGAAAAATTGACATTCTGAGTTTTTTTTATACCTGTATTATAATAGCTTAAAAATTTGAATAGATTATTTTTATCTACAATAAATAAAATTTAACATTTAAATTAATAGAAAAGTAAACTTTAATTAGTAATAAATTAATATCGAAGAAAAAAATTTAAGTTAAACAAATATTTGAAGCGTTATTTTCTTATATATAAGAGAATGTTGATGACCTCCTAGAAAATATATAGCTACACGTGTAAATTTGGCCAATGATTTATATCGAAAAATTTAACAATTGTTACACATAGAATTATTTTGATATTTTATTTTTTTTATATATAATTTAAATATCATTAACGTAAAACATAATATCCGATAAAAATAAATCATTTAAATTATTTACTAATTTAACCATACGCTTTTCGTTTGTAAATTTATCAACGTTAAGTAAAATAAAATTAACATTCTTCCCCTCAATAGTTTTAGTAATTATTCTATTTTTTTTCAATTCTAAACTTTGTGGAATATAATATTCTAGCTTTGTTGGAAATTTAAAATGCGGATCAATATATGCAATTCCAGCTATATTATTTAATTCCACTTGACTGAATAATATTTTTTTATTGTTGGTATTTGGGATGTATTTCATAGCCGCTTCTTGAGTCTCATGAAATGGATTATCTGAATTATATGGTATAATTGTATCTTTTTCACTTGTTAAAATTTTAATGTAATTTCTATTAGGAACATTAAGAGCATGATAAAGTGTAATTGGTGTTTTTATAATATCTTTATTACATTGTCTTAGGGCCAATCTCATTAATGCAACATAAAATCTTTTTTGCCAATTTATATCTCGTTTTAAATTACCAGAAAAATATGAATGAATAACGAAGTAATCCTCAAATCGCATATTATTTTGATATCCTATTATTTTCTTGTAACTTTTAAATACAGGTTCCACCTCCTGTATATAAAGACCATCAAATATTTTCTCAATTGTTTTCTGAGCAGATTCTAAATTTTTAACTTCATATAAAGAATATTGAAATAGTACATCATTAATAAAAATGTTATTTTTTATTTTATATTTGCTATATATATTTGGAATTGAACCGCCTGCAAAAATTTCTTTTGCCAATGATTCATAAGATGGAATTGAACTTTGACTAAAACTTGTTTTTAAAATGTATTCTTCTAACATTTTTTTGGAATCAGTATATCTATGTAGAGGTGTTTTTGTCGATATAAAATATGCAGCATCTTCAATATCTAAACCTCTTATTGATTGTCCTACTTCAACACTGTTAATTAACTTTAAATTTTCTTCTCTAATTTTCATCCATTTCTCTTTCTCTATTGGTTTTTGTACTAAATCCATTTGTAAAATAGAATTTCCATTAATGTAATAAGTATTCTCTACAATGAATTCAAGTTCGGGAAATACAATATATTGGTTTTTTAATGTATTCTGAAATTTAGAAAGATCGACGAGTCCAAATTGAGAATTTATCTTTATGTGAAAACGTACTTCCTTTTCTAAGGAAAATTTTGCCAATTTTTTAGATTCAATGGGTGGAACATCTGTTAAAAATGTAAGATCATTAAAATAAAATCCTTTTCCTTTTAATTTCTCCAATTTTGTAACAAAAGTACGTCTCACTGATTTATCTGTAAACCATAATTCTCTTGGAAGTTTAAAATCAATTATAATATTCTGCAATTTTGATAATGTCTCCATAAAGCTTCGAATTTTATACAAACTTAATTTATTATCTTTCAAACCAGAAATTCCATTTTTTTCAAAATCCACTAATATCTCAGTACAACTCTTGTACCAGTCTTCTTTATAAGATTTAAATTTTTTGTCAAAATCATCAGTTGGCAAATTTCCTTTCGAAGTAATTTGTTCAATTCCCCTTGAAGTTGACGGAATATTATCACTTGGTAAACCTTCTCTAATAATTGGATGTTCAGTTTCAATTGAATTTTTAAAAATTTTACTTTCTCGTGGATTTAGATTAATGTAAAAATTATCATATAAAAATAATTCATTTAACTTATTTACCAATTTAACCATTCGTGTTTCTTTTGGAATTTCAATCTCCTGCATTACAAGTGTGACAAAATCAAAATCATTAATTGATGTTTTTACTTTTCCAAAATTTTTGAAATTTATTACATCAGGAATATAATACATTTCCTTGGGAACTTGGAAATAATTAGAATCTATGTAAACTATTCCTGATGGATTTTTAATTTCCAATTTAGTTAATAGTAAGGGATTAAAAACATTAGTAATGGGAGTATTTTTTACAGCATCTTCAGCATTGGAATAAAAAGCAACATTATTTATTTTAAAACGATTACGATAGTATTTAAGTGATACTAGTTCTTTCCAATCTTCAGGACTTAATTCAGCAGCGTGATAGAGAGTGTTTGGAATTTTGATAATATCATCACACTGTCTAAGGGCCAATCTGTAAAGTGATGCCAAAAAACTTTTTTGTGCATGTAAAGTTGGTGGTAAAGTATTAGCCAAATGTGAATACAATACATAATAATCTTCAAATCGCATACTTTGACGAATTGAAAGTAACTTATAACTTTCATATACAGTTTCAATATTCTCTAAATGAGTCCCATCAAAAATATGGTTTATTGTTTGTTTCGCAATTTCTAAATTTTTAACCTGATACGCAGTGTCTTTAAATAGCACATCGTCAATAAAAATGTGATTCTTTATTTTCCATTCATTAAATATATCAGGAGGTGTAATACCAGCGTTGATTTCCTTTGCCATCTTTTCATAAGTAGGAACACGAGTTTCAATTGGATCGATTCTTAAAATGTAACCTCTTAACATTTCTTCCATTTCAGTTAATCTATGCCGAGGAGTATTTAACGAGATAAGATTAGCAGCATTCTCAATATCTACATTTCTTGCATATGTGGATATTTCTTGAGTCTTAAATAATGAATTACACTTCATTCTATATATCAGCCAATTTCTTTTCAATATTGGCATTTGTTTTAGTTCTAAAAGTAAAAAATCCTTTCCATTTTTGAATTCCGTATTTACTACTGTAAATTCAAGTTCTGGAAAAACGGCAAATTTATTTTTCCAACTTTTATCAAATGCTGCCAAATCAACAAGTCCATATTGAGATTCAATTGTCATGTGATAACGAACTTCTGTTGTTAAGGAATATGATTTTTTATTAACAATATTAATTTCACTTGGACGAATATCTGTCAATAGGGTAATATCATTGAAATAAAAATCCTGTCCTTTCATTTGCTCCAAATACTTAACAATATGGGGTCTGTTTAATGTTTGTTTAAACCAAAGTTCTGTTGGCATTTTGTGCAACATTACGTCTTGATTTAAACGTATTCTCTCTAAATTTTTTTGTAATATTATTAATTTTTCTTTCTTTTTGTATAAATTTGCATAATTTTCTGGCTTTAAATTTTCTAAAGATAATAACATTTCACGATAATTATTTTCTCCATACGTAATTTTTGATTGGAGATTACTTAAAATTAATTCTTCAGATTGTCGCGAACTATCGAGAATATTATCACTTGGCACAATTTCTCGTGATGTACCTGGATTTGGTGTCTTATTCCATTCAATCGTATTATGATAAATGTGAACATCATTTATTATTTTCGTATCTTCATGTAGATTAAAATAAGGCATAAGTCTCCGAATAAGCACTTTTCTGTCCATTCCAGAAATATCAACATTTGGCAAAGTATCCGTAGAAAAAAGTTGTGAGGATTTTTTTGATGTTGAAGGAATATCATCAGTTGACAAACCTCCTTTTAATTGTGTTTCCGGATTAAATTTATAGGGTATTATTTTTGTGTCTTCAAGATAAGGTAGGTTACATCGTAGTAGATCATTTTCTCCCATTTCCAGTTTTATATTAGAAATTTCATTAGTTGATGGATTATATTCACGATAGGAAATTTTGTTCATGTTATCTTTTACTGGCAACACGGGAACTTGAAGTGAACTGCCTTCAATCGTTCTTAGTTCTGCAGTATTTCCAAATGATAATAAGCATGTGGGTCCAAAGTAATTTTCACCGTTCGGATAATAGTATTGAACGAGTTTATAATTATTCTCTTCTCTCAGAACCTTTGGTATCAGACCATTAAATGTTGATAGTTTCATATTCATATTAAGTTTTTTTAACATAGTTGATAATAACAATTTTAGATTTGTATTGATCTTTGGAATTTTTTGAATCATAGTGTTATAAATCTTGTGCAATTTTTGGTAGCCAAACTTCCCTAAGCTGCTGATTAATTCTAATCCAGGATCTATAACTCGTAGGAAGGTAATAGATAAATCTTTTAACAGAGACTTGGTAAGAATTTCCTGCGAAACGGTTTTGGTAATTAGTTTTGCAATTTGGAATAATGAATTAAATTTAGTGGCACTTGATAGGGTTGTACTGATTACATATTTTTCACTTAATCTAGTTACTAAGCTGGTGGTTATTTTTGTTGCATAGTTTGCAGCAAAACCCGCTACAGGGATCAGGGTGAGAACATCTAGAGAACAACTCATAACTGCATCTTCTATGTTTTTTCCTATTATGTTTTCAATACAATTGTAAAATGGTACAAGTACTTTAACAAAATTAAAAATCTTCTCTTTTGTTGTTTCATTTTTATAGTCTTCCATTAGCTTATTTACAAATTGTGTTGTCTTCATTTCGGCAATCCTTTCAATAAATGCTTCGCTATTTTCATTAGCTGTTTTAAGAATTGTGGAATATTCACCACTGTCTATTGGAAAAGAGAGTAAATTAGTAACTGCTTTAGAAAAATTTTGCTCGTTACCACTGTTTGTAAGTAAAATTAAATTATTATTTTCCTCTTTAATTGCAAAAAATTCTGTCATATTGTTTTCCTTCTGTATTGAAAATAATAGGTAAATGTCTTTGTTTATCTGTTTTTTTATTAATGGACCGTTGTATGTTCTAAAAGGATCGTAAAGTACTCTTGCTGACATCACAGTAACATTTGAATTCAATTTTTCTTCAAAATTGTTTTCTATTATAAATTTTTTAATTCTAATCTTTTCAATTTCATTATATGTCTTTTGTACATTTTTAAATTGATTTTCATAGACAACTTGCAATTCGGGTAGATTTTCTAAAAAACAACCAGAAGGAAGAAATAGTTTTACAAAAATATGAGAATATGACATATAGTTTGTCACAAATTCAGATGAATGATTTTTAAAATGAGAATAGGTACAATATTTCTCTAGTATAGTTGTTGCCAATAATCTTCGATTTTTTAATTCTTTCATTTCCTTCTCAAGTTTGTATAGAGGAATATTGTCAAAAAATTGATGTACAAAATTATTCATTCTTGTATTAATATATGAAAATAAACTCTTATAAGCTTCAATCCAAAATTCTATATTTGACGAAATTTGATATTTTTCTCTGAATGTTTCTTTTTCCTTAAAGGCGTAAAAAAATAGTGCCGGTGTTGAGAAAACATTTAACATTATTTCATAAGTTTCGTTACCGTAAGCCTCTTGCAAATCAAACTCTCGTGTAATTGAAATTAAATCACCAAACGAAGCGTTTAGAGTTTCTCCAAGTATGGATTTGACAATTTTCAAACCAGCCATTGCGTATAAATAATCCACTTCCATTATGTTCATATCTTTATTTTCTGGCTCGGGAAATATTGGCAGAATATATTCAAAAAAAATTGTTTTAGCTGACAAAAAATTAAGTTTCGGGCTTTTGTTTGTTTTTGAACAGTAATCTTTAATTGTGTAATTGTTAAAGAATTCCTGCTTTATAGTTTTCATCAGCGTGGAATAGGATGTATTATCTGCCTTGTTGATTATTTTTGCTAAATATCCGTTAATATTACCATAGTGTGAAAATAGAGCACTGTTGATGATGTACTGATATGTTTCATCAACGTATTTTGTATCGAGTGTTTCATTTTCGCCACCACCGTAGAGATCGGTTCCTTTTAATATTATTTGTAAAAGCTGAAACTTTGTTTCGGTTTCATTATTAGAATTATTAAGATATTTAAAATAAGTATTTAGTACAGGAATAGACTGATTTCGTTGATTTAATGTAATTAGACCTTTGTTGTAAAAAATAATTCCCAAAGTTGTAATATAGTGACAAACAGATAGGTATTGAAAATTGGATGAATGTTGTACAAAAACTGACATGTTGTTCATTGTGCTCCGATTCGCTTTACGTTCTGTTTACTTTTTAATTGTTTTCCGGTTGCTTTTATGAAGATTTTTATTTTTCGTTGGGAGATCTGAAATAATTATATTTTTAGAGACTCATGAATTTTGTTTAAATTTTAAATGGCTTAAAACTTAATTGACCTTAATTCAAATGGCCTAAAAGTCGTATATACTAATATTATTACTTGGCTTCTGAACACAATTTTCCATAATTATCATTTGAAATAATTTTCACCTGTCCTAATTATCATTTGTACTAAACGCCGCTGAAACTAATTTTCTTTTGATCTTACAGAAAAAAGGTGGATAAAAAGTTGTAAAGATAGAGGATAAAAGTCGTTAGGATACAGGGTAAAGGATAAAGTGATGGATAAAAATGTTACTAAAATATTACTAGAAAAATGGATGTCATATTTGAGTAAACTGTCTAATTTTAATAAAAATATTAGTAATTTTACACTTAACTTATTAATTCCACAAATTTTATATAAATAACTAATTGCACGTGGAAATATTTTTCCTATAATTATTGTCTATTAATAAAAATATCTTTGACTAATCCAACTGAAAGCTCACGACATTGCGTAAATAATCAGAACTGGGAAATTACAACTTAACGTCTGTATTGTTGCACGAAAGCAGAGTTGGGTAGTAAGTGAATTTTTTGTGCATATTAGGCTGTGTCAGTTCATCGAGATATTTCGAGTTCAAGATATGACGTCAGAGGCCTGGAGGGACAACAAACAGACGACACAATATTATTCTTACGGGGAAGAAAATTTGTTTCCACTTTCATCAATTTTATTCATACTTTAAACACGGAAAACGCTTGTTGACATATAATAAAATTAAAATGTGTCTTGATAATTAATTTTGTTATATATTTGATTCATTTGCATTGATAGATTCTCTGAATTCGTGATACAATGTAAATTTTGAGGTTAGAAAAGTTTGTTTACTAATCACATTTTACATTTTAACAACATTATTAAACAATATCAAGTGTGCATGTTATTAAAAAAGATATAAAATATATATTTTAAGTGGGAATTACCGCAGCAGTAAGAGATTTCAAGTTAGTAAACAAACACCCCTAACCTCAAAATTTATATTTTATTACGAATTCAGAGAATCTATCAATGCAAATGAATCAAATATATAACAAAATTAATTATCAAGACACATTTTAATTTTATTATATGTCAACAAGCGTTTTCCGTGTTTAAAGTATGAATAAAATTGATGAAAGTGGAAACAAATTTTCTTCCCCGTAAGAATAATATTGTGTCGTCTGTTTGTTGTCCCTCCAGGCCTCTGACGTCATATCTTGAACTTGAAATATTTCAATGAACTGACACAGTCTAATATGCACAAAAAATTCAGTTACTACCCAACTCTGCTTTCGTGTAACAATACAGACGTTGAGTTGTAATTTCCCAGTTCTGATTATTTACGCACTGTCGTCAGCTGTCAGTTGTATTAGTCAAAGATATTTTTATTAATAGACAATAACACTGGGTTACAAAAAAATGGTAAACTCGTGTTTATTTAAAATTTTTTGTGTTTATTGAAAGTTTAGGTATCACTGAACAAGAATATACCCAAAAAAAAAATTTCCATTCGGTCAGTTCCGTAGAAAACGAGACTAAAGTGTCAAAAAATCGCCTTTTTAGCACTTTTTGAAGCGTTGTAAAACGAAAACGCAACAAGATAAAAATCTTCACGAGGACTTGAATGAAAGCTTAAACCTTCAACTTTGAGTTCCAAAACTGAAAAGTGAATAATAATTGCGCAGAAAATTTATATAACATGAAATGAATATCTCAAAAAGTCAAAATAGCTGGGATAGAGAGCACTTGTTAAAAATCGATTTTCATAACCGAATTTATTTGGAACTTGTTACTTGGAAGTTTTTAACGTTTCTATTGACGTTTCGAAAGTTGAATTTAAAAAATTCAAAATGGCGGATTAAGAATGGCGTTCAAAAATGGAGTGAATTTTTTCGCAGTTTTTTCCTCGGGGTTTTTTGAAATATTTGAACGCCATTTTTAATTCGCCATTTTGAATTTTTTAAATCCAACTTTCGAAACGTCAATAGAAACGTTGAAAACTTCCAAGTAACAAGTTCCAAATAAATTCGGTAATGAAAATCGATTTTTAACAAGTGCTCTCTATCTCAACTATTTTGAATATTTGAGATAGTTATTTCATGTTAAATAAATTTTCTGCGCAATTATCATGCACTTTTCAGTTATGGGACTCAAAGTTGAAGGTTGAAGCTTTCATTCAAGCCCTCGTGAAGGTTTTTATCTTGTTGGGTTTTCGTTTTACAACGCTTCAAAAAGTGCTAAAAAGGGATTTTTTTGACACTTTAATCTCGTTTTTTACGGAACTGACCGAATGAAGATTTTTTTTTTGGGAATATTTTTGTTCAGTGACACCTAAACTTTCAATAAACACAGAAAATTTTAAATAAACACGACTTGACCATTTTTTTGTAACCCAGTGTAATTATAGGAAAAATATTTCCACGTGCAATTAGTTATTTATATAAAATTTGTGGATTTAATAAGTTAAGTGTAAAATTACTAATATTTTTATTAAAATTAGACAGTTTACTCAAATATGACATACATTTTTCTGTAATATTTTAGTAACATTTTTATCCATCACAAATTTATCCTTTAACCTGTATCCTAACGATTTTTATCCTCTATCTTTACAACTTTTTATCAATTTTTTTTCTGTGGCTAATCTTTATAAAACCTAATTCTCATTTTGCCTAATTTTACATTATCCTAATTTTTACTTGTTCTAATATTATAATCTAACATAATTCTAAAATGGCTTTTTTTTAAAGGGGCTATTGGGAAATCTGTATACAGATACCTTGGCTTCCGCATGCCAATGTTATGTGGGGTTGGTAAAAAAAAGGAAAACACTAAACAAAATAAGCTGGCGAACTACTACCAGCCCCGACCCACTAAAAACCCGTCAACTATTCTTAGGAGCCCTTGGCTTAATCTTTATGTAACCTAATTCTCTTTTGGCCTAATCCTCATTTTGATCTAATTCTCACTTGGTCTAAACTTCATTTGTCACCCACTTATTAACGTGACTGATAATTATGAAAAATTGTGTTTAGGCCAAATAATAATTAGGTCAAATAAAAATGAGGCTTAAAAAGTACTAGATTACAGAAAATTTACGCCTAGTGAGATTTAGAGCAGATAAATATTATGTTAAATAAGAATTGGGTTAAATTAAGATTATGTCAAATGAGGATTAGAACAAGTGAGGATTAGATGGAATCAAGATTAGAAGTATTAGAACAAATAATAATTAGGTTATATAGAAATTAGGCGAAGTAATAATTAGTTCATACGACATTTAGGCCAATTGAATTTAGATCAATTAAGTTTTAGGCCATTTGAAATTTAGAGAAAATTCCTGCGCTTCTTATTTTAATTTTAATAAAATATTAAATTGTAAAATTTCTAGTTTATTATTATATATTTACTTACAGAAAATAAAAATACATTTTAAAACAACAACATCAACTATAGTGTCTAGAAGATAATTTATAAAGAATTGAAATTTCTTTTTATATTTAAATTTTTTTAATATATGATTTGAATAATATTTTATTTATAGTTTTGTGTGTACAATTTGTTTATGATAATTTTTGTTTCAAGAAATCATCTACTGAGAAACTGATATTATTTCAAATACTTAGTTTCTTACACGTGTATTATAATAGCCTTTAAAATTTTTTAATATTATTAAAATAAATAATTCATTCGTTTACTCTATCTTATCTACTATTAAAATAAAATTCAACAGTTAAATTAAAAATGAAGGTAACTTTTATTATAGTTATCATATTAAGGTATTTTTACACTCTAATAAATTAATATCAAGGGAAAAAATTTTATTTCAGCTCAAAAAAAAACAATTATTAAATTTATTTAGATATCATTAACGTAGAACTTAACATTTGATGATAGTAAAGTATTTAACTTAACTGCTAATTTAGCAATAAGTTTCTCTTGAATAAAATTGATTTTACTAAACTTATAAATGGTAATTAACATTCCGTTAATGGTTTCAGTGTGCTTGCGAATTTTCATAAATTGTACTTCTTGAGGAATAATATAAAATTCTTTTTCAAATGGAAAAACACGACCAATATTTGCTATTCCTGCCTCGTTAAACATTTCAAATTCACACAATATTATTTTCTCCCATGGTTTAATGAGTGGAAAATCTTTAATTACTTTTTCCCGATTTGAATAACAGCCAATCATTTTTTTTAAAATTGGCACATGACCATTTAATTTATTTACAACAAAAACAGTATAAAGAGTAATTGGTTTATTTATTAGCATTTCATTCATAGACTGTCTTAAAGCAAGTCGATATAATGAAATTGCTAATCGTTTTTGTCCATTTACATCTATTGATAAAGTATTAGAAAAATATGAATATATAACATAGTAATCTTCAAATCGAATTTGATTTTCAATTAATGATACACTCTGATACATTTTAAATACAAATTCAACATTCTGTAAATAAACTCCACTAAATAATTGATTAATTATTTGTTTTGCCGATTCCAATGAATTAATTTTATGTAATTTATCATAAAACAATACATCATCAATAAAAGGACCATTAAATATTTCAAACTGTTTATAGTTCTTTGGAATTTTAAAATTAACATAATAATCTTTTGCCAATTCATCATAAGTAGGAACATTACTTGTATATTGATCAGTATTTAAAATAAATTTTTTAAAAATTATTTTCATATCTCTAAATCTTTGTAAAAGAAATTTAGATGATATTGATAAAGCAGCATTCTCAATACATTTTATTATTTTAGTTGATTCTATTTCTTCAATATCAAGTAAAATTAAATCTCTTTCTCTAATTGCCATCCAATCAGAAATTGGCATTGATTTTTGATTTAAATCTAAAATTAATAGACGATTTTTATTTAAAAATTTTACACTATGTACATTGAATGAAATTTCTGGAAATACAATGTAATCGTTTTTAAAACTATCATGAAATTCAGCAAGATTGATAAATCCATTTTTAGAATGAAAATTTACACAATAGAGAACTTCTATTTCGGTATTAGTTAATGATAATTTTTTATTGATAATATTATTTGGTTTAATATCGTTTAATAGTGTAATGTCATTAAAATAAAAATTGGATCCTTTTAATTTACTTAAATAATTATCAATAATTATGGAATAAGTTATTGTTTGATGAAAATAAAGTTTTTTTACTTCATTTAAAGTTGTATCAATATTTTGAAATTGAGATAAATAATTGAGAAGTAATCGAACTGATTGCATGGTAAATTTATCTTCCTTTATAAGTTGTAATCCTTGCTTTTTAAATTTCTTTAATGATTCAACGTATAAATTGTAGTTTTCTTCGCCTAATTCGTCAATGTAATGATTCAAGGGAATTTGAGGCAAAATTTCTTTTGTAAGAGGTTGTACTGAATCCATTAAAATTCCAGTACGACGTGCAGAAAAATTTTCTTTTGAATTAATTTCTCCAGATGGAGGATTTTTCATTGTTTCAAGTGAACTATCAGAATTAATATTTTTAATTAAAGACAAATCTGGATTTAAATGTTCATCTGCATTAGACTTTTTCTTCTTTATTGGCGTCTTATCCAATTGATTCGTATTGGAATGAAAATTAACTGCAATTTTTGTATTCACATCAGAAAAGTCAGTACTCGTTACACTTACTTGAAAATTAAATTGACTTGATCCCTTTGAAGTGGAAGCAATATCATCAGTTGGTAAACCTCCATTAACTGATTGTTCAGATTCCATTGGTGTTCTAGGAATATTTGATGAACTTTCTGGTAAATTAATAGGAATATTTTCATTTGTCACTCCTTGTGGTGAATTATGGAGATTAATATTTGAAGGAAAATTAACATTTCCATTTAAATTATGATTAATATTCATTGGCGTCTTATTCCATTCAATCGTATTATGATAAATTTGAACATCATTTATTATTTTCGTATCTTTATGTAGATTAAAAAAAGAAATAAGTCTCCGAATAAGCACTTTTCTGTCCATTACAGTAATATCAACATTTGGCAAAGTATCCGTAGAAAAAAGTTGTGAGGATTCTTTTGATGTTGAAGGAATATCATCAGTTGACAAACCTCCTTTTAATTGTGTTTTCGGATTAAATTTATAGGGTATTATTTTTGTCTCCTCCAGATAAGGTAGATTACTTCGTAGTAGATCATTTTCTTCCATTTCCAGTTTTATATTAGAAATTTCGTTAGTTGATGGATTATATTCACGATAGGAAATTTTGTTCATGTTATCTTTTACTGGCAACACGGGAACTTGAAATAAATTGCCTTCAATGGTTCTTAGTTCTGCAGTATTTCCAAATGATGATATGCATTTGGGTCCAAAGAAATTTTCACCGTTCGGATAATAGTATTGAACGAGTTTATAATTATTCTCTTCTCTTACAACCTTTGGTATCAGACCATTAAATGTTGACAGTTTCATATTCGTATTAAGCTTTTTTAACAAAGTTGTTAATAACAATTTTAGACTTGTATTGATCTTTGGAATTTTTTGAATCATAGTGTTATAAATCTTGTGCAATTTTTGATAGCCAAACTTCCCTAAGCTGCTGATTAATTCAAATCCAGGATCTATAACTCGTAGGAAGGTAATAGATAAATCTTTTAACAAAGACTTGGTAAGAATTTCCTGCGAAACGGTTTTGGTAATTAGTTTTGCAATTTGGCATAATGAATTAAATTTAGTGGCACTTGATAAGGTTGTACTGATTACATATTTTTCGCTTAATCTAGTTGCTAAGCTGGTGGTTATTTTTGTTGAATATTTTGCAGCAAGACCTGTTACAGGCATCAAGGTGAGAACATCTAGAGAACAACTAATTACGGCATCTTCTGCATTTTTTGCTATTATATTTTCAATACAATTGTAAAATGGTACAAGTACTTTAACAAAATTAAAAACCTTCTCTTTTGTAGTTTCATTTTTATAGTCTTCCATTAGATTATTTACAAATTGTGTTGTCTTTATTTCTGCAATTCTCTCAGCAAATGCTTCGCTATTTTCATTAGCTTTTTTAAGAATTGTGGAATATTCACCACTATCTATTGGGAAAGTGAATAAATTAGTAACTGCTTTAGAAAAATTTTGCTCCTTCCCACTGTTTGTAAGTAAAGTTAAATTTTTCTTTTCCTCTTTAATTGCAAAAAATTCTGTCATATTGTTTTCCTTCTGTATTGAAAATAATAGGTAAATGTCATTGTTTATCTGTTTTTTTATTAATGGACCGTTGTATGTTCTAAAAGGATCGTAAAGTACTCTTGCTGACATCACAGTAACATTTGAATTCAATTTTTCTTCAAAATTGTTTTCTATTATAAATTTTTTAATTCTAATCTTTTCAATTTCATTATATGTCTTTTGTACATTTTTAAATTGATTTTCATAGACAACTTGCAATTCGGGTAGATTTTCTAAAAAACAACCAGAAGGAAGAAATAATTTTACAAAAATATGAGAATATGACATATAGTTTGTCACAAATTCAGATGAATGATTTTTAAAATGAGAATAAGTACAATATTTCTCTAGTATAGTTGTTGCCAATAATCTTCGATTTTTTAATTCTCTCATTTCCTTCTCAAGTTTGTATAGAAGAATATTGTCAAAAAATTGATGTACAAAATTATTTAATCTTGCATTAATATATGAAAATAAAATCTTATAAGCTTCAGTCCAAAATTCTATATTTGATGAAATTTGATATTTTTCTCTGAATGTTTCTTTTTTCTTAGAGGCGTAAAAAAATAGTGCCGGTGTTGAGAAAACATTTAACATTATTTCATAAGTTTCGTTACCGTAAGCCTCTTGTAAATCAAACTCTCGTGAAATTGAAATTAAATCACCAAACGAAGCGTTTAGTGTTTCTCCAAGTATGGATTTGACAATTTTTAAACCAGCCATTGCGTATAAATAATCCACTTCCATTATGTTCATATCTTTATTTTCTGGCTCGGGAAATATTGGCAGAATATATTCAAAAAAAATTGTTTTAGCTGACAAAAAATTAAGTTTCGGGCTTTTGTTTGTTTTTGAACAGTAATCTATAATTGTGTAATTGTTAAAGAATTCCTGCTTTATAGTTTTCATCAGCGTGGAATAGGATGTATTATCTGCCTTGTTGATTATTTTTGCTAAATATCCGTTAATATTACCATAGTGTGAAAATAGAGCACTGTTGATGATGTACTGATATGTTTCATCAACGTATTTTGTATCGAGTGTTTCATTTTCGCCACCACCGTAGAGATCGGTTCCTTTCAATATTATTTGTAGAAGCTGAAGTTTTGTTTCGATTTTATTGTTGGAATTATTAAGATATTTAAAATAATTATTTAGTACAGAAACAGTCTGATGTCGTTGATTCAATGTAATTAGACCTTTGTTGTAAAAAATAATTCCCAAAGTTGTAATATAGTGACAAACAGATAGAAATTGAAAATTTGATGAATGTTGTACTAAAACTGATGTGTCGTTCATCATGCTCCGATTTGCTTTATCTTCTATTTACTATTTAATTTCTTTCACTGTTGTATTTACACAAGTTTTTTTTTATTTTTCCTCAGAAGATCTATAAAATCCAAAAAAAGTTAACAAAAAAATTTTTTTTAATAGAAATTAATTATAATTAAAGAAATGAAATTTTTTTTATTGCTGATTTAAGAAAATTTTAATTGAAAATTTTGTAATTACCTTACAAAAAAAAAAACTAATGACACGTTTATGTAAAATGATTCACCTCGTGTCTAGAAAATAAAATGCAAAGAAATAAAATTTACTTCTGTATTTAAAGTGTTTTAATTATTTGACTATATTAAATACTCGTTTCTTTTTTGTTGATATGAGATATAATTTAAAAAATTTTAAACACATAATTTTTAAATTTGAATAAATTAATTTGAAAAATGTAACTTTTTTAATTTGTGTCTTATATTTACAAATTTTAACATTAAATTATTTTATGTAATCAAAAATTTTGTCAAAAAAAAAAATTAATAAAAAATTTTTATTTAGTTAGATATAAGATATCAATTTTTTTCCATAGTTTAAAAAAAATTTTAATTAGTAGATTTATATTTTCGATATACCTATCATTTTTTTTTATATTTGATGACTTTTTTTTTACATACTTTTTTCAGGGAGTCGATTATGTAATTTGTTTTGACTTTGACGTCAAAGTCAAATTTATTTTTTGGATTGCAATACGTCAAATTGCTATTAAAAAATAAAATGAATGCGACGTTAAATTGAAATAAAAAATTAAATTTTAATTAATATAATTTAATTTAACGTCAAATCATATTAACATAATCGACTTATTTTATTTTGTTATTTTATTTTCGTGTAATGTTTTTCATTTTGCTTACTTTATTTATGTACGAATTTTTGTTAGAAATAAATCTAATAAAGTTTCAAAAGATTTATTTTATTTTTTTTTCACGAAAATACCTATTAAAAAAATAATAAAATTGCAAAAATGTGTATAAAAAAGATCGTAAATTTTTGAAAATTTTTTTTCTGTTAAATTTTTTTTTTTAAATTATCGGGTAATATATCAGCAAAACAAAATTTTTATATGAATATACATATTTCAAAATGATTTCCACACGTGACGGATAAATATTTCAAGGTTTAAATTATTGTATAAATGAACAACTGATTAAATAAGTAGAAATGGAACTTTTTTTACCATAAATTCGTTAATGACTTTATAAAGATAAATGTTTATTAGTTTTACTGTCAAATATAAAATAGTAGACCGATTGAAATATTCAGTTAATAATCAAGTGATTGTATATAGTTAAATTTTGCTGTCATAATATTTTTTGCCAGAAAAATAAATGGTAAATTTTTAAGTCAATTTTTAAATAAATTTCAATAATATTTCGTAAAATTTAATATAAAATTTGTTAATTTCAGATTTCTTTTCTAAAATGAACAATTTAACATTTATTCAAGAATCGACAAATTTTCAATTTCTTTCCGTATGTCATTACATCAATAGTTTGGGTATAATTTTTTCCAATTTGAATTTAATTTCCTTGGACGAGAGAAATAATTCAATTATTATTTTGAATACATTTTTTCAATATTTAAATAATTCTATTGAAAATGATGAATCAATGTTAAAACTTGAATTACTTCGAAGAATATTAAAAGGAAGTGATCTTTATGGTGGTGAAAAAAATGAAACACTCGACATGAAATACGTAGATGAAACATATCAATACATCATTAATACTGCTCTATTTTCTCACTATGGAAATATTAATGGATATTTGGCTGGAATTATAAATAGAAGGGACAATATTTTATATTCACTATTTAAAAAAAATGTGTTTCAACATTTTTCCCAAAATTACACGAGTCAGGATTATTGTTGGACAAGAAATGAAAATATAAAACTAACATCATTGACAATTGAAAAAGTATTTAATGATTATATTTGGTCTATATTTCCTCCACCAGAGGATAATAATATGGAAATAATTGATTTAAATTATATATATGCAATGATTGGTTTAAAAATTGTCAGATCAATTAATGGTGATATTAAAAATCAAACATTTCAAAGTTATATTCTTATATCACGAGCTATTGAATTTCAAATATTTACCAATGAAACAAAACAATTGGCATTGGAATTATTTTCAATGCCGGCATTATTTTATTATGCTTACAAATTTAAGGTAGAATTTCAAAATTTTAATTTAAATTTCAGTAATGAATTTTGGTTTGAGGTTTATGAGAATTTTTTTTTCTTTCTTAATATTCAAATACAAAAAAGTATTAATGGTGAAATTAAAAAAAGTTTACATTATAAATTTCAAAAAAAATTTGAGAAATTAAAAAGTCGAACCTACATTGCCGCTGAGATAATTTATTTGATTTGTGATTATTCAAATATTGCTCAAGTTTCTCCGATTTATATTTATATATACAAAACTGCACAGTGGTTATTGAAATATATTCTTCCGGACAATTGTCGTGATATTCCTGATTTAGAAGAATATTATAATCTTCAATTTAGTGATATTGTAAAAATTTACAATGAAATTGAACAAAATTCATTGGAACAAGTTTTAAAGGATGGTAATCTAATTGAAAAAATGGATATAAATACAACAGTTGAGCTTGCAATTGTTCCTGATTATCCAATGTATTACACAACAATTCCACCAACGCCAAGAAAAGTAAATTCTGATATATATTTAATATTTGCTATAAAAAATAATAAACCCGATTACTATGCAATTAAACAGGAAAATAATTCTTTAACATTACTTAAAAGTAATAATAATGAACAAGAATTTGCCAAAGCAATTGCTAATGATTCAACATTAAAAATGCAATTACATTCATTTGCTCCTAATCTTAAAAATTCCAATGAAAATTATAAGGGATTTATTAAAAGAATTGCCGATATTAAAACAAAACAATTTAAAAATGGTTTGGTAAATTATTACAATGAGCCAACGGATATAGAAAAGATTTTTGATTTTTTAAAATCTCTTGTACCATTTTACACATGTATTCAAAGTATTAGAATAAATAATAAAGCACAAGCTGCATTAAGTTGCAGTATTGATATTATGAGTTTTCTACCAATGGCAGGAGTTGGAACAAAATATTCATCAATACTTTGGAGTAGTTTAACCGCTGAAATGATAACACGAGAATTTTTGAGTGTATCGAGACAAATTATCAAATTACCAATAACTACGGGATTATTTCATATTTATAAATCAGTTATGCAAACATTTGGTAAAAATTTTTTTATAAAAAATTTTTTTAAAGATTTAACAATCGCTTCCCTACGAACCCTTGATCCGGGTTTTGAATTAATTTATCAAGTATCAAAATTTTCATATCGATTACTAGGGAAATTATTTCACAGCCTACCATTGAGAATGAAAATAATTCCAGAAATTAAAAATCTATTATCAATCTCAAAAAATATTAATAAAAATTTACTACCCTATATGGAATTATCATCAAAAATTGTTAAGGAAGATAATTTTAAAATTATTAGATACATTTATCCAGGTGGTTTAAATTATTTTGGACCCACTTGTATATCGTCATTTGGAAAAATTGCAGAATTAAGAACCATTGAGGGAAATCCATTTCAAGTACCCGTTATACCAATAAGGGAAATTGATAAAATTTCCTATCGTGAATATAATCCAAAAACTGATAAAATTTCTGATGATAAATTAGAAATGCAAAATGATATTTTACGTAGAATTATACCATATCTTAATTTGGATTCAAATGTGAAAATAACACGTAATTATATTGTGAATTATAATACAGTGCACTGGAAAAAAAAAGTTCTACATAATTTGGAAGGGGAAAATTTAAACCATGGGGAAATTAATCAGGGGGAGATATTAAGAGGAAATCCAATTGTTGAGGAAATTAATCATAGGGAAATTTTAAGAGGAGATTCAAATAATGATCCTATTATTAATTCTGATTCAGGTATGTAATTTAGAAATAATTTTATTATATAAAACAAATATCTAATTTTGAAATTCTATTTTTCAGAAAATATATCAAAAAATGATGAAACATCAGTTAGAAAAGACAATAAAAGAGTAGAATTAGAAAAAATTGATTTTATTCCAGAAAAGAAAATAAAATTAGAATCAAAATTATCAATTAATGATTTAGATAATATTCCCGGTACGTCAAAACAAATAAATACAAATTTAAATTGGTATCTATCGGATAATGTACCTAAATTTCATAATAATTTTGTAACATCATTAATGGTATTCAAAAAAAAGGGTTTATCCGTTTTTAAAATAAACGAAAAAATTAATAAATTTTTCCATTTATCAGTGACAAAATTAGCATTCCTTCAAATAAATAGAATTTCATATTTACCAAAACCAATTGAACTTTGGTGTAAAAAAATTGTTATAAATCGTCCAAAACTTATAACATATTTAAAAAAACAAAAAGGAAGTACATTTTTCTTTAATGATATTACTTTATTAAATGACAAAGAACCAATTCAATCAACTAATAAAATAAATCAATTTTCCCACGAGATAGAAATTTGGTATCGTATTAAATTTGATTCGGAATATGGTATTGTTTATTTATCAGAATTAGATAAACAATTTCAAGGTGATTTTATAACATTTAGCGATGTATTTTTTAAGGTAACTGATACATATTTTTTGAATAATAAAAATAATATTCTAATAATTGAAATGAAATCAAAAACATTAACAAGGGAAAATTGGTTAACAAATCGTAATAATAATTTATTACAATTGACACAATTAAAAGATAATTATTCATCAAGAATGAAAATTATTGAAAATGCAGCAAATATAATGGTTGAAAATGTACCATTATGTACATATCATATTGCAGAGGAAATTTTAACAAGTTATATATTAAAATTACAATCAAGTTCAACTTTAGTACCAACTTATGAACAATTTGCCAAAGATTATTATAATAATATGGATATTCTTGAATTTTATCAGAATTTTAAAATTAAAAATTGGAAATACATTGATGATTTATTATATGAACGAAATTTGGATAAAATTGAAAATTTAAATGAAGCAACAAGGAGAATTGATATTATTTATGATCTTTATTATGAGCAACCAGTTGATATTGTATTTGATAAATATAAAAAATTAATTAATTATCAAGAACAAATTCGTTTTGAGGATTATTATGTAATTTATTCACATTCACATAATATGTTAACGTATAATAAAAATAATAATCGTAGATATACAGCAGCTATTTATCGAATGGCACTAAAACAATGTAATGAAAATTGGATTAGCGAATCAATAAAAATTTATTTAGGTGAAATTTTAACAGATGATGCCTATAAAATTGAAGCTAAACGTAAAATAAAGGAACATATTACATTTTTGGAGATTAAACAATTTTCCAAAAATCGTGAAATGGAATTGGATATTATCAAAAGTAGGGCAATTACGTCGAAACAAAAATTATTATTATATGAAATTGAAATTAAAAATCAAGCTGGTATAATGAATATTAATCAAATTTTGGAAAATGTAAATAGAAATCATTTTGTTATGCCTAAATTAAAATTTGTTATCGATGATGTGAAACTAGATGGTATTCATCAAGATGTTCTACTTTTAAAAATGCATGATTTTGAAATACCAACGGAAAATCGAATGGTTGATATTGCAAATGATCTTGATAAATTGTATGCAACTACTACTGAATATTATTTCACGGAAAAGAGAAATTAAAAAAAAAATTTTTTTTTTATTTCCATTACACGAATTATTTTCGGATTAAATTTTTAGTCACGATTGTAAAAAATTTTATATAATTTTTAAAATATTCTATATAAACACAAGTGTAAAAATTTATATTTCAGATATATAATTTTATTCATTTTTTTTTGTAGTTGTGTAATATATATGATAATTTTAATATTTCAAATGTTTATAGTTTTTTTTTTTTCTACACGTGTTTTATTTATAATATATTGAAAAGGAATTAAATTAATAAAACAATGAAAGAAATTAAATATTTTTATTTAGTATTTAAAAAATTATTTTAATCAAGAATATAATGCGTCACTATTATATAATAATTCATTAAGTTCCCTAACCATTACAATCATTCTTTCCTCTTTGGAAATTTCCTCATCGTGCATTTTAACAATCATTACATCCTGTCCTTTTATTATTTTAATAGAAACTTCATCAACAACAAGTTTAACACTTGGTGAAACAATGTATAAATTATTTTCATTCTCAATAATTTGATTAATATTTGCAATTCCAGCTTGATTTTTAACTTCAATTTGATATAATATTGGCCTTTCTGGTAAATTAGTTGGATAATTCCAAAGACGTTTCATTTCTAATTCTTTGTTTGTTGAGAATAATTTACAATTTATAAATTTTAACACCTCATCATTTTCATATGATATATGTGCCATAAATGTTTGTAACGAATGCATTCGAAGACGATAAATTGTAATTGGTTTCATAATCCAATCCTCACGACATTGTCTCAATGATAATCTATATGTTGATGCTAAAACTCGTCTAACTGCATTTTTATCCAATGGTAATGTCTTTTTTAAATGTGAATATAATACATAATAATCTTCAAATCGAATTATATCACGAATTATTGGTAATTTCGAATACAATTCAAAAACCGATGATACACTTTCAAAATAAATTCCATCAAATAATGCATCAATTTTATTTAATACCGAAAACATATCTTCAGATAATCCTATATTTTTTTTAAATAACACATCGTCAATAAGCATACCACGATTTATTTCATATTTTCGATATTCCTCGGGAATAAATAAATTTTTATAAATATCATCCGCTAATTTATCATAAGTTGGAATTGTACTTATATCATTTTCGATTTTTAAAATATAATTTTTAAATAAATTCACCGCTTCATTGAATTTACATTTAGGTGTATTTGACGATACCAAATAGGCAGCATTTTCAATACACTCCATTCGCTTTGATCCTTGTATTTCCATAGACATTAATGATTTTAAATCCATATTTCGAATAAACATCCAATTTTCTAATGTCAGAGGATTTTTTTCCATTTCTAAAATTATAATATTTTCATTTATCGGTGAATAAACACTTTTAACAGTAAATGTCACCTCAGGATGTATAATGTACTGATTTTGAAAATTTTCATGAAAACTATCTAAATCCACAATACCATATTGTTGATCAATTTTTAATTTATAATAAACAATTGTATCTGAAGATACTACTTTTCCTTTAGAAGCAGAATCAATATAATCACTAGTCACTAATTTCCAATCATTGAAATAAAACATTTTTCCATTTAAATTTTTCAAATAATTAATAATATGTGGAGTATTTATTTTTTCAATGTACAATAAATTAATTGGTGATTTTAATGGAACTTCATTAATTTGTATAAGACTGATATCATCAATTGTAATTCGTAAAGTTTTTATTAATTGTTGATTTTGTCTTAATGAGGAAAGTCCTTCATTTTTAAATATTGTTAATAATTTAATGTATTCATTAAATTTTTCTAATCCAATTCTTGATAAATAATCATTTCTCATAATTAGCATTGGTGCTTCTAAAGAAGGTGGTGCAAAATCAGTAAATGAATTAAATTTTTTTCTATTTATAAAATCATGTGTTGGTGATCTTCTTGATAAATCTGAACTAAAAATTGTTGGTGATTGTGATCTTAATGATAGAATATCATCTGGTGATCCCAAATTCATTTCGGTATAAATAGGTGATAGTGATCTTACTGAAATTATATCACCTGATGTGCCCGGATAATTAATATCATAATACCTAGGTAAATTGACTATTTCTTTTGAAGAATCAGGTTTTCTTAGAAGTACATAATCAGAATCATCATCAGAAATTATTTCAATATCTCTATTGGCATTACTGTTAAGATCCGATAGTTTTGATTCTGTTTTTGTTAATTCTAGATTTAGATCATCAACTTTTTGTAGCATATCATTGTTTCCCATTTTAAATTCATCTGATAATTCACCAGTTTCTGGACTATACTTTCTATAAATAGTGACGCCATTTGCTTCTACTGGTATTACAGAAATTTCAATTGGATTATTTTCAATACTTCTTAATTCTGCAGTTCTGCCAAAGGATCTTACACATCTTGGTCCAAAGAAATTTCTCCCTCCTGGATATGAATATTGTACAACATCGAAAATACCATTTTCAATCAAAATATGTGGTACAAGTCCAGTTTGATCAGCAACTGTATTTGTATTTCGTCGTAAGTTATTTAATATTGATTCAATTGATGTTCGGAATTGAAGAAAATCAGCAACATTTATGTAATTTGTACGTAAAGTTTGAAAAATATTATCCAACATATGTAAATTAAATCTTTGTATTTGGTAAGTAATCTCAAATCCAGGATCCAATGAACGAAGTATAGAAACTGTGAAGTCTTTAACGAATCTAATTGATATAATTTCATCGATTACTGTTCTAATTACTGATCTTGAAATAATACCAATTGCATTCGACATACTGCTAGCGGTAGTAACACTTATGGAATTAGATATTAAATTTGATTCAGTTATATCGGCAATTAAATTTGTTCTAAATATACCGGAATATTTGCCTACTAAACCAACTACGGGTACAAAACTAATAACATCTAGAGAACAACTCCAAACAGCAGCTCCAGTTTCACTATTACGTATATATTGAGCACAATTGTAAAATGGTATAAACGCTGTTATAATATTAAACACATTCTCAACAAATGTTGGTTCATTATAGTAATTGTAAAGCTCTTTTACAAATCCCTTTGTTTTTTTGTCAGCAACATTTTGAATAAAAACATTTGCATTTTCATTATCACGTTTTAAAAATCCAAAAAATTGTACAGTTTCCATATTTAATGCTCTATTAATACCTAATTCTTTATAAAATATCTTTTCATTTACATTCTTTTTCAACAATAACAATGAACCATTTTCTTGTTTAATGGCATAAAAATCCGTTTTACTATTATGAATAATAGCAAATATTAAATATGTATTATTAACCGGTGTTTGGAATTTAGGTGAACACCAATTACAACCCTGTTGATAATCACCAGGACGTGCTAATTTAACAACAACATTTGATGAATTCATTATATTTATTAAATCACCATTAATTAAAACATTTTCAATTGATCTTTTCTCAATTTCATTGTATGTTTCCGTAATATTTGCAAATTGTTCTCTATACTTTTCATCCAAATCCGGAAGTTCAGTTCTACATTTTTCCCCAAGTATTAAATTTACAATCCAATGATAAAATGTTTTATAATAAAACACATATATTGGTAAATAATTATCAAATTTCCAAATATAACAATGTTTTAATATTAATTCAAGGGCAATTTGTGTACGACTTTTTAAATAATCCATCTGTTTTTGCAATTGATGATGAAGACTATTTTCTAATTTCTCATTTATAATTTCATTCACCGTCAATTTGAGATACGAGAAAAATTTTTCATACACTTCTTTTAAAAAATAATTACTAGTTATATTTCCCTGGTGAAATTTCTCCTTTTCACTATAGGCATAGAAAAATAATGCAGGTGCTAAAAATAATTGATTAATCATTTCTGTTTCATTTTTAATTGCATTGAAATTAATTTCACGTGCAATTAGAATATAATTATCAAACGTAAATTTATCAATATCAGATATTGATCTCACAATTTTTAAACCAACCATTGCGTATATATAATCCACGTCTATTATATTCATATCTTTTTCTGGTTCGGGAAACATAAGCCAAATATGATTAGCAAAAATTTTTTCAATTGACAATAAAGTAAGTTTAACGCTACTATTTTCTGGCGAACAATAATTTCTAGTTGTATAATTTTTCAAAAGATGTTGAAATACATTTTCTTTAAGAACTGAATATGTTAAATTTTCTTCATTATTTATAATTCCTGCCAAATATCCATTAATATTTCCATAATGAGAAAATAGAGATTTACTAATGATATATTGATATGTTTCATTTACATATTTCATGTCGAGTGTTTCATTTATTCTACCACCATAGAGATCACTTCCTTTTAGTATTTTACGAAGAAGTTGTAATTTCGTTTCGGATTCATTTGTTGAATTTTTTAGATATTCAAATAGAATATTTAGTATTGCAACTGTTTGATTTTGTTCCTCCAGGGTAATTAATTCTTTATTGTAGAAAAATATACCGAATGCAGTAATGTAGTGACATACAGATAGAAATTGAAAAGAATTTGTTTGATATTCAGCTAAAATTGTCATGATTGATATATATATATATATATATATTTACTAATTCGTGGGTTTGGCAAATTTTGTTAAATATTTTTCAAACTGTTGATCCTTAATCGTAGAATCTGAAATTTAATGATTTTTTTTTCATTTTTAAGAATATATGAACAAATTAGAATAAATTCTATTATAATTAAATTCTATACGTATTATATTATATTTGGCGCTCCACAAGAGGAGGGACCTATCTCCGAAATAATATTAGGCTTAGTTTTCATGTACGGTGCACGGAAAATTGAGCCTAATGTTATTTCGGAGATAGGTCCCTTTTTCTCGTGGAGCGTCTTCAATTATATTATTTTATTATATATTCAAATTATACAATATATTAATAATATAATATTTATATAATATTTTATATTTTAATACTATTTATTAATAAAATTTTATTAAAATATTTATAAAAAAAACAATCTTACCAAGTATAATTACGATGTTTCTTAAAATATTTAAAAATACTGCACTACAAAAAAATTATTTGAAACGTGAAATGTTTTCTCGAAGAAATATTTTATCTATTTACCATTTTTTTCGTTTTCTTTTTTATAGGATTGATAAATTTGTTAATAGTAAACGATAGTTATTCAACAAATTTGATAAAACAACTCTCTTTCGTTTTATTGTTTTTTTTTTGTATATTCAGTTGTCAATTGATAAATTTGTCATTTTTAATTAATTTATTATCGACATATTAAATTTCATATCTCAAGGATATACAAATTTTTTTTTTTTTCATACACGTGCGTTAATATTTATTTAATTATATACAATATGCAAATATAAAAAAATACATATATATCTTTTTTTTGTGAATCAAATAGTCGTAAAATAATGAAGAATAAAATGATAAATAGATTTTAATTTTTTTATTTATAACTTTTTTATTTTCTTAAAAAGATAAAAAGAAATATTATATATTAGTCCATATATATATCGAACTCTGGGAAATTTGTGTAAATGAATAAAATAAATAAATAAATAAAATATAATATAATATAAATAAATATAATATAAATTAAAAAATTAGAAATAGAAAAGTAACTTAAATTAAAAATATATAATAAATTAAAAAATTATTTTAAAAAAATTAATTTTAATAACATTAAAAATATAAAAAAAAAGTAAGGTAAAATAAGATAAAAAGATTTAATTATGAAAATTGAATATTTTAAATAATTTTTTATTCATGAGAGAATATAAATGTAAAACAAACTTGATAATGAACTTGAAACAGTATAAATTGTACATATTTGTTCATGTTGTGTAGCATATTTTATATTTATTTAATATTCATAAAACGAATAAAAAAAAAAAAAAAAATTCTAGGAAAGAAAATTTCATAAAGTCTCAGTGAAGAAAGAAGTAAAACCATTTTTTCTTTTTTATGTTAACAGTTAAAGCACATAGAAGTAGAGTCTATTTATTTCAAGTTGATTATTGTTGAGTAAAATCCTTGCCAATTAGATAAGAAAAGAAAATAAAATTCTAAACTTTTTTTTTATCGACTGCTGATAATGTCAAAAAACTACCTTATCATCAGTCGATAAAAAAGAAATCTAATTTTGAAATTTTTAATCGACTTAGAAAAAATTAGATAGAAAAAAAAATTATTAAATAAAAATTCTTTTTCTATCTATTTAATTTTTTTTCTATTTATCAATTTAATAAAAAAAATTTTTATTTTTCTTCGTTTCTAAATTTAATGACTATTTTTTATTTCTATGTGAAATTATTTTCTTATCGCTAATAAGTTCTTTTTTATTTCTTTGAAATATAAGATATATTATAATAAATATTTTATTTAAAAATTCCCTCTCACGACTATTTTCCCATATGCGCATATACTTCGTTCTTCTTGCAAAATATTTTTTGGAAACAACGTCTTTACATATATGGTAAAGCAATTATTATACATTTTAATTATATTATTGATTAATTATATTTTTCTTTTATTTCTTATTAAAATTGAATTCTAATTTTATTAATTTTAATTATATTTAATTTAATATATTTAATTATATTTTAATTATTTAAAATTTTTTTCAATTCATTTTTTGATTGGTTAATAAAGAATTGAGGTTCAATTGAAAAAAATTATTAAATTTCAGATTCTACGATTAAGGATCAACAGTTTGAAAAATATTTAACAAAATTTGCCAAACCCACGAATTAGTAAATATATATATATATCAATCATGACAATTTTAGCTGAATATCAAACAAATTCTTTTCAATTTCTATCTGTATGTCACTACATTACTGCATTCGGTATATTTTTCTACAATAAAGAATTAATTACCCTGGAGGAACAAAATCAAACAGTTGCAATACTAAATATTCTATTTGAATATCTAAAAAATTCAACAAATGAATCCGAAACGAAATTACAACTTCTTCGTAAAATACTAAAAGGAAGTGATCTCTATGGTGGTAGAATAAATGAAACACTCGACATGAAATATGTAAATGAAACATATCAATATATCATTAGTAAATCTCTATTTTCTCATTATGGAAACATTAATGGATATTTGGCAGGAATTATAAATAATGAAGAAAATTTAACATATTCAGTTCTTAAAGAAAATGTATTTCAACATCTTTTGAAAAATTATACAACTAGAAATTATTGTTCGCCGGAAAATAGTAGCGTTAATCTTACTTTATTGACAATTGAAAAAATTTTTGCTAATCATATTTGGCTTATGTTTCCCGAACCAGAAAAAGATATGAATATAATAGACGTGGATTATATATACGCAATGGTTGGTTTAAAAATTGTGAGATCAATATCTAATATTGATAGTTTTTCGTTTGATAATTATATTCTAATTGCACGTGAAATTAATTTCAATGCAATTGAAAATGAAACAGAAATGATTAATCAATTATTTTTAGCACCTGCATTATTTTTCTATGCCTATAGTGAAAAGGAGAAATTTCGCCAGGGAAATATAACTAGTAATTATTTTTTAAAAGAAGTTTATGAAAAATTTTTCTCGTATCTCAAATTGACGGTGAATGAAATTATAAATGAGAAATTAGAAAATAGTCTTCATCATCAATTGCAAAAACAGTTGGATTATTTAAAAAGTCGTACACAAATTGCCCTTGAATTAATATTAAAACATTGTTATATTTGGAAATTTGATAATTATTTACCAATATATGTGTTTTATTATAAAACATTTTATCATTGGATTGTAAATTTAATACTTGGGGAAAAATGTAGAACTGAACTTCCGGATTTGGATGAAAAGTATAGAGAACAATTTGCAAATATTACGGAAACATACAATGAAATTGAGAAAAGATCAATTGAAAATGTTTTAATTAATGGTGATTTAATAAATATAATGAATTCACCAAATGTTGTTGTTAAATTAGCACGTCCTGGTGATTATCAACAGGGTTGTAATTGGTGTTCACCTAAATTCCAAACACCGGTTAATAATACATATTTAATATTTGCTATTATTCAAAATAGTAAAACGGATTTTTATGCCATTAAACAAGAAAATGGTTCATTGTTATTGTTGAAAAAGAATGTAAATGAAAAGATATTTTATAAAGAATTAGGTATTAATAGAGCATTAAATATGGAAACTGTACAATTTTTCGGATTTCTAAAACATGATAATGAAAATGCAAATGTTTTTATTCAAAATGTTGCTGACAAAAAAACAAAGGGATTTGTAAAAGAGCTTTACAATTACTATAATGAACCAACATTTGTTGAGAATGTGTTTAATATTATAACAGCGTTTATACCATTTTACAATTGTGCTCAATATATACGTAATAGTGAAACTGGAGCTGCTGTTTGGAGTTGTTCTCTAGATGTTATTAGTTTTGTACCCGTAGTTGGTTTAGTAGGCAAATATTCCGGTATATTTAGAACAAATTTAATTGCCGATATAACTGAATCAAATTTAATATCTAATTCCATAAGTGTTACTACCGCTAGCAGTATGTCGAATGCAATTGGTATTATTTCAAGATCAGTAATTAGAACAGTAATCGATGAAATTATATCAATTAGATTTGTTAAAGACTTAACAATTTCTATAATTCGTTCATTGGATCCTGGATTTGAGATTACTTACAAATTAATGAAAAGTAATTTACAATTTTTGAGGAGAATTTTTCAAAAACTACATTCCGGTGTTGAATCATTAAATTTTCGTACATCAATTGAATCAATATTAAATATCTTACGACGAAATACAAATACAGTTGCTGATCAAAATGGATTGGTACCACATATTTTGCAACATCATAATATTTTCGATGTCGTACAATATTTTTATCCATTAGGGAGAAATTTCTATGGACCCAGATGTGTGAGATCTTTAGTTGGCACAATTGCAGAATTAAGAAGTATTGAAAATAATCCAAATGAAATTCCTGTGATACCAGTAGAAGCAAATGGCGTCACTATTTATAGAAAGTATAGTCCACAAACTGGTGAATTATTATCCGATAAATTTAAAATAGAAAACAATGATATACTACAAAAAATTGATGATCTAAATCTAGAAATAACAAAATCTGTTGATTCCGAAACATATTTTAATATTGATACGAAAGCCACTGAAAAAATCATTAAAGAATTAGCACAGCCCATTTTAAAATCTGATTATTTATTAAAAATTGATAATTATGATGAATATGTTGAATTATTGACAAAATTTAAAGACGAAGGATTAACGGCAATAAAACAAGATAAACTATTGAGAAAATTACAACTTATGACGGATGACATTGGTCTTATACAAATTGATGAAGTTCCATTAAAATCACCAATTGAATTATGGTACGTCGAAACAATAAGTAGACGTAATATTATTGATTCTTTAAAAAAATTAAATGGACAGGAATTTCATTTCAATGAATTAAAATTAGTGACAAGTGATTCTATTGCCGCTGCACTTAAACAAAAACCAAGACCATCTACATTTGATACAGTTGTTTATTATAAATTAAAAATTGATCAACAATATGGTTTAATAGATTTAAATAATTTTCATGATAATTTTCATAATCAATATATTTTACATCCGGCTGTAATTTTCACCATAATAAATATTAATTCTCCGTTAAATAAAAAGACATTAATTTTAGAAATGAAGAAAAATCCTTTAACTAAAGAAAAATGGATGAAAATAAGAAATGAAGAATTAAAATCACTAATGAATATTAAAACAAAATCAAAACGAATTGAGAGTATTGAAAAAGCAGCCGATTTTCTATCATCAAATGTACCACAATATACATTTAGTAAATCAAAGGAATTATTTCAAAATTATATTTTAAAATTACAACCAAGTGGAAGTTCAGTTCCTACTTATGATAAGATGGCAAAAGATATTTTTGAAAAATTAGAAATACCAAAGGATTATCAAAAATATGAAATAAAACATAACATTTTCATTGATGATGTGTTATTTAAAAAAAGCATTACAAAAATTTATAACTTACATTCAGCGGAAAAAAATATTGATAATATATTTAGTGGAATTTTTAAACAGAAGGTGAAACCTGTTTATGAAATTTATTCTAATTCACCATTAATTCAAGAGATAATGCGATTTGAAGATTATTATATATTGTATTCACATTTTAAAAAATCATTAATAATCGATAAGAATTCAATTAAACGTGTTTTAGTTTCAATTTATAGATTAACACTGAGACAATGTGGCGATGAATGGATTAATAATCCAATTACACTTTATCGTATTACAAGATATACGTCAGAAAATTATAATGAACAGATATCATTCAAAAAAAAGGAAATCATAAAATATCCAATATTAAGGGAATTCTCAGCGGTACGTGAATTTGAAATAGAAAAAATTAGATGTATTTCAAATAATTCACCAATAATAAATACAATATTATATCAAATAACAGTAAAAAATCAAGCTGGCATTGCAAATATTAATCATATAATTGATACTAAAAATGGTAAACATATTGTATCTCCCATAATAAGATTTGTAATTGATGATGTTGGTTATGAGATTATTGAGGGGAAAAAAATATGGGTTATTAAAATGCACGACGAGGAAATTACTAAAGAAGAAAGAATGATTAAAATTGTTAATGAACTTGATAAATTATTGTCAGAAAAAATTACATTTTATGTCAATGATATTTAATGTCGGACTTTTTTTTCGAAATTCAACAATTGTTTACAATTTAAAAAAAAAATCAAATAAAATCACCAAAAAAAATTTTATCGAAAAAAATTCAATTCAAAATAAGTTACATTAAATTCAATTATTTTCAAAAATTTCAATTCTAAATCAACTAAATTTTAAATATATTCAAAAAATTTTATTTAAAATCAATTATTTTTAAAATTATCGATTCAAAATCAACGGAAATTCAATTATTTTGAAAAATTCCAATTGATATTTAATTATTTTTCAAAATTTTTATTTCAAAATCAATTGAAATTTAATTGTTTTCAAAAATTTCAATATAAAATAAATTATTTTCAAAATTTTCAATTCAAAATCAATTATTTTCAAAATTTCCAATTCAAAATCAATTATTTTCAAAATTTACAATTCACAAACAATTGAAATTAAATTATTATAAACATTTTCAACTTCAATTTAATTGTTTTGAAAATATTAAATTCAAAATCAATTATTTTCAAAATTTTCAATTCAAAATCAACGGAAATTCAATTATTTTGAAAAATTTTAATTGAAATTCAATTATTACATTAAATTTCAATTCAAAATTAATTGATATTCAATTATTTTGAACAATTTCAATTCAAAATCAATTATTTTCAAATTTTTCAACTTAAACTCAATTGAAATTAATTTATTTTCAAAATTTTTAATCAAAACCAAATTGAAATTCAATTATTTTCAAAGTTTTCAATTCAAAATCAACGGAAATTTAATTATTTTGAAAAATTTCAATTTAAATATAATTATTTCGAAAGATTTTAATTTAAAATCAAATGACATTCAATTATTTTCAAAAATTTCACTTTAAAATCAATTGAAATTCAATTATTTTTTTAATTTTTAACTTAAAATCACCTGAAATTTAAATATTTTGAAAATTTCATTTGAAATTCAATTGGTTTGAAAAATTTAAATTCAAAATCAATTGAAATTCAATTATTTAAAAAATTTTCAATTCAAAATCAATTATTTTCAAAATTTTGAATTCATAAACAATTGAAATTAAATTATTATAAACATTTTCAACTGCAAATTAATTGTTTTGAAAATATTCAATTCAAAATCAATTAAAAATCAATTATTTTCAAAATTTTTAATTCAAAATCAACGGAAATTCAATTTTTTTGAACAATTTTAATTGAAATTCAATTATTACGTTAAATTTCAATTCAAAATTAATTGATATTCATTTATTTTGAAAATTCTCAATTCAAAATCAACGGAAATTTAATTATTTTAACAAATTTTATTTAGAAATCAACTATTTTCAAAATTTTCAACATAAAATCAATTGAAATTCATTTATTTTCAAAAATTTTAATCAAAAATAAATTCAAAATCAATTATTTTCAAAATTTTCAATTCAAAATCAACGGAAATTCAATTTTTTTGAAAAATTTTAATTGAAATTCAATTATTACGTTAAATTTCAATTCAAAATTAATTGAAATTCAATTATTTTCAAACTTTTCAATTCAAAATCAACGGAAATTCAATTGTTTTGAAGAATTTCAATTCAAAATCGATTATTTTCAAAACTTTCAACTTAAAATCAATAGAAATTTATTTATTATCAAAATTTTTAACCAAAAATAAATTGAAATTCAATTATTGGCAAAGTTTTCAATTAAAAATCAACGGAAATTTAATTATTTTTAAAAATTTAAATTCAAAATCAACTTTTTTTTTAAATTTTCAACTTAAAATCAATTGAAATTCATTTATTTTCAAAATTTTAATTAAAAATAAATTGAAATTGAATTATTTTCAAAGTTTTTAATTCAAAATCAACGGATATTCAATTATTTTAACAAATTTTAAATCAAAATCAATTCAAATTCAATTATTTTCAAAATTTTTAATTCAAAACCAACGGAAATTCAATTATTTTGAAAAATTTTAATTGTAATTCAATTATTACGTTAAATTTCAATTCAAAATTAATTGAAATTCAATTATTTTAAAACTTTTCAATTCAAAATCAACGGAAATTCAATTATTTTAATAAATTTTAAATCAAAATCAATTGAAATTCAATTATTTTCAAACTTTTCAATTCAAAATCAACGGAAATTCAATTTTTTTGAAAAATTTTAATTGAAATTCAATTATTACGTTAAATTTCAATTCAAAATTAATTGAAATTCAATTATTTTCAAACTTTTCAATTCAAAATCAACGGAAATTCAATTGTTTTGAAGAATTTCAATTCAAAATCGATTATTTTCAAAACTTTCAACTTAAAATCAATAGAAATTTATTTATTTTCAAAATTTTTAACCAAAAATAAATTGAAATTCAATTATTGGCAAAGTTTTCAATTAAAAATCAACGGAAATTTAATTATTTTTAAAAATTTAAATTCAAAATCAACTTTTTTTTTAAATTTTCAACTTAAAATCAATTGAAATTCATTTATTTTCAAAATTTTAATTAAAAATAAATTGAAATTGAATTATTTTCAAAGTTTTTAATTCAAAATCAACGGATATTCAATTATTTTAACAAATTTTAAATCAAAATCAATTCAAATTCAATTATTTTCAAAATTTTTAATTCAAAACCAACGGAAATTCAATTATTTTGAAAAATTTTAATTGTAATTCAATTATTACGTTAAATTTCAATTCAAAATTAATTGAAATTCAATTATTTTAAAACTTTTCAATTCAAAATCAACGGAAATTCAATTATTTTAATAAATTTTAAATCAAAATCAATTGAAATTCAATTATTTTCAAACTTTTCAATTCAAAATCAACGGAAATTCAATTATTTTTAAAAATTTTAATTCAAAATCAATTATTTTCAAAACTTTCAACTTAAAATTTCAATACTTTTAATTAAATATGAATTGAAATTTGATTATAGCGAAGAAATTAAATTCAAAATCAATTGAAATTCAATTATTTTAATAAATTTCAATTCAAAATTCAAATTCACGTGAATTAAATTATTTAGAAAAATTTTAATTCAAATTCACGTGAATTCAATTATTTTTTAAAAAATTGGAATTTAAAACCTTTTAAAATTTAATTATTTCTAAAAATGTCAATTGTAACTTTTCAAAATTTAATAATGTTAAATAATATTTATAATATTAATAATATATTAAAAACTATTGGAATTGAATTATTGTTTATAATTTCTTATAAATTTTTCATATATTACTATAAACAAACTATGGAATTTATTTTTCCTTTACCTATAAAAGAAAATTTTAATTAGTTAAATAATATTTCGTATTCAATATTTAATTTTTTATTTCTAAAATTTTTAGTTCCATTTTCATTTTTGTATTCTAAATAATTTTTACCATATCTATTTTTTTTTATTTTCTTTGTGTTTCAAAAAAATATTTTACTTTTTTTTATCTGTTGTGAATTTTCATATTTTATTATTTGACATAAATTATTATACAATTTTCTCACGAAATATTTATTCAATAAAATTTTGTAAAAACCATTAAATATGAAAAGATAAATTATATTGCAACTTTATGATTACGTTGTTGAAATTTATTATTTTTTAAAATAATATTGTAGTAGAAAATTAACAGTAGTGCTAATCACCTACTTTTCAAAATAATTTTTCGAAAAAAAATTAAAATCAAGTGAGTATTAATTATTGGCCTCTGAAAAGAAAATACAGAGATTGAATATACATTAATTTTATTTTATTACAGATCTAAAAATTCATCGTTAAATGTTAACAAATTTTATAAAAAAAAAGATATAATCCTAAATTAAAAATGGACAATTCAACTGTAATTGAATATCAATTAACAAATTTTCAATTTCTTTCTGTATGTCACTATATTACTGGTTTTGCCTATTTCCTCTACAATGAAAATTTAATAAATTCAGATCAAAATCAAACAGTTTCCGTGTTAAATTCACTCTTTCACTATTTATATAATTCGAAAAATGAATCTGAAGCAAAATTAAAAATTCTTCAAGCAATACTAAAAGGAACCGATTTTTACGGTGGTGGTGAAAATGAAACACTTGACATGAAATACGTTGATGAAACATATCATTACATTATTAGCAAATCTCTATTTTCCCATTATGGAAACATTAATCGATATTTAGCTGGAATAATTAATAAATCAAATAAAATGGAATACTTTGAAATCAAGAAAACAGTTTTTGACGAATTTTCCCAAAATTACAAAACTCGTGATTATTGTTCATCGGGAAATGAAAGTTTTAAACTCACACCATTAGCGACAAGAAAAATTTTCGATGATTTCATTTGGATAATTTTTCCCCTACCGATGAGAGAGAATATGAAAATAATAGATGTTCATTATATATACGCAATGGTTGGTTTAAAATTTATTAGTGCTACTTCGGTAGATGCAAAAAATTTAACATTCGATAATTACACTCTAATAGGACGTGAAATTGATACACAATCATTTGATAACAATACTTTAGGATTAATTTTGGAATTATTTTCAGCGCCAGCTTTATTTTTCTTTGCCTATAAAGAGAGAATGGAATTTCATAATAATAATAATAATCAATTATCCCTAAGCAATGAATTTTGGATTAAAATTTTTGAAAAATTATTCATCTACATAAATAATAAAATGGATAATATGATTCGTGAAATTATTCATGGTACTCTTCTTTATAAATTGGAAAACGAAATTCAAAATTTAAAAAGTCGAACATCTTTAGCTAATACAATATTAAAAATATATTGCCATGATTCTATTTCTGAATATCATGTAGCACTGTATAAAACCCTATATTTATGGACGTCAAAATTGATTCTCTTCTTTCATTGTCAAACAGATGATCTTCCAAATTTAGACGATATTTATGATGAACAATTTACAAACGTTGAAGAAACGTACAATAAAGTTGAAAAGACCGCAATTAAAAATATCCTAATCGATAGTAATTTAATAGAAAAAATAAATGAAAATGTTTTTATCAAATTAGCAAAAACTCCTATATATTCAATGTATTTAATATTCATTCCACCTCCGATTATTTTTCATCAATCTCCAAGACTTATAATGAATAAAAATATACATTTATTATTTGCAATAATAGACAAAGGTGAAGAAGAATTTTATGCTTTTCAACAAAAGGATAATTCATTAACTCTATTGACATGCAAAAAAAATGAACGTGAATTTGCTAAAGCAATTGTTAATGATTCATCGAAAAAAATGGAAATTCCAATATTTGCCAAAACACTCAAACGTCGTGGTGAAAATTATAAAACATTTGTTCAGCGTGTCGCTGATATAAAGACAAAACAATTTATTAAAGATTTAAAAAATCATTATAGAGAAACAACTATTGGGGAAAATATTTTTAGTTTTATAAAACCATTTATTCCATTTTACAGTTGTATTGAAAATATAAGTGATGATAAATTAAATGAAGCTGCATTTAGTTGTTCTCTTGATATATTGAGTCTTATTCCAATTGGTTTATTTGCGGGAAAATATGCAATAATACTGCAATCTAGTTTAATGAGGGGAATTTTTAAAAATACCATAATTATCAATGTTTTATCAAATATGAAAAATATTGGAATATTTACAACTAAATCTTTCATGAAACAAATTTCCCTTATAACATCAAAAACAATATCAAAGGAAATTTTAACTAAGGCAATGCTAAAAGATTTATTAATTGCTACTTTACGATCATTCGATCCTGGATTTGAGGCACTCTATACATTTTTTAAATTCAGTATGAAAGAACTTTGGAAATTATATGAATTTTTAATTTTTAAAATTCGGAAAATTCCCGGAACGGTAAATCTAATTTCCGTGATGGAATCGATTTTAAAAAGATATCAAATTCCCGATCATACGGGACTTGTACCTAAAATTTTAGGTGAGGGAGAAAATTTCAATTTGGTAAAATACTATTATCCAGGTGGTTCTAATTTTTTTGGACCTACTTGTTTAAAGTCATTTGGCAAAACTGCGGAATTACGAAGTATTGAAAATTATGCTCATCAATTACCCGTGGTATCGGTAAAAACAGAAGATAAAATTTTCTATCATCCTTATAATCCCATTAAGGGTGAAATTTTTAACGATAAATTCGAAAATGGTAAATACGATATTCTTCAAAAAATTGGTTATCTCCTGGAGGAATTTTCACCTAGGAATGAAAAAATAATAAGAAATTATAATATCTATCCGGTTACAATTAATTGGGAAAAAAAACTTGAAATGAATTCTGATGAATATGTTAATCTTCAACGTCAAGAAACATCAAGTGCAGTGGTCCAGAATTCTGATCAAATATCCATTGATAATGTGGCAAGTACTTCAAAAGGAATTGTATCAGGACAAATGATTCCTCATTCTGTTAATCCTAATCTTCAAAAAATTTCAAAAACTATTAAAAAAGAAAGTAAAAATTTAGCTCTTGATATTAATGTGGCAAGAACTTCAAAAGAAATTATGTCAAAACAAACTATTTCTCAACTTTCAGGAAATTCAAAAAATATTCTACCAGCAATTTACAATGTTCGTGAAATTACTAAATCATCAATACGTCCAACTAAATTTAAAATTAGTTTACCTAAAGATAAAATTCCACCTAAAACTTCTATAACATCTACAAATTTATTTGATACATACATAAAAATGGAAAAACCCTTTACACCAAAAGATTATCTTTTTGAATTCGGTGATTCTAAATATAAAAATTTAATATCACTACTCAATAAATTCAAAACCGAAGGTTTGTCATCAATACGAAAAAATGGTATTGAATTTAGAAATTTTCGTCTCATTTTAGATAGAATAAATTCAATGCAAATTAATGATGGAACAATTCAAAAATCAATAAAATTATGGCACATTGAAGAAACAAATCCAAAAATATTTCAATATTTAAAACAATTTAAAGAAGAGGAATTCTATTTCAATGATTTGACTCTATTAATTTCCAACGATCCAATTTCATTTGTTGAAAAAACAAAAAATCTTTTTCCAATAGATAAAACAGTGAAATATGAATTAAATTTTGATAATCAATATGGAGTTATTGATATTGGTAATATTCATGAAACATTCCAAGGTAATTATATTCTATATCCAGAAGTAAAATTTAAAGTAACTGATATAAATACAGATATTTCTAATAATTTAATTTTGCAAATGGACAAAATTCCATTGAGAAAATTCGAATGGATTGGAATTAGAAATGCTGATCTTAAATTATTGGTCCCCAGTGTAAATATGGAAATATCAGAAAGAATAAAATTTATCGAATTAGCTGCAGAATTTATATCATCACATGTTCCATTGTGTAAATATATTGAAACGAAAAATGTCTTAAAGAGATATATATTAAAATTTCAACCAAGCAATACACAGGTATTCACTTATGATCAATTGGCAAGGGATATTTATAATAAATTAGAAATTTCCGAAAAATATTCCCATTGGAGAATAAAGAATGGAAAATTTATCGACGATGTTCTATTTGATAGTAAATTATATAAATTTTTCGATTCATCAACTTTAAAAGAAAAAATATTTAAAATTTATGATCCTACTGTAAATCCAAATGTTGTACAAACTTTTAATCATTATCAACAGTTTGATGATATTGAAAAAATTTTACGTTTTGAAGATTTTTATATAATTCATTCGCATTTAATTGGTCAATTAATTTTAAATAAAGATAACAATCGACGATATTTAGCTTCTATTTATAGATTAGCACTTCGACAATGTTCGACGGTATGGATTAAAAATTCAATTACAATTTATCATTTAGAAATGGTTGATACAAAATCCTATGATATTTTAAAAACGTATAGAGAGAAAAAAACATTTACAACAAGTAAAATAATTACATGTAGTGCACAACGTGAAGGGGAAATGTTAAAAATTTCAGATGCATCGAGTAAATCTACAAAAATGCCAGTATTGTTTCAAATTACAATGAGAAATCAAGCTGGTATTGCGGATGTTGGTCGTATTTTTCCATCGATATATGGAATGCATATTGTTCCTGTTAATATGAAATTTGTTGTTGATAAAACTGATGTTCGATTAATTGATGGAAAAAATGTTCTTTTATTTGAAATACACGATTCGGAAATAACCACAGAATTAAGAATGGTTAATATTGTCAGTGAACTTAATGAACTATTTTCAACTTCCACAAAATTTTATGTGAATTAATTGATTTTCTTTTAAAATTCAATAATCTGAATTTTAGAAATAAAAATTTAAGTTAATTCTGTCACTTATGTAATTTATTATATAAAGTTTAATTAAAAACTACATATTACTGAAAATAATTGTCGTATTCATATTTTCTTGATTTCTAAACTAATCTCCTAACCTAATAAATTCAAGAATTTAAAAAATAAAACTGATAATTAAATTCAAATTATTTAATATAACATTTAGATAACTAATTTAATATACTAAATTAATTTAGTAAATTAATTAATTAAATTATTTTCAAAATCTATAATAATAATCATTAATTATTCTTAGAAATTAAATTGTTATTAAAGATTATTATAAAAAAAGTATTACAAATTTATTTTTAAAATAAAATTATTTTAATTATTATATGTATATACTATATAAATGTAAATACTCTTTATTTCGAATAATTCTTACTAATTATATTAAACTTCAGCTATAAATAAATATTAGTTTAATTTGTATTTCAATATACAAAGTGTTGCTAATGCACACGTGTAATAAAAAAACCTTGAAAACAATTGAATATACAAATAAAAATAAATAGAATATTTATTTTATTGATAATTTTGTTTCTTTTTCTATGACAATATTTGGAGACAAGTTGAAAATTATATATATGAGGTAAATTTTAGCCTCAAAATATTCACGACAGTTATGAATTAATAAAATTTTTGGTCTTAAGAAATAAAAAGCAGCAACTGATAAACGGTAAAACATTATATAATATTTCAATTTTAATTAAATAAAAGAATAATTAAAATTATAAAAATTAATATTAATTTTTAATATTAATTGAATTTGCCATGGCAAATTCGGAAAACCGGGTTATATGGGGCAGAAACTATTGATATACTGATAAATTAGAATTAGATAAATTAAATTGTTCAAGAATTAAGTTTCTAATAATTAGTAAATTAATTAATTAATCACGAATTCATTTATTAATTTATTAATTAATTAGAGATTAATTTAATTCAATTCATGTACAAATTAATAAATGTTATCATAATTAACTAAGTAAATTAAAAAATTAATTATTAATTCATTTATTAATTTAGTAATTACTTAATTACTAACTCATTTATTGATTTACTAATTCATTAAAGATTAATTTAACTCAATTCTTGTACAATTTTATTATGTTATTCATAATTAATTATATAAATTAATTAATTAAATACTAAATAATCAATTATTAAATTATTTATTAATTTACTAATTAAACAAAATTAATTTATTGCAATTCTTGTACAGTTTAATTAATCAAAATCATAATTAATTAGATAAATTAATAATTTAATTACTAAGTCATATAGTAAATTAATAATTTAATTACCACTTCATATAGTAAGTTAATAATTTAATTAATAATTCATATAGTAAATTAATAATTTACTTATTAAATAATTACTAATTCATTTATTAATTTACTAATTCACTTTCGAATTTACTAATTAATTAATTACGTTTACATTTTTTAAGTTACTAATTAATTTGAGATTAATTTATTTTAATTCTTGTACAATTTAATTAATTTAATCATAATTATTTAAGTAAATTAATTAATTAATTACTAATTCATTTATTACTTTACTAATTAATTAATTACTAATACGTTTATTAATTTACTAATTAATAAGAGATTAATTTAATTCAATTCTTGTACAATTCAATTAATCTAATTATAATTAACTATATAAATTAATTAATTACAAATTCATTTATTAATTTACTAATTTACTTACGAATTTACTAATTAATTAATAATGAATTCATTTTTTAATTTACTGATTAATTAGAGATTAATTGATTTCAAATATTGTACAATTTAATTAATCTTATCATAATTAATTAATTAAATTAAATAATTAATTACTAATTCATATATTAAATTAATAATGCACTTATTAATTTACTAATTAGTTATAGAGATTGATTTAATACAATTCTTGTAAAATTTAATAAATCTATTCATAATTAATTACTAATTCATTAATTAATTTAGTAATTATTTATAAATTAATTTCACACATTTCTTGCACAGTTTAATTAATCTAATCATAATTTATCAGCATCAGTGGTAATTTTTTAAATCTTATTTCATATATTAGAAACAAAATAAATTTTAAAATAACATTTTAGTAAAGTTAACCAAATTTGTTCCGCATTCGGTTTAATTCGATTTTCCGAATTCACCAAGGTGGTTACTATTAAATTACTAATTTTTAACAAATATTTTTAAATATTCTAATTATTGTTTAGAATTTATTTATTTAAATTCTAATTCCTATAGCTAAATTCATTAAAATAAATTTTTGCATTTATTTCCAGATTCTCTGCACTTTAAGTTTATCAAAAATTCACAGCAACTTAAACTACAAATAAGATTATTTTTCTCTAAATGAAAAATGAACAATTCAACTATAATCGAATATTCATTAACAAATTTTCAATTTCTTTCTGTATGCCACTATATTACTGGTTTTTCATATTTTCTTTATGACAAACAATTAATAAAATTAAATGAACAAAATCAAACTATTACTGTTTTAAATACACTCTTTGAATATTTAAATAATTCAGAAAATGAATTTGAAGTAAAACTGAAAATTCTTCAAAAAATACTAAAAGAAACCGATTTATATGGTGGTGGCGAAAATGAAACACTTGACATAAAATACGTTGATGAAACATATCATTACATTATTAGCAAAACTCTATTTTCCCATTATGGAAACATTAATCGATATTTAGCTGGAATAATTAATAAATCAAATAAAATAGAATATTTTGAACTCAAGAAAACAGTTTTTGAAGAATTTTCCCAAAATTACAAAACTCGTGATTATTGTTCATCGGAAAATGAAAGTTTTAAACTCACACCTTTAGCGACGAGAAAAATTTTCGATGATTTCATTTGGATAATTTTTCCCCTACCGAGTGAGAATATGAAAATAATAGATGTTCATTATATATACGCAATGGTTGGTTTAAAATTTATTAGTGCTACTTTGGAAGATACAGGAAATTTAACTTTTGATAATTATATTCTAATAGGACGTGAAATTGATTCCCAACCAATTGATAAGAAAAATAATGAATTAATTTTTGAATTATTCACAGTTCCAGCTTTATTTTTTTACGCCTACAATGAGAGGGAGGAATTTCGAAAATATAATAAATCTCTGAATAATGAATTTTGGATTAATGCTTATAAAACATTATTTTTGTATATTAATAATTCAATGAAGAGAATAATTGATATGGTAATGAAAGAAAATCTTCATTATCAATTGGATACGGAAATTGAAAAATTAAAAACACGTACCTTCATTGGATACAAAATTCTTAAACGCTATTGTGATTATAATCATTATGGAGAAGTTCCATTAATTTATGTGATCATGTATAAAACCCTTTATTTGTGGTTAATGAAATTAATTCTTCCCGTTCGTTGCAATGATATTCCAAATTTAGAAGATGAATTTAATAAACAATTTGTAAATGTTGAAAAAACATATAATGAAATTGAAATGAATTCAATTGAAAAAGTATTAACGGATAGTAATTTAGTGGAAAAATTAAATGAATACGTTACTATTTGGTTTGCACGAGTTCCTGATTATCCAATGTATAGTATATACGTTCCACCAGCGACACGAGAAATGAACAAGGATATATATTTATTGTTCACAATAGAAAATAACAATAAAGAAGAATTTTATGCCCTTCAACAGAAAGAAAATGCTTTAACTTTAATTACAAGTATTGAAAATGAACAAGAATTTGCTAAAGCAGTTGCTAATGATTCTTCATTAATAATGGAAAAAGCAATATTTTCCATAATTCTTAAATATCGTGGTGAAAATTACAAAGCATTTATTTATAGAATTGCCAAAATAAAGACAAAACAATTTTTAAAAGGATTGAAAAATTATTATAGAGAAGAAACGGCAGGTGAGAATGTTTTAAATGTCATAAAATCACTTATTCCATTTTACAATTGTATTGAAAGTATAAAAGCAAATGACAATTTTGGTATTGGATTTAGTTGCACTTTAGATATATTTAGTTTGATTCCATTTAGTGGATTTACAATGAAATATTTATCTATATTTAAAAATGAATTGACGACTAAAATTTTACATACAATTTTAATGAACAGTATTGTTTCTAAAGTAAAAATAACTGGACGTTTTACATTTCAAACACTGGCTAAAGAAATTTTAATTGTGACAAGCAAAACAATAACCAATAATATTTTGACTAAGGAAATGATTAAAGATTTATTAATCACTTCCCTACTTACAGTGGATCCTGGATTTGAGAATTTGTATAAATTAGGCAAATTTACCATTAATACAATTCGTGATACATATAAATTTTTGCATTCCACTGTTAAAAATAAAAGGATGAAAAATTTAATTTCCCTATTTGAGACAATTTTAAATAAAAAATTTCTTCCTGATCATACAGGACTTGTACCTTTTGTTCTAGGTGAGGGAAATAATTTCCAAATTGTTAGATACATTTATCCGAGTGGTTCTCATTTTTTTGGACCTACTTGTTTAAAATCATTTGGCAAAACTGCGGAATTACGAACTGTTAATGATTATCTCTTTAAATTACCAGTTGTGCCTGTTAAATCAAAAGATAAAATTTTCTATCATCTATATAATCCCAGTACTGGTGAAATTTTTAAAAATAAATACAAAATGAATGAAAATAATATTTTTGAAAAAATTGGTTATCTCCTGGAGGAATTTGGATCTCAATGGAATGAAAAAGTAATAAAAAATTATGATATCTATCCAATTACAGTTAATTGGAATAAATCACCTAAAAAATTTAATTCACAAATCATAAATTCTGGAACAAGACAAGACTATCATAATAGCAATGAACATTCTACAATAAGAAGAAAAAATTCTGATGAGTATGTTAATCTCCAACCTCCAGAAATTTTGAAAAGAAATAATTTAGATGATAATTACATGAATATTGAATATTTAAAAACTCCGAAGGAAAATTCAATTATTCCTAAAAGTTCAATGGACATAAGAGATGAAAATTTGGTTCAACCTGGAATTTTTAAAAAAATTACAGTTGATTCTAAAATACCTCCAGTCTTAAATCCTAATATTCCAAGTACTTCAAGAGGAATTGTAAAAGAATCACCCTATTTCCCTCCATCAACTGTTACAAATAAATTTCCATCAACACAAATAATGTATAAATCCATTAGTTTCAATAATCCCCAAACTTTACAAGAAATTGCAGAACGTCAATTTGTTAATCAAAATCTTATAACAAAAGAAATTGTACCTATTAATTTTCCCAAAATTACAAACAAAATTCAATCAATATCAAAATTTAATTTTCCCCAATCAATTAATATTCACAATCAAGGAATGTTAATAAGACAAACAACAACAGGTGGACAAAATTTAAGAGAAAATTATCTATACGATCCAAATGTTCATAAAACTTTATTGAAAAAAAATGATTATATTAATGAATTAGGAAAACAGGAATATGATAAATTTACATCACAATTAATACAATTTGGAAATGGTGATTTATCACTATTAAAAAATGATTATAAAAATTATCGAAATTTTCTTCTAAAATTAGATAGAATAACATTTATGCAAATTGATGAAATTTTAACAAAGCCAATTAATTTATGGTATACACAAACGGTAAAGAGACAAAATATAATTGTTCTATTAAAATCATTAAAGGGAAAAGATTTTCATTTTAATGATATTACATTATTAACAAAAGTTGGCATCAATCCACGTATTGGTAAACAAAATATTCTAACAAGTGATACAACAATTATATATCAATTAAATATTAACAATCATTATGGACTTATTGATTTAACAAATTTTCATGATATTTTTCAACATCAATTTATTATCTATCCGGAAATTTTATTCATTGTAACTGATATTAAACCTTGTATGGTATTAAAAAATTGTTTAATAATTCAATTAGAAAAAAAACCATTAATTAAAGAAACATGGATTAAAAAAAGAAACAATGAACTTAAATTATTTGCATCTAATGTAAATTTAATAAAATCTGAAAGAATTTTAAATATCGAAGCAGCTGCAGAATTTGTATCAGCAAATGTTCCACTATGTGAAATTACAGAAACTAAAAATATAATGAAACAATATATTTTAAAAATTGAAAAAAGCAAAAGTCAGGTACCAACTTATGATAAAATGGCACAAGATATTTATGATAATTTAAAAATTCCAAAAATTTATGAAAATTTTAAAATAAAAAATGAAATATTTATCAATGATGTGATATTTGAAAAAAATTTACAACAAATTGATTCTCCATTATTTGCATATCAAAGATTAAAAAAAATTTTAGGATCTAATCTTGGTGAGAATGTGCAACAAGTATTTGATATTTATAAAAAATCATCAATAATACGTGATAGTTTAATATTTGAAGATTTTTATATTATTCATTCGCGATTAAGAAAAACATTAATACAAAATTTGGATAATGAACGAAGATTTTTAGCTTCAATTAATAGATTAGCATTGAGACAATGTAATGAGGAATGGATTAAAAATTCAATTACAATTTATCATTCAGAAATGCTTTCTATAGATAGATGCAATGAATTAAGAATATATAAAGAAAAGGATAATTATTCATTTCCTGAAATTGGAACATTTAGTTTTATAAATGAATGGAAAATGAATAGAATTCAAGTTAATATGAAAAATAAATATTCAAAACAGCCAGCATTATTTCAAGTATTTCTTAGGAATCAAGCTGGTATACCAAATGTTGGACGGGTTTTACAAATTCCAGATGGAATGTACATTATTCCTGGTAAAATGAATTTTATAATTGATAATGTCAAAGATGAAATAATAAATGGAATAAAAGTTCTTGTTGTTAAATTACATGATTTAGAAATACCCACAGAACAAAGAATGATTGATATTACCAAGGAGCTTAACAATCTATTTTCAAGTTCTACCAAATTTTACATTACGGATTAGGTTTTAATATTAAATTTTGTGGATTATTAATATTTTTTAAATTTATTTATTGAAATAAAAAAGTTAAAACTATTTATACTATAGGCTTTATATAAATTCATATTATTATTATTATTTATGTTTTTGAATTCTATCATTTATGTGTAGTTTATAATTATAATGTTTAATAAAAAAAAAAATTACAAATTTATAATATTTATCTGTATTTTTAATTAAATCCAAATTAAAAATTTATAATATTATTATAATAATCGATTTTAATTCAAAAATAATAAATTAATTACATTTGAACTAAAATTTTAATAATGTTTAAAAATCATATTCTTGAGCTTTATAACCCTCAATATATATATATATATATATATATATATATATATATATATATATATGTGTGTTAAAAAATTTACACTAGCGAACAACTGAGCATACATACATGAGAAAAATTTGTTAATTTGTATATAATTTCTTTTACAATGTCATATTTAAATTTTTTTTTTGAACTGATAATGCACATAAACTTTTTTTGACGACTTGATATTGTTTTTATAGACCATGAAATAAGTATTTTTTTTTCTATATTTGAAAATCGAAAATAGTTGACCTGTAACGTTCACTGCAAAATTATAGTTCATTTAAAAACGTGAAAATAAAATTACCTTCAAGAAAAAAAAGAAATAACATATGGTAAGAATTATATTTACAAATTTATAATCTAAAAACCCGGACTACTAGAATTAAAAATTTGACATATCACTATACTATCACTGACGGATTACTTTAAGCGAATGTGCGACGAATTCGTCTCACATTTAATTAGAGTTAAATTAATGTAGAAATTTAACTGAATTAAATTAATTAATCAAATTAATTAATTCTACAGGGAGCTGATACAATTAATTTAAATGATACAATTAAATTAAAGAAATTAGTAAGAATTAATTAAATATAATTAAATATATTAATTTAATTAATCCAATTAATTCAATTAATTCAATTAATCCAATTATATCAATTAATTCAACTAATTTGTTAACCTAATTAAATTAATTGTAAGAGCTTCCTGCAGATTTCGTTAGGCGAATATGTGATAAATTTGTCTAACGTACTAATTAATTCCATTAATTAAACAACTTTAATTAATTCAACTTATTTAATTAATTTATTTGTATCAGATTCTTGCGGATTGCGTTAAGCGAATGTGCGACGAATTCGTCTCACATTTAATTAGAGTTAAATTAATGTAGAAATTTAACTAAATTAAATTAATTAATTAAATTAACATAATTAATTAATTTTCAATATTAAATTTACTTTAAATAATAGTAAAACAAATGTAAAACAGATTAACGAAATCTACAGGGAGCTGATACAATTAATTTAAATGATACAATTAAATTAAGGAAATTAGTAAGAATTAATTAAATATAATTAAATATATTAATTTAATTAATTTATTGAATTAAATTAATTAATTTAATTAGTATATTAGACAAATTCATTGTACATTTGCTTAACAAACTTTCAGGGATCTGTTACAATTAAATTAATTGAATTAATTAAATTCATTAAATTAATTAATTTACTTAATTTAATTAATATGTTAGACGAATTTGTTGCACATTCGCTTAATGTAAACTGCAGGGAACTGATATAATTAAATTAATTAAATGTAGTTAAATTAATTAAATATACTTAATTTTTTACATTACTTTCATTTTATATAAATGTGAGACGAATTCGTCGCACATTCACTTGACGCAATCCACAAGAAGCTAATGCAATTAAATTAATTAAATAAGTTAAATTAATTAAAATAGTTACATTAATTAAAGTAGTTAAATTAATTTAATTAATTAGTACGTTAAACGACTTCATTGCATATTTAGTTAACGAAAAAAGCTGATACAATTATATTAATTTAATTAATTTAATGAATTAAATTATTTTAATCAATTAAATTTAATTAAATTTCTACATTAATTTCACTTTAAATAAATGTGAGATGAATTCGTCGCACATTCGCTTAATGCAATCCGCAAGACGCCGATACAATTAAATTAGTTAAATTAATTAAAATAGTTACATTAATTAAAGTAGTTAAATTAATTTAATTAATTATTACGTTAAACAAATTTATCGCACATTCGCTTAATGAAATCTGTAGGAAACTGCTACAATTAAACTAATTTAATTAATTAAATTAACTTAATTAATTTAATTAGTATCTTAGACGAATTCGTCGCACATACGCTTAACGAAATCTACAGGGAGCTGATACAATTTATTTAATTAATGTAGTTAAATTAATTTAACTAATTAAATTAATTTTTTTCCTACTTTAATTTCACTTAAAATAATTTCTTATATTAATTTAACTTTAAATTATTCTGACACCAATTAAATTAATTAAATGAATTTAATTATTCAAATCTATTAAATTAATTAAATTTTTTGAATTAAAATTTTTTAAAAAACTAACAATTTCTAATATCAAAATCAATTGGAATAATTATTAATATATTCAATCATGATCTCATTTATGTTCTAGGTCCTTTATAAACAATTCAATATTGTATTCATTTGTGAAACAGATTGACGACAATACTGACATACAAAAAAAAGGTATAATTTTAACCGAAAATGAATAATTCGACTATAATTGACAATCCTTTAACAAATTTTCAATTTCTCTCTGTATGTCACTATATTACTGGTTTTTCATATTTCCTTTACAACAAACATTTAATAAAATTAAATGAACAAACACAAACAATCACTGTTATCAATGTACTCTTCAATTATATAAGTAATTCGAAAAATGAATCTAATGCAAAACTGGAAATTCTTAAAAAAATATTAAAAGGAACCGATTTATATGGTGGTGGTGAAAATGAAACACTTGATATAAAATATATTTATGAAACGTATCATTACATCATTAATACAGCTTTATTTTTCGAGTATGGAAACATTAATCGATATTTGGCTGGAATAATCAATAAATTAGATAAAATAAATTATTTTGATCTTAAGAAAAAGGTATTTGAAGAATTTTCCCAAAATTACAACACTAGGGATTATTGTTCATTGGGAAATGAAAATTTTAATCTCACACTTTTAGCGAAGAGGAAAATTTTTGATGATTTCATTTGGTCAATTTTTCCCCTACCCAGTGAGAATATGTCAATAATAGATGTTCGTTATATATACGCAATGGTTGGTTTAAAATTTATTAGTACAACTTTGGCAAATAGAGAAAATTTAACATTCGATGATTACACTCTAATTGGACGTGAAATTAATACACAATCTATTGACAACAATACTTATTCATTGATTTTGGAATTATTCTCAGCACCAGCTTTATTTTTCTACGCCTTTATTAACAAGGAGGAATTTCGCAGAAATAGTCAATCATATCTGAAAAATAGATTTTGGATCGATATTTATGAAAAATTAATTAACTATATGAATAATGCTATGAATAACATACTTAGTGGTATTATTCGAAGCACTATTTATTATAAATTAGAAAACGAAATGCAAAATCTAAAAACTCGAACATCCATTGCATATGACATATTGAAAGTGTTTTGCAATTATGATAATTTTGCACAAGTTTCTTCTCTTTATGTTGATACGTATAAGACTCTGTTTCTGTGGATTGTAAATTACATTCGTCCCGAACGTTGCGATAAACTTCCCGATTTAGAACATGTGTATGATAAACAATTTACTAATGTCGAAAAAACATATTTTAAACTTGAACGAATTGCAATTGAAAAAGTTTTAACCGATGGTAATTTAACAGAAAAATTAAATGAAAATGTTACCGTCTGGTTTGCACGAGTTCCTGATTATCCAATGTATCATCCGTTAATTCCTCCTAGTACACGAAAAATAAACAACGATATATATTTACTTTTTGCAATAGTAGAAAACAAAAAAGAGGAATTCTATGCTTTTAAGCAAATGGAAAATGGCTTGAGTTTACTTAGATGTAGTGGAAATGAACAAGAATTCGCTAAGGCAGTTGCTAATAATTCTTATTTAAAAATGGAAAAATCATTATTTTCCATAACTCTTAAACACCTTCGTGAAAATTATAAATTTTTTATTGAAAGAGTTGCCAATATTAAAACAAAACAGTTTGTTAAAAGTTTAAAATCCTATTTTTTTGAAAAAACTGTTGGTGAGAAAATTTTAAATTTCATAAAATCACTTATTCCATTTTACAATTGTATTGATTATATAAGAGATGATAATAAAGCTTTAGCTACATTTAGTTGTTCTCTTGATATGATAACACTTATTCCAATTGTTGGTTTTACGGCAAAATATGCGACAATATTTCAAACAATTTTAATGAGGGAAATTATTCAAAATTCTCTAATTAAAAGTATTATATCAAATGTTAAAAATCTTGTATTTATTTCAACTAAATCTTTATTAAAGGAAATTTTTAAAATCACAAAAAAAATATCCGATGAAATTTTAACAAAGGCAATGTTTATAGATTTAGGTTTAGCATCACTACGTACCGTTGATCCAGGATTTGAGGCTATCTACACATTTTGTACATTCAGTATTACAGAAGTTTGGAAATTATTTCAATATTTAATTAAAAATATAAAAATAACTCCATTAACGAGAAATTTAATTTCCATAATGAAATCAATTTTAAAAAAGAATATTAATATACATCCTGATCATACGGGACTTGTACCTAAAATTCTAGCTAAGGGAGATAATTTCCATATGGTTAAATATTATTATCCAGGTGGTTCTAATTTTTTTGGACCTACTTGTTTAACATCATTTGGCAAAACTGCGGAATTACGAAGTATTGAAGGCTATCCATTTCAATTACCAGTTGTGCCTATTAAATCCAATGATAAAATTTTCTACAAAGAATATAGTCCAAATACGGGAAAAATGCTCAATAATGAATTTGAATTAAATAACAATATTCTTCGAAATATTAAATATTTATTGGAACTAATTGTACCTCAAAATAAAAAAATAGTAAAAAATTATGAAATTTATTACAATACAATTGAATGGAATTCACCGTCTAATAATAAAGATTTTGGTGATTATGTTTTACTTCGACAAGAAAATTCCAGAAATCCAGGAACTTCAATTGGCACAAATAATGTAGCACAAATTGATAATTTTCCAAGTGCTGGTGATTATGTTTTACTTCGACAAGAAAATTCTAGAAATCCAGGAACTTCAATTGATACAAATAATGTAGCACAAATTGATAATTTTCCAAGTGCTGGTGATTATGTTTCACTTCGACAAGAAAATTCCAGAAATCCAGGAATTTCAAATAGTATTGTAAATACAAACAATGTAGCACAAATTGATAATATTCCTAGTACATCAAGAGGATATACAAGACAAAATAATTTCGCTTATGTTAAAATAAATGAAATATTAAAAACTCCCTATAATCCAAATGGTTATCTTCATGAATTCGGAAATAGTGATTATGATAAATTTATTTCCCAACTGAATAAATTCAAAACAGGATTATCATCTTTAAGAAAAAATGGTGAATTAAGAAATTTTAAACTTGCAATTGATAGAGTAAATTCTATGCAAATGACTGATGCAATGGAAAAACCAATAGAATTATATTATACTGAAGTTAAAAAACAACATATAATTAGATATTTAAAAAATTTACAAGGAAAAGAATTTTTTTTTAACGATTTAACATTATTAACGTCCAATAATCCAATAATTGTTAAAAAAACTGAAGAACTCTTTCCAATACATAAAACAGTTAAATATCATTTAAATTTTGATAATCAATATGGAATCATTAATTTGGGTAAAATTCATGAAATGTTTCAAAATAATTATATTGTATTTTCAGAAGTGAAATTTAAAGTAAAATATATAATTGAGGATAAATCAACGAATTCATTAATTTTGAAAATGGATAAAATTCCATTAACAAGAGACAAATGGATTGAAATTAGAAATAATGATTTGAAATTAACAGCATTTAGTAGAAATTTAAAAAAAACGGAAAGATTACAAAATATTGAAGCAGCTGCAGAATTTTTATCATCAAATGTTCCACTATATACATACACTGAATCAAAAAATTTATTGAGGCAATATATTTTAAAAATTAAAACAAGCAATACCGATGTACCTACTTATGAAAAAATGGCATATGATATTTATAATAATTTAAAAATTCCAAATTTTTATAATAATTTTAAAATCAAAAATCAAAAATTTATCGATGATGTTCTATTTGATGTGAAATTACAACAAACAGATGATTTATATTCTGCAAGTGAAAAAATTCATAAAATATTAAGTCCAATTGGTTTAAAGGTGCATACTGTTTTTGATATTTATCAAAAATCATCAATAATTCCTGAGAGTTTAATATTTGAAGATTTTTATATTATTCATTCACGTTTATTAAATAAATTAATTATAAATAAAGATAATAATAAACGATTTTTATTTTCACTTAATAGACTTGCACTTCGTCAATGTAGAGAGGAATGGATTAAAAATCAAATTACTGTTTATCATGCATCTTGGTTATCTGTTCGTAGATATAATATATTGAAAGAAATGCAAGAAAAATTGGATTGTTCATTTCCTCAGATATTAACATTTTCCTTAGATAAAGAATGGGAAATGAAAACATTTCATGTTAATTCAGAAATTATCAGATCAAAAAAGCCAGTATTTTTTGAAGTATTTATTAGAAATCAAGCTGGTATACCAAATGTTGGACGGGTTTTACAAATTCCAGAAGGATTGTATATGATTCCTACAAGAATTAAATTTGTAATTGATAAAATCAGTGAGGAAACAATAAAAGGAATGAAAGTTCTTGTTATTAAAGTGCATGATTGTGAAATGACAAAAGAATTAAGAATGGTTAATGCTGTTAATGAACTTAATGATCTATCCTCGTCCAATACCAAATTTTATAATTAATTTCATAAAATTTTATTATTATTTTTGTTTAAATTTACTTAATTTTATATAATTTAAAAATAAAAATTTTAAATTCATAAAATTTATATATTCTTTTGGCTGCAAAAAAAAACTAAAGTTGAAATATATTTTTTTTATTGCGTCAATACCATTTTCTTTTTTTTTTTTTTATTAACTATCCTATTATTCTTAAGAATGCGATTATATTTGATTAATATTTTAATGATATATGTTTGGAAAATAACATTCACGATTTTTCTTTTAAAAATTCTTTTTCAATATATATATAAAATATTTTTCTTTTTCTATTTCGCAATAAAATATTCAAATTTATTTTTTTGTTGAAAACTTACTACCGTAACTTACTACCGACTATGTAATTTTACGATTATTTTGTTTGAAATTAGAAAATTAATTTACCTTCTGATATAAAAATTAAATAACGGTATAAATAAATACCGCGTTACTTATATGTAGTTTGTTATTATAAAGTTAAATAAAAAGAAAAATTTGTCAATCTAACTGTAAGGAAATGAGTTTTTTTTTCATTTCTATAACCTCTAATAAATAAAATTTCGAAATAATTTCTAAAATTTAATTTCTTTTAGTAAATATTATAATATGTTGTCATATTTCTTTGTTTTGTAATAAAAAGAAAAAAAATTTTATGCAATAATTTTATTACCTCTATTTTTATTGACATTTTTTGTTTTTTTTTTTCATTATCAGTCTATAAATTTTTTAATATTTATTACTTACATTTTCAAATATTTACTACAATAAGACAATGGAAAATAAAGTTTTTCTTAAAAATTTATATTAAATTATTATTAAATTAATTGATTTTAATTCAAAAATAATTAATTAATTACATTTGAACTACATTTTTAATAATGTTTAAAATTAAAATTCTTGAGGTTTATAAGCCAATATAAAAAAAAAATATATATATATATATGTTTAAAAAATGTACACTAGCGAACAACTGAGCAAATACATAAGAAAAATTTGTAAATATATAATTTCTTTTACAATGTCATATTAAAATTTTTTTTTCAACAAATAATACTGAATTGTAGATAAATTGAAATTTAAAAAAAACTTTAATTTGGAAAATAATTTTTTTTCTAACTCAAATATTTTCTAACGCAAATTAAAACGACTTTCATTTTTTTTATTTATATTAAAATTTTTAAACTTTATATTATAATTTTTTTTTTGATTTTTTTCAAATTAAATATCACTATTGATGAATATAGTTAAATTATAAATTAAATTTTCTCTTTGATCTTGAATTTTGAAGTTATGTTTTCCTTTGTGACTATAAAATACCCTGATAATTCATATATACTATTTTATTATTTTTTCAAGAATAGTAAAAAATTCATATAAAACTTTTTTGACGACATAATATTATTTTTAAAGAGTATGAGATAGGTTTTTTTTTTTTTTTCTATATTTGAAAATCGAAAATAGTTGACGTGTAACGTTCACTGCAAAAATATAATTTATTTAAAAACGTGAATATAAAAAAAAAATTTCATGTAGAAAAGAAATAACATATACGGTAAGAATTATATTTCCAAATTAATAATCATCTAAATCCAGACTAAAATTAAGAATTTGATTTCTATTTAATGTAAAATTGATATAGAAAATTAATTACCTTAATTAAATTAATTACATAATTAAATTAATTACATAATTAAATTAATTAATTTTCTACATTAATTTTATTTTTAATTAAAAATTAAACAAATGTAAAACGAATACGTCGCATAATTAATTAATGAAATCTGCAGGGAGCTGATAGAATTAATTAAAATGATACAATTAAATTAAGGAAATTAGTAAGATTAATTAAATTTAATTAATAATCTACATTAATTTCAATTTAAATAAATGTGATACAAATTCGTCACACATTCACTTAACGCAATCCGCAAGAAGCTGATACAATTAAATTAATTAAATTCATTAAAATAGTTATATTAATTAAAGTATTTAAATTAATTTAATTAATTAGAACGTTAAACAAATTTATCGCATATTCACTTAACGAAAGAGAGCTAATACAATTATATTAATTTACTTAATTTATTAAATTAAATTAATTAAGTTAGTCAAATCAATTAAATTTAATTAAATTTCACTTTAAATAAATATGAGATGAATTCGTCGCACACATTAAATTAATTAATTAATTTAATTATTATGTTAGGCGAATTCGTTGCACATTCGCTTAATGCAATCCACAAGAAACTAATACAATTAAATTAATTAAATTAGTTGAATTAATTAAAATAGTTACATTAATTAAAGTAGTTAAATTAATTTAATTAATTAGTACGTTAGACGAATTCATTACATATTGACATAATACAATTATATTAATGTCATTAATTTAATGACTTGAATTAATTAAATTATTATTTAATTTAATTAAAATTCCGCATTAATTTCACTTTCAAATAAATATGAGATGAATTCGTCGCACACATTAAATTAATTAATTAATTTAATTATTATGTTAGGCGAATTCGTTGCACATTCGCTTAATGCAATCCACAAGAAACTAATACAATTAAATTAATTAAATTAGTTGAATTAATTATAATAGTTACATTAATTAAAGTAGTTAAATTAATTTAATTAATTAGTACGTTAGACGAATTCATTACATATTGACATAATACAATTATATTAATGTCATTAATTTAATGACTTGAATTAATTAAATTATTATTTAATTTAATTAAAATTCCGCATTAATTTCACTTTCAAATAAATTGTGAGATGAATTAGTCGCACATTCGCTTAACGCAATCCGCAAGAATCTGATACAATTAAATTAATTATATCAAATCAGTTAAATTAATTAAAATTGTTACATTAATTAAAGTAGTTTAATTAATATAATTAATTTGTACGTTAGACAAATTTATCACATATTCGCCTAACGAAATCTGCAGGAAGCTGTTACAATTGAATTAATTGAATCAATTGGATTAATTGAATTAATTGAATTTATCCAATTAATCCAATTATTTGGATTAATTAAATTAATTAAATTAATGAATTTAATTATTATGTTAGGCATTATAATTCGTTGCACATTCGCTTAATGCAATCCGCAAGAAACTAATAAATTAAATTCATTAAATCAGTTGAATTAATTAAAATAGTTACATTAATTAAAGTAGTTTAATTAATATAATTAATTTGTACGTTAGGCAAATTTATCACATATTCGCCTAACGAAATCTGCAGGAAGCTGTTACAATTGAATTAATTGAATTAATTGAATTAATTGGATTAATTGAAGTAATTGAATTAATTGGATTAATTGAATTAATTGAATTAATTGAATTAATTGAATTAATTGAATTAATTGGATTAATTGAATTAATTGAATTAATTGGATTAATTGAATTAATGAATTTAATTAGTATGTAAGACAAATTCGTCGCACATTTGCTTAACGAAATCTATATTTGCCGATACGAATAACGTAAATTCAATATAAAATATTTTTTAATTCCAGATTATTCATTAAAAGGATTAAAATCTTAAAAAGCAAAAAAAATTATTTATTTGCCAATTCATTGAATGCTTTGAATTATAAAGAGTTCAACGTGTTACAATGACAGTATTTCTTTATCTACCACAAACAATTCAATTTCTTTCTGTTTGTCACTATATTACTAGTTTTGGTCTTTTCTTTTACAATGAAAATTTACTGACAATTAATGAGAGAAATGAAACTTTATCAATTATAAATGCATTTTTTGACTATTTAAATAAATCTGAAAACGAATCAGAAGTGAAATATCAACTATTGCGAAATGTACTTAAGGGAACTGATCTCTATGGTGGAGGTGAAAATGAAACACTTGACATGAAATACGTTAATGAAACATATCAGTATATTATTAGCACTACTTTATTCTCACACTATGGAAACATAACTGGTTATTTGGCAAAAATAATAAACAAATTGGATAATGTCAATATTTCACGAATTCGACAAAAAGTATTGAAAAATCTTACTAAAAATTATATTTTCAATGATTATTGTTCATTAAAAAAAAATGAAAGTAAAAAATTAACATCATTGGCAATTGAAAAAATTTTGAATGACTATATTTGGACTATATTTCCCGAAACAAATGGTGATATGAATTTAATTGATGTTAATTATTTATATGCAATGGCTGGTTTAAAAATGGCAAAATCTATGACATCAAGAAAAATTAATATGACTTTTGATAATTATATTTTAATAGCGCGTCGAATTGAATATTTAGCATTAAAAAATGAAAGTTATTTCTCAGCTTTAGAAATATTTTCAACACCAGTTTTATTTTTTTACGCTTATATTGAGAGAGAAAAATTTCCTCAAACAATTAAAGAATTTACTAATGATTTTTGGAATAATGCATATGAAGAATTATTTTCCTATTTTAATATTACAGTACATGGTATAATACAGGAAGCAATTGAAAGTAGTCTTTATTACAAACTTGAAAATAAATTGAGAAATTTAACTAGTCGAACAATAATTGCAAGTGATATAATACAAAATCGTTGTAATTATAAAAATTTAGAAAGAGCTCCTTCATTTTTAATTAAAATTTACAAATTTTTTCCCACATTATTGGCAAAATTTTTTTTACCATCTTTTTGTAATGTAACAAAATTGCCTAATTTAAAAAATGAATTTTCTAAAGAATTTGAAAGTATACGTGATATGTATTTTGAAATTATAAAAAAATCAATTCAACGAATATTTGAAATTGAAAAATTAATAAGAAAATTAAATTTATCAAGAACAAGTGTTTATTTAATTCGAATTTCACCATATGCACAACATTTTAATATTCAATTGAAAAATTATATATTATTTGCAATAAAAAAAGATAATACAACAGAATTTTATATATTACGTCAAGATAACAGTGTCTTAAGTTTAATATCAAGAAATAATGATAAAAAATTATTTATCGATACATTGACATTTGATCCAGTTAATGAAGAAGAATCGTCATTATTTGAAAAAATTTTAAAAAAAGAAAATGAAACCACAGAAATATTTATTAATTCATTGGCTAAAATAAAAACAAAACGATTTATAAATGCATTGGAGAAATATTATAGAGAACCAATAGCCGGTGAGAAATTTCTTAATTTTTTTTTTTCTTTTGTACCATTCTATAATTGTGTAAATTATTTAAAAAAAGGAAAACGTGTAAGAGCTGCACTCACTTGTTCAATGGAAATTTTTCACTATATTCCCCTTCCATTTGGATTAAATAAATATACATCACTTGTTCAATCAATGTTTTCATTACAACATCATGAAAAATTATTGGTGAATCAAACAATTTCAGAAATTGCAAATATATCCGGTTTAGCAAAATATCGTTCAACATTCTCACCAATATTAAAAACAACAAATGAAAATATTGAAAATATTAAACGAAGAAATAAAATTATTAAACAATTATCATCAAATTCAAAAGAAACATTCAAAAGTGGTTTGGAATTATTTTTTCATTTAAGTGAATTTGGAGTTAAATTTTCGATAGATTTATTGAAAAATATATTATCAATAGCGGAATATAATTTAAAATTTTATGAAATTGATGTAGAAACGAGAAAAATTTATTTTCATCTCAATAGACATAAACCAAGTAAAGTGGATTTTACGGGTTTAGTTCCACAATATAATGGTCATAGTTTTAGATATTTTTATCCGGGAGGAGAACATTTATTTGGACCAAAGTTTATGAATTTATTTCATAAACATGTTCAACTGAGAACCATTAGAAATAATCCATTGGAAATATTTATTATTCCATCGGAACAAAGTGAAAAATTTCTTCTCTTTAGGGAAATTAATTTAGAGACGGGAAAAATTTCCACATGTTCGCTAATGTTTGATAATAATGATATGCTGCATTTTGGATATTTAAGGGAACAATTCGAATCAAGGGAATGTGATTCTTTAGGTTTACATCGTGATGTATCAGGGCATGATTTAGAAAAAAAGAATTTAGATTTTGATAAAAATTTTAGAACGAAAAATAGAAATTCAATGAAACATTTAAGAAAATCATCACGTTTCAAAAGGGAAATTAATTTAGTTAATAGATCATCAAAATTAGATGAAAAATCAAATTCTAAAGAATATTTCAATTTAAAAAGTTTAAAAGAATCACTTTTTAATGTACCATCAAAAATTGCTAAGAAATCAGACAATTTAGACGAATTCAATTTGGATTCAGCGAATTCAGATTTAAGTGAATTAACAGAAAATCCTAGAATTAAAACTAAAGGTTCTAAAATTGTTAAGGATTCAGCAAAAAATTCAGAAGATTACACTTCAGATTCTAGTGAGTTTTCAGAAAATTTTTCGAAAACAAAAAATTCAAAACCCAAAGAATTAACAAAACATCTGGAAAAAATGCCATCAGGTCATCATGAATCTTCAGGAAAATTTCATTTAGAAGAAACAAATAATATTTCAATTTTAGACGCAAAACGAATTATTAAAAAAATTTATGCTGGAATTTACGAACAGAATATAACAGAGGCATATGAAATTTACAAAAATTCATCAACAATATGGAAGAGTCTTCAATTTGAAGATTATTACGCTCTACGTTCATTAGCAAAAAATAATATCCTAATGAATAAAGATACAAATAGACGAATAATTAATGCAATTTATAAATTGGCTTGTAAACAACAAAATGAAAAATGGATTATAAACCCAATTGTTCTTTATAGAATTAGAAAATTTTCACCGGAAGTCTACAATGATTATTTATCATTAAAAAGGAAAAGTCATGTTTTTTTTAAGCAAATGAAATTTTTTTCTATAAATCGTGACAATGAAGAGAGAAGACATTTAAATGAGACAGTTAATATTTTTCGTAAACCAATATTATTTGAAATTCAATTAAATAATCAAATTGGAGTTGCTGATTTGGGACGTATTATTGATGAGGAAAATAATTTACATGTAATTCCACCAAAAATGATGTTTATAATTGATGATGTTGTTCCAATGAATATAAAAGAACAAGAAGTGCTTGTTATTAAAATGCATGATTTGGAAAATTCACGTGAGAAAAAAATAAATAATTTGATAAATGAAATTCAAATTATTGCAAAAACTGATACGGAAATTTATGCATCTCGAAAGTAAGATTATAAATTATTAACACTGACTATTAAAATAGTATTTTTATTCAAAATTAATTAATCATTAATGATAAATTAATAATCTAATTAAAATTAATTACAATTTATTAATGATTTGTTAACATTTATTAATATTTCTTAATATTTATTAATATGCCATAATTAATTTAGTATTGTGAACGAAATAATTTAAGTCATATAATGTTGTAATTGAAAAATTAAATGTTGATTTTAATGTTAATAACAAAAACAATAAAATGTAGAAATATATATGGCTAACAATAAAGTTCGGAAAGAAAAATTATTTTTTCATATTATATTTATTTTCCCTTTTAAAGTATTCGATAATAAGAATACTTCATTAATTGCATTAAATTAAATTATTAAATTAGTTGAAAAATTAAATTACTTAAATTAATTAAATTAATTGAATTAATTAATTTAATTAGTATGTTAGACGAATTCGTGGAATACTCTCTTAAGAAAATCTGCAGAAAGCTGATACAATTAAATTAATTAAAGTAGTTGAATTAATTAAATTAATTAAATTCATTAAATTAGTTGAATTTATTGAGTTAGTTGAATTAATTAATTAACTGAATTAATTGAATTAATTAATTTAATTAAATTAATTAATTTAATTATTATGTAAGACATATTCGTCGCACTTTTCCTTAAGAAAATCTAGAGAGAGCTGATACAATTAAATTAATTAAAGTAGTTGAATTAATAAAATTAGTTAAATTAATTAAATTAATTATTATGTTAGATAAATTCATCGCACATTCGCTTAACAAAATCTGCAGGGAGCTGTTTTAATTAAATTATTTAGATTAGTTAAATTAATTAATTTAATTAATATGTTAAACGAATTAGTCGTACACTCCCTTAACGAAATCTGCCGATAGCTGATACAATTAAATTAATTAGAGTAATTTAATTAATTAAATCATTAATTTAATTATTTGAATAATAAATTAAATTTATTAAATTAATTAATTTAATTATTATGTAAGACATATTCGTCGCATATTCTCTTATAACAAAATTTTTAGGTAGCTGATACAATCAAAGTTAATGAAATTAGTTAAATTAAATAAAATAGTTAAATTAATTACATGAATTTAATTAATCAAATCAATTGACTTGATTTTTGATTTTCGGTAACATAGTCAATCGGAAAAATAGATTCGGGAAAAAGGAATTCGAGTTTTTAGAAATTAGGGTTTTTAATTTTTTTTACATTTCAGACTTTTGGGAAATTGAATTTGGGAAAATGATCACGTCATTGTTTAACATACAAAATTACTAAATTGGCAATTACATTAAAACAATTAACAATATTATTTAATTTTAAAACTATGAAAAGAATTAAAAATAATTTATCCCTTATATCAATGGGAGATAAATGGAATATAATAAAGTTATTTTTGAAAAAATCGAATGTTATAAAACTGGAAATGCGTTCACAATGTATCAATATCTTCGTAATGTATTAAAATTATAATGGAGAATTAAAAATACTACTATTATATTTTACGTATTATGACTCTTTATTGCAATAAATATATATATATATATATATATATATATATATATATATATATAAATTAATAATTGTATCTTATAGAGTCAATTCATTGAAAACGTAAATTTATTTCATTTGTCAGATGGAATTATTATTTATTTCCAAAGTAGCATGCTATTATCTGCTTAAAATTTTATAAGATAGGGTGAATAACTATATGGAATAAGAAATTCGATTTCATTTCATATAAGCGTTACGAAAGCTATATCTATAGTTCAGCTTTAGTGAAAATTTCTATCGTTCACAACAGATATTCAATCTCTATGAGAATTTAGTCATATTATGTTAAACTTGTGCTCTTAGAATATAATCATTTTATTATAATTTTTCTAACTCTCGTAATTTAATTCACAAACTTAAAAAAATAGGTTATAAAAAAATGGAAAGAATTAAAAAAAAATTATATAAAATTATAAAAAGAAAATAATAATTAATTCAATTAAAGGAGAAAGGAAACTTGGATAAGTGAAAAAAAATGTATAAAGCCGAATTTTCCATAAAGCTTCTTACAATTGTCGGTGTTCATAGACCAATAAATTTTTCATCGTTCAATAAAAAAATTCTTTATAGTATTCTTACATTATTTATGTTTATTCTTATCTTTTCTTATTATATTTCATTGGGTGCATATCTTATTCTACATTCGTTAAATGACATTGACGATTTTGCAGAAACTTTATGTTATACACTTGCAGTTTTTATTGCTTGTATAAAAATGATAAATTTTCTTCTAAAACGTGAGGATATTATAAAATTAATAACTATTTTAAATGAAGATTGTTTAAAATTTCGTGACAATAAAGAGAAAATAATTCAAGACATTTGTGATTACACAGCTAGGTATAAATATTAATTTTTAAATTGAAATTATAAAAAAAAAATTTTTTTTTTAATTTAAATGTATTTCAGAAGGAACACAAAATATTTTTTCATAATAATCTTAATAACAGTGTTAACAATGACAATTGGTGGTTTAATGAATGGAAAAAATAATTATAATTTGCCAACGAAAGGATCATTTCCATATAATTATTATAATCAGAAAATAATATTTTATTTAACATATATTGTTCAATCTTTATCAATTTATTTATGTGGTACTATATCTGTTGCATCGGAAACATTTGTAATGACAATGTTGATTCAAATTTGTTCTCAGCTAGATATAATATATTATCGTTTACAAAATTTGCCACATTTATATAGTAACAATATAAGATCTATTATATTTAATGAAACAGAAGAGGAGAAAATTTTTAAAAACTGTATTGTACATCATAATTGCGTGAACACGTGAGATATTATATTTGTATTTATATCAAAAAAATTATAAATACATATTTTTTTAAATATTGGAATTATAATTAATTATTATTTTGGGAATTATTGAATTAATTTATATACTTTTGAGATTTATAAACATTTTTTTTTTAATTACAGGTTTAGTCGTAAATTAAACAACATTTTTAGTATTGTATTTGGTATTCAATTTTTTGCATCAATTGTAAATATTTGTACCTTTGTATTTAATTTATCTAACAAAAATGAAATTAATAATAGAGTTTTAGTTCAAAGTATGACATTAATATCATTTTTATTTCAAATATTTCTTTATTGTCATTTTGGAAATGAGGTAATGTTAAAAGTAAGTAAATTTTATAACTGTAATTCTATTCACATATTTATAATTATAACTATAATTATAATTATATTTATATAACTATAATTATAAATATGTAAATAGAATTATAGTTATATATTAATTTATAATTATATTTTTAACTATAATTATTTTAGTAATTCGAAATTTAATTAATTTTTTTATAAATCAGAGTTTGAAATTAGCAAATGTTATTAATATGATGGATTGGACAGTATTGACAAAAAATACAAAACAAGGAATTCTTCTAATCTGTTTACGCGCAAACCATCCAATAACTATAACAAGTGGATCTGTTATTCCTATGACTTATGATACCTTTGTTAAGGTAAACTTAATTATTAATTAATAATTAATTATTTTTTTATTTTGATGGGATAAAATAAAAACTTTATTGCTTTAACAGATTTTGAAAACATCTTATGCAGTTTACAATTTATTTCAAAATGCTGAAGCATAATACAACTTAAGGGAATTATTAATGTAGCTCTTTGAATAATTAATTACTATCGGAAATTGAAAATAATTTTAATTATTATCAATATAATAATTATAATTTTTTACTATGTAACATGTTTTTGTATCTTTTTTTTCACGAGCGGAACCCTCTTGTAAAGCATTATTATAATGTATAAACAAGTATAAATAAATAAATAAATAATAATAATTTATTATTATCAATTATCATATTATATCTAGAAATAATATAGAATTTAATAAATTTCATATATTCTATTTAAATGAAAATTAAATTCCTCTTTAAATATAAATATAAATTGATATAATATTATAATCAATTTATATCAATATATATTTCGAAATTCCACAGAATGACAAATTGACAGGTACTTTTTGTACAATTAATATTAGTTAATTAATTATAATTAATTATTTATAATTATATTCACACTATTAGTTGAAAGCCTTTTTGTAAATAAATCATGAAATTAAATTAATAAAATATTAAGTCTTGTCCCTTACGGACATAATTTTAACCAATTATTTTCATATAAAGAAATATATTTTAAAGAAATATCTTGATAATTTATCGCCGATATATAAGGAATCTATATCTGCGTATAAAATTCAATGAAGGAATGAAAATGCGACAATTTTCATTTTACGAATTATATAACTTATAGCAATAAAAGATATAAATAAATAATTTAGAGATGCAAAATGCCACATGGAGATGGAATTATAAAATACATTTTCAAAGTAGCATGTCATTATACGAGTAAAATTTTATAAGCTAGGGTGAATAACTAATAATAAATGCTGAATTTCTTTCATGTGTAAGGAAATCTATAGACTATTGAAAATTTCTATCACCAATAACACATTCTATCTATAAGAATCTTGCAGTCTGTATTTGTAACTATATTATGAAATTCAGAAAGAAAATATAATTTATTTTTGACTTTTAAAAAATAATGGCAGAATATATTGCAAATTGGAATAATATTGAAGGAAAACAAAAATAATGTATAAAGCCGAATTTTCCATAAAACTTCTTACAATTGCTGGTGCTCATAGACCAATAAATTTATTATCTATCGAAAAAATTCTATATAATATTTTTACTGTCTTTGTGATTATTCTTTTATATTCTTATAATATTTCATTGTTTATTTACGTTACTCTTTATTCAATAAATGATATTGATGATTTATCTGAATCTTTATGTTGGTCACTTGCATTTTTTGATATTAGTGTTATAATGATAAATTTTCTTTCACGACGTGACGATATTATAAAATTAATAAATATTTTAAATGAAGACTGTTTAAAAACACGTGACAATAAAGAGAAAATAATGCAACATATTTGTGATTCCACAGCTAGGTTAGTATATCTTTTATAAAAAATTTAATCTAAATACAAAAATTCTAATAAGACCAAAACAATAACAAAAATATTGGGCACTATAAATTTTAGGTTAATTTTATAGGTTATATAAATAAGAAATTATTATTAAAATATTAAATTTTAGTTTATATCAATTTTAGATTAATTTTATTTATGAATGGAAATTATTATTATTATTATTAAAATATTAAAATTTAGGTTTTTATAAATTTATAACTTTATATATGAGTTAATATTTCTTAAATGTTTTTTTATTTTGTTTCACCATAATTGTTGGTTTTTTATATTTATTATTCATCATTAATATAAAACAAACCTTTTTTTTGTAACCGTCTGTTACTTTTTCTGATATCCTCTTCCGTGTGCATCTGAAACAAAAAAAGGAACAATTATTATTATTATTATACAGATTTTTACTAGAGCAGGGTGCGGTAGTTAATGAGAATTATGACAAATGACGAAGTAGGGACAATGGAAACCAACCAACTTTTAATTTTAACTATAAACTAAGTTTTCACTAGAACAGAGTGAGGTAGTTGACGAGAATTATATGATATTTAATATATAATTATAATTTTCATTCAATTATCTATTATTTGAATCATTTTCATTGTAAATAAAAAAAATTTAATTTGTTTTTTAGAAGAAATACAAAGTATTTTTTCATAACAGGCTATGGCACTGGTTTGGCATTGATATTTGGTGGATTGGCAAAGGGAAAAAATAATATAAATTTACCATTGAAAGCATCATTTCCCTATGATTATAATCAAAAATTAGCATTTTCTTTAACATACATTGGTCAATGTTTGTTCATTCATTTTTCTGCTTTTATAAGTATTGCATGCGCAACATTTGTAATGACAATGTTGATACAAATTTGTTCTCAGCTCGATATTATATATCATCGTCTACAAAGTTTATCATATTGCAATATGAATTTTAATGAAACACAAGAGAGGAAAATTATCAAAAATTGTATTGTACATTCTAATCATGTCTATATGTGCGAAATTAATTAATTTCAAAAATTATTTTATTCCAAAAAAGGGGATTTATAAAAATTACATTTAAAAAATTACAGGTTTAGTAGAAAATTAAAGGATATTTTTAGTATTATATTTGGTATTCAATTTTTTGCATCAATTATAAATATTTGTACTCTTGTATTTAGTTTATCAAACAAAAATGAAATTAATGACAGAGTTATTGTTCAAAGTATGGCGTTGATTGCATTTTTATTTCAATTATTTCTTTATTGTCATTTTGGAAATGAAGTTATGTTAAAAGTAAGTAGATTAACGTATAGACAATATATGATGGAAATTGGATTTTTAAATTTTTTTTTTCCAAATTAGAGTTTGAAATTAGCAAACGTTATGAGTATAATAGATTGGACTTCATTGACAAAAAATACAAAACAAGGACTTCTTTTAATTTCTTTACGCGCAAGTAAACCAATAATTATAACAAGTGGATACGTTATTCCCATGACTTATGATACTTTTTTCAAGGTATTTTTTAATTTTTGTAAATTACTTTTTGTTTTAGATATTTTTAATGTAAAAATTATTTTCTCTTTAGATTTTGAAAACATCTTACGCAGCTTACAATGTACTACAAAATGCCACTTAAATTAATAGTAACAAAAAATTTAGTAAAATAAATATATTACCATTTATTAAAAATTAATTTTTTTATTATTTATATTATTATTAATTACGTAAGAAAAATATAATTGTCAGCTACTTATATAAAAAAAATCTTTGAAAACTCCTTGAAAATATATGCCGGAAATAAATAAAATGAAAAGACAGAATCCTGTCCTTTAGAATTATAAAATAATAATGATTTCGATGAAGGGTTGAAAATGCGACAATTTTCCATTATTATTACTCCTTACAGTCTTATAAAGATATATAAATTTTTAATAAATGCACAACATTGAAAAAGCGGCTAGATAAAATTTTATTCAATTCCAAAGTTGCATGTCATTATCCGCTTAAAATTTTATAAACTAGGGTGAATAACTATGGAATAATAAATACGAATTTATTTCATACAAGGAAATCTATAGTTTCTATTGAAAATTTGTAACTACCTCACTTTTAATAAGATCTCATTTAAATGTTAACTTGCAATCTCTAATTTTACAAAAAAACCATTTCTCAAAAATTTTTTAAAAAAATGTATAATTTATTTTTCACTACTAATAAAAAAAAATAATTTGGAAAATTCAAAAAAAATGTATAAAGCCGAATTTTCTATAAAGCTTCTTACAATTACTGGTGCATATAGACCAATAAATTTATCATCATTCACTACAAAGACTCTATATAATATTTTTACTATTTTTATGATTATTCTTTTATATATTTTTAATATTTCATTGTACATATATCTTACACGCTATTCATTAAATGACATTGACGATTTCGCAGAGTCTTTATGTTGGTCACTTGCAGTATTTGTTGATTTTGTCAAAATGATAAATTTCCTTTTAAGACGTAATGATATTATAAAATTAATAAATATTTTAAATGAAGATTGCTTAAAAACTCGTGACAATAAAGAAAAAATAATGCAAGATAAATGTGATTTTACAGCTAGGTTAGTATATCTTTTATAAAAAAATTAATCTAATCAAAAATTCTAATAAGGCCAATAAATAACGAAAATATTTTTGCATGATAAATTTTAGGTTAATTTTATAGGTTATAAACAAGAATTATTATTAAAATATTAAATTTTAGTTTATGTTATAAATTGATAACTTTATATATGAGTTAATATTCCTTAAATGTTTTTTATTTTGTTTCACCATAATTGTTGGTTTTTTATATTTATTATTCATCATTAATATAAAACAAACCTTTTTTTGTAACCCGTCCGTTACTTTTCCTGATATCCCTTATGCGTGTTCATCTGAAAAAAAGGAACAATTATTATTGGTCTTTTTTCAAATTTAATAATCAGTTTTTAAATTTTAAATCGCCTTTTCGATCAATTATTGTTAAATTATTAATTTCGTTACAGGAGGAATACAAAATATTTTTTTATTATAACCTCTGGTACAGCGTTAACAATAATATTTGGAGGATTAGCAAAAGGAATAGATAATATCAGTTTACCATTAAAAGCATCATTTCCCTATGATTATAATCAGAAATTAGCATTTTTTTTAACATATATTGGTCAATCATTATTTATTTTTGTTTCGACTTTTATTAGTTTTGCATCGGAAACATTTGTAATGACAATGTTGATTCAAATTTGTTCTCAGCTTGATATAATATATCATCGTTTACAAAATTTGTCATTATTTTATAGAAACAATATAAAATCAATTATGTTTAATGAGGAGAATTTTTTCAAAAACTGTATTGTTCATCATAATTACGTTTACATGTGCGATATATTTATATATTTATAATTATTAAGAAAATTAATGGAAAATTAAAAAAAAATTGATTTCAGGTTTAGTCGTAAACTAAATAATATTTTTAGTATTGTATTTGGTATTCAATTTTTTGGATCAATACTAAATATTTGTACCCTTGTCTTTAGTTTATCAACAAAAAATGAAATTAATGATAGATTTATTATACAAAGTATGGCGTTAATGGGTTTTTTATTTCAAATATTTCTTTATTGTCATTTTGGAAATGAGGTTATGTTAAATGTATGTATATAACTAAAAGTAAATATAAGGTTGGTTTTCATTGTCTTCACTCGCCATTTGTCATAATTACCATCAACTACCGCACTCTGCTCTAGTAAAAATTTAGTAACTTTTAATTTTTAAAATAAACTCACTAAATTTTCACTAGAGCAGGGTGCGGTAATTGACGAGAATTGTGACAAATGACTAGTGGGGAGAATGGAAACCAATTTTTAAAAAAATAATTTTGTCGGGAATAAGGTTATGTACACTCTTTGCCGTATATGCTTTTTTTGTCCTTTTCTAACTCACATGTTGTCATGGCAACACGCGTGCTTTAGAAAAGGACAAAAATTAGGTGTCCACAAGTGTAAATCGACTTTTAATTAATTTTATTTTTTTTTCAATAAAACCAGAGTTTGAAATTAACAAATGTTATGAGTATGATGGATTGGACGGTTTTAACAAGAAATACAAAACAAGGACTTCTTCTAATCTGTTTACGTGCAAGTCATCCAATAATTATAACAAGTGGACCTATTATTCCAATGACTTATGATACTTTTCTCACGGTAAACTAAATTATTATTAATTTATTATATGATTCTGTACTACCACAGCATATAAAAGTTCAGCAATATTGCCAACATTGCCTCAATAATGCACTTATTTTTGCTTTCTCGTTAACTACCACTCCCTGCTCTAGTGAATATTTAGTGACTTTATTGTTAAAATTAAAAGTCACTAGGTTGGTTTCCATTGTCCCTACTCGCCAAAGTCCCCACTCGCTATTTGTCATAATTCTCGTCAACTACCGCACCCTGCTCTAGTGAAAATTTAGTGACTTTATAGTAAATTTTAATTTTAACAATAAAGTCACTAAATTTTCCCTAGAGCAGGGTGCGGTAGTTAACGAGAATTATGGCGAGTAGGGACAATGGAAACTAACCTGCAATTTTAGAATATTGAGGCAATGTTGCGAATATTGCTGTAAGTTTACGTAATGTGTCGGTACAATTATTCCTAATTTCCATTAAATTTATCATCAACAGATTTTAAGAACATCTTACGCGGCTTACCATTTACTTCAAAATGCAAATACCCTTACTTACCAATAAGAGGAAAAGAGACAAAAAAATTGTCTTTTTATCTTACTTATTTTCGTTACCATGGCAACCAGAAGCGTGCACCACTTGACATGTGAACGTAACGTAAAAATTTTCTGTAACAAATAACAAAAAAAAAATTCCCTAAAATCTAGGAACTTTTGTGAAAAAAAATGTAATTTTCTATTTGTATTTTATTCCATAAGTTCAAAAAATAATAAATAGATTAACATTTTTCACCACTTTTATATATAAAATTTAAATTGATGTTTTTTAAGTGTGATTTTTAAAATAAATAAAATTTCCTCCAAAATACATATGTTAAAAAAATTTATTTAATCTATTTACAAATTTTAATACAAGATAAATTATTATTAATTAAATTAAAATTTTGCTAAATATAATAATTTCTAAATATTAATTTGGGAAAAATAAATATATTTTTATTTATGAAATTCAATTTTTTATGGGAAATATCAAATCCGTGTCCTTTAAATTGTCAGCGATCCATTGATTGGCTTCATTTTCAATTTCTTCACTAAATACTGATTTCCAATTGCCATTTTGTCCCTGTCTGACAAAAACTCCTTTCATCAAAAGTATTCCACAATCTTGTAATTCCTCAAAATTTACCATTCGATTGTTTTTAAAATTTTTTATATCCAAATAATCCACTAATTTCTTTAGTTCATTGTCGTTGTACGATTTAGAGAGAAATTTTGATACTTTTTTTATTGTCGACAAAAGATCCTTAAAGAAACATATTATTTTTGTTTTAAATTAAATAAAAAATTTATTAAAATTAAATTTCTATTGTGAAATAAAATGAACGCCAATGGGGAATGTTTTGTAACTAGGCCATAAGTGTGAGAGAGATAAAGATATATATTTGTCCTTTTCGTACTCATGGTCTAATTACAAAACGCAAAACATTAGAGTGAATTCACATGAAAGGTCAAAGTAACTAAAACATGAATATGAACGAGATAAACATGTTTGTTCTTCTCGCACTCATAGTCTAGTTACAAAATTTGACGCTTTACGCCATCATATGATTTCGTCCAAAAAAAAAAAATAAATAGAAAACGGTTTAAGATTTCTAAAAATAAATATTTTACTTACAGCTTGTAATTCTTCGTAAAAAAGGAAAAGGAGATTTTTATGATTTCTTTGAGCCCAAGCCTCCTTTAAATGTTCCCAATAAGGACTCCAAGCGGCTAATTAATATTAATTATTATTATATATCGAATTGAACAAATGGGTTGGTTTACATTATCCTCACTCGCCATTTGTTATAATTCTCGTCAACTACCGCACCCTGCTCTAGTGAAAATTTAGTAACTTTTAATTTTAACAATAAAGTCACTAAATTTTTATTAGAGCAGGGTGCGGTAGTTGACGAGAATTATGACAAATGACAAGTGGTTTTGATGGCATTTTGAAAAGTTGTGAAATTTCTATATTAATTTTATTAGTTCGTGACGTATAGTGTAAACAATATATATGCAAACCATACGTCATGAACTAATAAAATTATTATTGAAATTTCACGACTTTTCAAAATGTCGTCAAACTGGAAAAAAAAATGAAAACTCACTTAAATCATTTTTAAAGTAATTCCAAAATTCTGGAAACTCGCCAATATAACCTTGTGTGATAAAAGCTTTATTTTGAATGTACCAAGAAACAGCGACATCTTTTGGATTTCTAGCAACGTAAACGATCTAAAAATAGAAATTACTAAATCAATTCTGATAAATACAAAAAAAAAAATTATTAGTATTAAGAAAAATGTTATATTTAAAATAATATTACATCCAATTGCATATCCGGTTTAACGGCATTTTGACAAGTCGTGACATTTCTATAATAATTTTATTAGTTCGTGGCCATTTGTTACAATCATGAACTAATAAAATTATTATAAAAGTGTCACGACTTTTTCAAAATACCGCCAAACCGAAAGTACAGCATTTATGCATGTTTAGTAAAAATTGTTTTTAGGAAAGTAAACAAATTTTTCTCACTTTACACCCAGAATCTAAAATATTTGGCAAAAGGCTAAGGGGAAAATGTGTTTTAATAAATCGAGGTGACGGAAGTGATTCTAAAACTTGATATCCGGGTCTTGCAATTTCTTTGCACAGTTGTTGTTTCGCCGGATCTCCTTTGTTCCAATTTAAAAGTGCTTTCGTCACTTCCGGATGATTGAACATACTAAATCTAAAAAGTGAATTTTTTTTTAAATTTGTCCAAAAAAAAAAAATACTGTCCTGCCAGTTTGACGGCATTTTGAAAAATCGTGACATTTGTATAATAATTTTATTAGTTCGTGGTCATTGATTACAACCATGAACTAATAAAATTATTATAGAAGTGTCACGACTTTTCGAAATGCCGTCAAACTGGCAGGACAGCATTTATGCCATGTAATAAGTATCTAGTAACTTTTTTTTCTAGTATGTTGGTAGCAGTAAAGACGAATTTACAAAGGTCTTGTTGGACAATAACTATTATATTTAGTAAATAACTAGTAAAAAAAATACTAGAGTTTTTTTAACCGCTCTTTAAACGTTCAAATTAAATAATTTTAAAGAAAAATATTTTTTTTTTTTTAAATCTCTTACTCTAAAAAGGGGAATCTTTCGGCAAGAGTTATTTTTCCAGCTGTTTCATAATCTAAATTATTACTTAAAAGCCAAACAAGTTCCTGAGTCCAGGTTGTGCCTTAAAAAAAATTTTAAATATTAGAAAAAAAAATTTTTTAAAAAAAAATAAAGAAAAATAAAAATTTTTATAAATAAATACCTACAAACATTTTTAAAATATTTTGAAAAATCTATTTTTTGTGTGTTGAAAGCCAATAATATATTTTCAAATTTTTTTATGATTTATAATTTTTTTTTATAATAATTATAATTGCAATAGTAATAAATAACAATTTAAAAAATAAAAATTTAATATAATAATAATATAATTTAAAATTTAATATTAATTTTAAATTTTTCTTAAAATTTTTTTAAAAATTAAAAAAAAAATTTTTTTTTTAATAAAAAATTTGTTTGAATTTAAAAAAAAAACTTACCGGATCTTGGATAAGAAACAACCCACGTGTCTGAGGATTTTGATTTAAAATTATAAAATCCTTCACCCTGTTCCGTGTATCTATAAGGGAAAAACCATTTTTTTTCACCAACTTGCACCCAACCAGTTCGTTCACCTTGAAATACTTTAAGCATTTCCTCAGTTTTATCGGCATTTAAAAATTGATAACTCGGTGATTTTGAATTCATTATTATTATTTTTTCTATTCACCAGAAAAATTAATTAAAAACTATTATAAATTTTCACTTTGAAATTTATTTTTAAAAAAATTAAAATTAATAATTAAATTTTTTATTTCTTTATTTAAGAAAAAACAACAATAAAAAAATAAACAGAAGAAATATTAAAAAAAAAACAATTTTTTTTATCTCTCTGAGAACAAATGAACACTTTGACGTCTCTTTTGAATCTGACAATAATTTTACCGGAATTCGGGTCAAATAACTTTCACGGTTTCACTTTGATGGAACAAAATATAATTCTCCCTACTTATTGAGGAAATGGCCTTTCGATTATGTAAAATAATATTTTTAATTATAGAACAAAAAAAAATTTTTTTTTCTTTAAATTCTAAAAAATTATAAATAATTTTTATTTTTTTCTAATTTACTTTATGAAAATTATTATTTTTTTTTTTATTTAAAAGAGGAGAATTATAAAATAAAAGAAAATTTTTTAAATTTTTATTTAGAAAATTAAAATAATAAAAAAAAAAATTTAAGTAGTATTATTAAAATTATATTTTGTAATTAAAATTTTTTTAAATTTTTAAATAAATTTTTCAAAATATCGAAACGATGAAATATTATACGATTATTATCCTTGATTAATGCACTCGACTTTCTCTTGCGTAATTTTATAGAATTACATTCAATAATTGTGTGTGTGTGCATTCATAATAATTCTTAGAAAAAAAAAATTATTATTTACATTTCGTTAAAAATATTTACCGAGTTTTCCTTAGAAAGTTTTCTGTATTTTCCTAAAAGCATCAATTTTATTTCAAAACTATTGTAAACTTAAAAATTATTAATTTTAATTTTATTTAATATTTATTTTTATAAATTTTATTTAAAATTTATTTTTAAAAATTTTATTTAAAATTTATTTTTAAAAATTTTATTTAAAATTTATTTTTATAAATTTTATTTAAAATGTTTAAAATTTATTTTTATAAATTTTATTTAAAATGTTTAAAATTTATTTTTATAAATTTTATTTAAAATGTTTAAAATTTATTTTTATAAATTATATTTAGAATTTATTTCTATAAATTTTATTTAAAATGTTTAAAATTTATTTTTATTAATTATATTTAGAAGTTATTTCTATAAATTTTCTTTAAAATTTAATTTAAAATTCATTTTTATAAATTTTATTTAAAATTTATTTTTATAAATTTTATTTAAAATTTATTTTTATAAATTTTATTTAAAATGTTTAAAATTTATTTTTATAAATTATATTTACAAGTTATTTTTATTTATTTAAAATTATTTAAATTTTTTTTAAAATTTATAAAAAATTTAATTCAATGAATTTAAAAAATTTTTTCCATTAATTTTCCTTAAAAAAATCCTACGACTATATATGCAAAAAAAATTAATAAAATTTTTTTTTTTAAACGTGCTTAAAAACATTACGTTTAGTCAGCTGCCGCGCTATCATTATCAAAATAACAAATATTATACTATCAGTAAAAATATAAATTAATATTAAACAAAATTTGAAAAAAAAAAATGAAATTAAAATTTTATATAACGTAAAATTGCAATTTTTTAATTTAATTTCTAATTTTAATTATTAATCATTATTATTTTATAAATTTTAAAAACCCCTTTAACAAATAAATAAATAATTATTTATGAATTTCAAAAATAAAAATTTCAAAAAGAATTTATGAAAATTAATTTTCATTAAAAAATTTTGTAACTAAACATAAAAATAATAAATTGAACACATAGAATTTTTGTTTTATTATTTTCTAACCATTTTTTTTTTTTTTTTTTTATATAATAAACCATTTTAAATAAGAGCGCCATTTTCTACCAATAAGAGAGTTGCAGAAGCGCAAGCGCAGTTACGTTTTGGTGACTTTCGCTGATTGGTAAAATGATTTCCAAATTAATGTTAAAATTCAAAATAATTAAAAAATTTTTAATTTTTTTTTGAAAAATTAAAATTCATTTAAAGGAAAAATAAGTTAGATTTTTAACTAAATTTTGATAGGAAATAAATGAAAATTTCATTTTGTTTTTTTTTGCAAATTTTTTTTTTATAGGAACTTCACATTACAAAAAATGTATTTATGGCAAATCAGTCTTGACTCAACGCTGTCACGACCATGAAATATATTTCTATATTTATTTATTTATAACTTATTTCTATCAAACGATTAATTAAATACGTCACATATAAATTATCAAAAAAAAAAAATTTATATATAGTTTCAAATGAGAAAAAAACTAAGAAAAAAAAAATAAATTTTGATTTGTCAACGCGAGAACAAATCAATTCAAGGCCTCTTAAGTGTAATTATTTTTTTTTTTTTCGTTAAAAGAGAGGAAAAAACAGCCTTTAAGAATATAATTATCGTTATGATCCATTTAAATTCGTTATTTTATTTATTTATTTATATATATATAGGTCAAGTCTCTCGCTAGAGATGAAAATTGACAAGTATAAAAAAAATATATTATTATTATCCTCTCTTTTTTTGTCACGCACTTATTGTTATAAATTTTTGTCCTTGTTCGAAAGACACTTTCAATTCTTTTGTTTATATATTTTATTAAATATTATGTATTATTATATTTGATTCCCTTTTTTAATAACGGCGAAACGAAAATTGCAAAAACAAAAATCGTTGAGAAATCATGAATTAAAAAAAGAAAAATAAAAGTTACTGTAAAAAAAGAGGCGAAAAATTTTTTTGATAAATTTTAATTTAATTTTTGTAATTTTTTTTGAAAAATAAATTCAAATTTCTTTTTTTTTTTTGCAATTATTAATTATCAATTATAATATTTCTTTTTTGTACTAAAAAAACAAAATATATCAAAAATTTTTTGCTCGTCTTAAAATTTAAATATTAAAATCACAAGAGAAAAAAAAAATAAAAAAGTTAATTTTAAAACAAATATTAAAATTATCTTTAAAAATTAAAAATTATTTTTTTTTCGAAATTCAAGTACCGTTCGAACAAAATAGTTATAATGATAAAATATTCGCTAGTAAAAAAAAATTTCTTTTCCTTTATTTACTAAAAATTTTCGTAGTAAAAATAGAAATGAAATTTTTTTTTTTTGTAAAAAAAAAAGAGAAACCTATACATGAAAAAAATTAGTATCGATAAAACTCGCTTTAAATGTTGAAAAAAAAATAAGATCTAAAAATTATTTTCACTTTTTTCTTAATAAAAAATTGTCAAATTCAATATTTTCAAATATTTTTCCAAAAAAGAAGAACAAAGAAAAAAAAAAAAACTTAATTTTCTTCCTTATTAAACTAATTTATTTATTTTTTATATTTACTTTTACTATATATGCATAATATAATTTATTAACAGCGAATATTAATTTAATTAATTAATAAATATTTATCGAAATTTATTTTTTACACAAAATTGTTTCCTTTCTTTTTTTTTGTTTTTGAATAATTAAAATAATTTTTCAATATTTATTTGCGAGTATATTCAATAAAATAGAAATATTTATTTGAAAAAACAAATATTAAAAAGAAAGAAATAGAAAAAATAAAATTATTTAAAATTTTCTATTAAAAAAAAAATATTTTTTTATCACAATTTTTTTTTTTTTGTTTCTCTTTTTTTTCCCTGATTTAATATTTTATTATCGATTCTCGTGCATTAAATTTTAAAATAAAAAAATCGACGTTTTCTTTACCCGCCCCCCATTAAAAGGAGTGTAAAAAAAATATTCCTCTTAAAAAATAATAATTTACTAAAAAAAAAATGAAAAAAAAAAAATTAGAAAATTTGTTGAAAATATTTTTGTAAAAAAATGTTTTCTTTTTTTCATTTTTTGATCAGAAACATTCGGGTGAGAGAATATTTTCCGTTACGGATAATTCGCCTCTATTAATAATATCCTCGTTTCGATTGTCATTCATGTCATCGTTATCGTCATTGTCATCATCATCATCGTCATCACTTTCAGCCAAGGAATGTAAAATTTCACTTGTTTTACGTGAATTATTATCATTATTACCATAATGATATTCACCATCTGATTCTTCTTCTTCTTCTTCTTCTTCTTCATCATTATCATTATCATCATTATCATTATTGTAATTTTCCATATTTACATTTTTTTCCATTTTTGTTGTCACATTCATTGGAATTATTTTCACTGATGTCACTGATGAACTTTTCGATGAAACACTCATATTATCAATACTACTGCAACTTTCGGTTTTCATTTTTGTATTATTTGCAACAAGTTCCATTAATGTGGGATCATCTAAAATTTTACTACAACGTTTTGTGTGTGCTTTCATATTGTCATGACGATTAAACCATTTTTTACAGCCAGGACATTCGAATCTTTAATGAAAAAACAAAAAAAAAAAAAAAAAAAAAACAGGAAAAAAAATACAAATTCAAATTATTAGTTTCAAGTATAATCCAAACATTTTTATTTATTTCTTATTTATGAAAATTTTTATTTCTTTTTAATTATTAATTAATTCTAATTATCAATTAATTAATTATTTCTAATTATTTTTTATTGAAAAATTTTCTTTTTACTAATTTTTATAAATATTTTTTTTGATTTATATTAAAACAATTTTAATTCAATATCATTATTATTATTATTTTTTTTTAAAATAAAAAATTACCAAAAATATAACATATTAATTTTATTAAAATTTTTATTATTATTTAAAATTTTTTCAATTTTATATTTACTTTTTTCTCTGATTATTATCAAAAAGAAAAAGAAAAAAAAAACAAGATTAGAAAATGTATGTCACAATTTTTAACAAATACAAGTTTCGTTCCCTCTTTACCGTTATATATTCAAATGAATCTCATTATCAAAAATCATTTGAATTCTCTAAAATATTTGTTTTTTTTTCTTAAAATAAAAAAATATTATTGAAAAAATATTTATTCTAAAATCGAATGGTGAATTTTAGTTTATTTATTTTAAGTTTTACTTTAATTAATTTTAAATTAATTATTAATTAATAATGACAAATAATAATTAATAATTAATAATAATAATAATAATAATAATAATAATAATAATAATAATAATAATAATAATAATAATAATAGTAATAATACTAATAATATATAATATAAAAATTGTCGACACAGAAATCTACCTTACCGACGGATGGTAAAAATTTTGGAAATATAATAAAATTACCGGCATAGGAGTCTATCCTACCGACCTATGATAGAGAAATTTATTTGGAATATAAAAATTACCGACATAGAAATCTGCCTTACCGACCGATGTAAAAAATCGAAAAAGATAAACACATACAAAAATTACCGACACAGAAATCTACCTTACCGACAGATGGTAATTTTTTTTAGAAATATATAAATTACCGTCGCAGAAATCTACCTTATCGACGAATGGTAAAATTTTTGGAAATATAAAAATTACCGTCGCAGAAATCTACCATACTGATGGATGGCAATATTTTTAGAAATATAAAAAATTACGGACGCAAAAATCTACATTAACGACGGATGGTAATTTTTTTTGAAAACAAAAAAATTACCGACGCAACAATCTACCTTACCGATGAATGGTAACATTTTTTGTAAATTTAAAAAATTACCGACATAGAAATCTACATTACTGACTTGATGGTAAAGAATTTTGTTTGGAAAACAAATTTATAAAAATTACCGACGCAGAAATCTACCTTACCGACGGATGGTAAAAATTTTGGAAATGTAATAAAATTACCGTCATAGAAGTCTATCTTATCGACCTATGATAAAGAAATTTATTTTGAATATAAAAATTAGCGACACAGAAATCTGCCTTACCAATTGATGGTAAAAATTCGAAACATTTAAAAATATAAAAATTACCGACACAGAAATCTACCTTACCGATGGATGGTAAAGAAATTTGTTTGGAAAACAAAAATATAAAAATTATCGACATAGATATCTACCTTACCGACTGATGGTAAAACTGGTTTTTTTTTGAAAAACTGAGGGAATTTAATTTAATAATAAAAATAAATTAACAATAATTAAATTAACTAACCTGAATCCCTTATGAACGGACATATGAGCTGATAAATGTGATTGTTGGGCAAAAGTTTTCTCACAAGTTTTACATTTATATTTTCTAATTCCACCATGTTTTAAAAGATGTTCTTTCAAGATATGTTGACTTTTGTACCTTCTCGGACACAATGAACATTGATATTTTGCCTCCGAATGAACCTATAAGTGAATTATTATTATTATTATTATTTATTTTTTTTTAATACCAAACCAATTTGTAATAAATTTAAAATTTCGCGCGAAAATTATCTTGTGCTCTACTTTATCAATAGAGTATAAATAGGAAAATGTACAATTAAAAAAAAAAATTGACAAACTACTCACATTTTGATGATTGTGTAACGATTTTCTTGATTTATAAGTTTTATTACAAATATTACATTCATAATCTTGAACGTGCGATGTACTGTAATGTTTCTCGAGTGCTTCCTTATTCATAAAATATGTTGAGCAAAATTTACATTTAAATGAAGTGTCTTTATTATGTATAAATTTGTGACTACGAAGTCGTCCTTTTGAATAAAATTTTTTTCCACACACATCACACTCGACATCCTGTGTGAAAAATGTAAAAATATTCAGTATAAATTTACCCCTAACAAAAATAGGGTAAAATGACACATAAACGAGGAAAGTAATGCCAAAGTAAAAGAAAGGGGAGGAATAATAATAATAATAATACAAAGATTAGGGTAAAATGGCAATAAAATATTACAAAGGTGGGGTAAAACGACTCAGGGGGTCAAAATGTTACCAAGTCGGGGTAAAATAGTACAAAGTGGAAAAAAAAGTTACCAAAAATGATTGGCAGATTAAAATATTATAAAGGCGGAGTAAAACTATATATTTGGTTTAAAATTTCTGGGGTAAAATGGTACAAATAAATTAAAATGTTATTAAAACGGGGTAAAATAGTACAAAATGGAAAAAAATACAATCAAGGCGGGGAAAAAAGGGCTGGCAGGTAGAATTGCTACTATTGCGGGGTAAAAAGACATATACGAGACAAAGTGTTACCAAAGCGGGGTAAAATGGTACAAAGTAGAAAAAATACAATTAAGATGGGGAAAAAAAGAGCTGGCAGCTCGAATTACTACTATTGCGCGGGGTAAAATAATACAAATAAGTTAAAATGTTACCAAAGCGGGGTAAAATAGTACAAAGAGGAAAAAAAAAAGTTACAATAGTGACTGGCAGGTCGAATTGCTACTATTGCGGGGTAAAAATACATATCTGAGTCAAAGTGTTACCAAAGCGGGGTAAAATGGTACAAAGTAGAAAAAATACAATTAAGGTGGGGAAAAAAAGAGCTGGCAGCTCGAATTACTACTATTGCGCGGGGTAAAATAATACAAATAAGTTAAAATGTTACCAAAGCGGGGTAAAATGGTACAAATAGGTTTAAGTATTACCAAAACGGGGTAAAATGGTACAAAGAGGAAAAAAAAGTTACAAAAGTGACTGGCAGGTCGAATTTCTACTATTGCGGGGTAAAAAGAAATATACGAGTTAAAATATTACCAAAGCGGGGTAAAATGGTACAAATTGAAAAAAATACAATCAAAGTGGGGAAAAAAGGAGCTAACATATCGAATTACTACTATTGCGGGGTAAAATGATACAAACAGGTTTAAAATGTTACCAAGGGGTAAAATGGTACAAATAGGAAAAAAAAGTTACAAAAGTGACTGGCAGGTCGAATTGCTACTATTGCGGGGTAAAAAGAAATATACGAGTTAAAATATTACCAAAGCGGGGTAAAATGGCACAAATTGAAAAAAATACAATCAAAGTGGGGAAATAAGGAGCTAACATATCTAATTACTACTATTGCGGGGTAATATGATACAAACAGGTTTAAAATGTTACCAAGGGGTAAAATGGTACAAATAGGTTTAAGTATTACCAAAACGGGGTAAAATGGTACAAAATGAAAAAATTCAATTAAAATGTTATAAAACAACACAGACAAGGCTAATTAGGGGTAAAACAAAACAAGTGGGGTAATATTGCACATATATGGGGTAATAATGTATAAAACTAAATAATTCGCATAAAAATGAAGAAAAAAAATTATTTTTTTTTCCCCTTTACCTTTTCCTGTTTGTGAGTGAGTTTGTGATAAGACAAAACTTGTTTACTGGCACTTGAAAAATCACATTCATCACAACGATATGGCTTTTCACCTGTGTGTGTATTAAGATGTTCCTGCAATGATGACGGTGATGTATATTGTTTCTCACAAAGTGGACACACATAGGGTTTTATTTTCAAATGACTTTTTCTAATGTGACAACGTATATTTGAAACTGTTAGTGTTGTAAAATCACAGGCAGTACATAAATATGGTTTCATTTCTAAATGCCTCCAAATGTGTACCTAGAAAAATTAATTAAATTTTCATACTCAAAAAAAAAAATTGTTTTTTAAATAATTTAAAAATTATTTTTTTTTCATTTACCTGACATTTATCCATACGATTATATTTTTGTCGACATATTTTACATTCAATTTCATTACGTGAATAAATTGTCATATTTTCAGCGACTTTATTTTCATCGACAACAGTCATATCGACACGATAATAATTTTCAACAGTTTCTTTTTGTTCATCAGTCATTAATTCAGAAATTTTACTATATCTTGATTCACAAATACGTGGTAATTTTTTTTTTTCAATTTGACTTTGATTATTATCATCAATTTTACGCTTTTTATTCATTGCATTTCCTGATTTTAACCAAACTTCCAATGTTGGTTCAATTAATTTTTTATTATTATTTTTATTATTATTATCATTTGTCAATTGATTTTTTTTATCAAAATTTTCATTAATAACATTAGCTGATGTTGTGGTTGATAAATTTTTTTGATTTACAATTATATTCTCAAGATTGAAATAAACTTGATTATCGTGAATTTGAGAAATTTCGTTATTGTAATTTGTTATTATTTCCGTTGGTTTTGTTAATATTGTTGAACAATTTTCCTTTTCAAAATCAATATCAATAATTTCTTGTTGTGAAATTAATAATTTTTCATTTTCATTTGAATCATTTTTATTGAAATTTTTCTCATGTTCAATAATAATTGTTGATGATTTAAATTTTAATTTACGCTTTGACTTTTGTTCGGGTGATATATTTTCCTTGTCCGATTCGTTTTCCGAATTTTCACACGTGTCAAAATTATTTTTTAACTGGAGAAGAAGAAAAAAGAATTTTTTTTTTATTTTAATATAAAAAAATTAATAGCAACAAATTTTTAAAAATAATTTGCTAATTTTACAATATATTAAAAGAAAAATTGATTTATTTTACTTCACTAGAGTTAAAAGAAGTTATTTTTTACCCTTGGATTAACAAAAAAAGGAATTTGTTTCGATTGAAACTTGATAAAAAAAAGTAATTTTTCGTAGAGGATATTTTGCACACTGGGGTTAAAAATAGTCACTTTTCTCACTAAAGTTAAAAAGTATTTAATTCCCTAGGGTAGAAAAACGCTAATTTATTCCTTAGGTATGAAAATGTTAATTTTCTTTTTCCTAGTGTTTAAAAAGAATAACTTTAGTCCCTAGTATTGAAAAAGGCCACTTTGTACACTAGGGTTGAAAATAATAATTTTTCATACTAGAATTAAAAAGTCTCAATTTTTTTCTAAGGTAGTAAAATGTCTATTTTACCTTTCCTAGAGGCGAAAAAAATTATTTTAGTCCATAGTATTGAAAAAGGCCACTTTGCACACTAGGGTTGAAAACAGTAATTTTTCTTACTAGAATTAAAAAGTATCAATTTTTTTCCCAAGGTAGTAAAATGTCTATTTTACATTTCCTAGAGGCGAAAAAGAATAATTTTAGTCCCTAGTATTGAAAAAGGCCACTTTGCACACTAGGGTTGAAAATAGTAATTTTTCTTACTAGAATTAAAAAGTGTCAATTTTTTTCCCAAGGTAGTAAAATGTCTATTTTACATTTCCTAGAGGCGAAAAAGAATAATTTTAGTCTCTAGTATTGAAAAAGGCCACTTTGCACACTAGGGTTGAAAATAATAATTTTTCTTACTAGAATTAAAAAGTCTCAATTTTTTTCCTAAGGTAGTAAAATGTATATTTTACCTTTCCTAGAGGCGAAAAAAATTATTTTAGTCCCTAGTGTTGAAAGAAGCCATTTTGCACACTGGGGTTCAAAATATTCACTTTTCTCACTAGAGCTAAAAAGGTATTTAATCCCCTAGGGTTGAGAAACATTAATTTACTCCTTAGATATGAAAATTTTTATTTTATATTTCTTAGTGTTTAAAAAGAATAATTTTAGTCCCTAGTATTGAAAAAGGCCACTTTGCACACTAGGGTTGAAAATAGTAATTTTTCTTACTAGAATTAAAAAGTGTCAATTTTTTTCCCAAGGTAGTAAAATGTCTATTTTACATTTCCTACAGGCGAAAAAGAATAATTTTAGTCTCTAGTATTGAAAAAGGCCACTTTGCACACTAGGGTTGAAAATAGTAATTTTTCTTACTAGAATTAAAGAGTGTCAAGTTTTTTTCCTAGGTAGTAAAATGTCTATTTTACATTTCCTAGAGGCGTAAAAGAATAATTTTAGTTCCTAGTATTGAAAAAGGCCACTTTGAACACTAGGGTGGAAAATAGTAATTTTAGACCCTAGTGTTGAAAGAGGCTATTTTGCACACTAGGGGTTGAAAGTAGTCATTTTAATCACTAGGGTTAAAAAAATCGTTCTTTTTACTCTCTAGAGTTGAAAATCGACTTTTCTTGTTATCAAACATAAAATTGTTGTTAAAAACACTATTTATAAAAAAAATGTCTATATACAATTTTCCAAACTATTGAATTGAATTCTTACCTTAAATTTATAATCATTCCTTTGAGCGTTAAAATAGTGAAAGACAAAAAATATATTTTTTAGTTTTTTTTTTTAAATTTTAGAATACCAAATTATATTCAAAAATTAATAAAGGAAAAAAAATATATATACATATTTTGAAGAAACACACTCACCTGATCGTTAAACGATTGTTGAGTTCGATGACACCAATCGTAAAAGTCACATAAAAATTCCAAGGCCCCAATACATTTTACACAAACACCAGTTGGCAACTCGTCGTTTTCCTCAATCTAAAGTAGAGAACAAAAAATTTTCTTTTTTCTTTATTTCATTGAGAAAACAAATTTTTGACCATGAAATGTGCATTTTTATCCATTTTTTGGGGGCAAGTTGGCGTATAGGGATGGGTAAAGGTACTTATACAATGAGAAAAAAAATTTTTTTTCTTAAAAAATATGCCTTTATTGTCGTGTATAAATGATTTTTTTTTTTTTTTATTTTATTTATTTATTTTTTATTTCGTATTCGCAACTAGAAATCGAGGCCCGATAACGATTTTTGTTTTTTTTTCTTTTCTTTTAAGAACAACGTTGATAAAATAATGAAAATCAATAATTTTGATTCTCTTTTTTTTGGGGGTGGAAAAAAATATTTCTCTCTCTCTCTCTCTCTCTCTCTCATATATATAGTAATATTTAATTTTTTTTAAACTCATTTTTACAATATGTAAAATAGTTTTATTTATATTACACTTAATATTTCGTGTATTTTTTTATGGTAGAAAAAAAATTAATTTTTTTTGAAAAATAGTATATTTTAGAAAATAATATTTTATAGAATTCCTGTTTTTTTTTAAGGAAAAAATAGAATTTTTTTTTTTTAATTTTAACAAAGTGAATAAAAACCAATTTTTCCCACTAATGAGATAATAAATTTTTTTCCTAGTACTGTAATATTATTTTCTTTTCTTTTTTTTTTTTTTTTAATAATCTTTATATAAAATACAGTCGACGTAGAAAAATTACATTTTTTCTATAAATTTTTTTTTTTCAAAAAATTACATTTTTAGTGTTTTTAATAATTTAAGAAAAGTAGTTTCTTAAATTTTTTTAAAGTGCTTTATAAAATTACTTTCTTATATTTTATTATTTTTTCCAAAAAAAAATGTGTAATAAATTTTTTTCTCTTTTATTTATTAAGTTTTTTTTTTTTATATATATATGAAAATACTTGTGAGAAATCTAGAAACGAAATTTATATTATATAGTGAATATATATATATATTTATATTTTTTTTTTATATATTTGTATTATATATTTGTAAATTGTATCAAAAAATGTCGAATAATCATTTTGGCAAAGGCACTTGTGTTTACAGTCGCCGGAAGAAAATAAAAATTAATTTTCATTTCATTATTTTTTTTCTCCTCTTTTTTTTATATAGAAGAGAAAAAAATATATATTTATGAAAATGAAAATTAATTTTACTTGCGCTATTTACAAAAAACTTCACAGTAAGAGTTGCTTAAATGCGAAATTGGATCTGAGCCTGTCCTAAATCTTAATACTATATATATATAATATTTTTATATATATATATATATATAATATTATATTTAAAAACTAATAATTATATATATGTATATATATAAATGTCTAGTTTGTAATAAATTTGACAGTAAAACTAAAAAAAAAAGAAAAAAAAATTTTTTTCCCTATCCTTCTAAATTAAGTCGAATTTTTTATAATTTTCCAAAAATCGCATTATTATTATTATTATTATTATTATTATTATTATTATTATTATTATTATCATCATCATCGACATCATTTAAAAAAAAAAGAAGTCTCGTGAAAAATTCCATTCGAAAGTCACGTGAAAAATACTGCGATTCCAATACAAAAAAAAAAAAAAAAAAGGTCACTAAACTTTTGGAAGCCCCATTTCTATTCTTTTTAAATTTTTTTTGCAAAAAAGAAAAAATTCTCATCAAACCAAAAAAATACATTTGTTTTCAAAATTAATGTATAATTTAAAAAATAAAAAAAAAAAAATTATTTTTTTTCATTTAAAAAACAAAATCGAATAATTGATGAAATTAAAGAGAGAAAAAAAAATTATTATTATTATTATTATTATAACTTATTATTATATAAATTATAAAATCTAAAAATGGTGAATCTAAAGAAAGTGAAAGAAAAAAAGAAAATTTATATATATATATATCGATAAATTTAAAACTCGCCTCACATATCGTGAAAAAAATCATATTTTTTTTAAACAAAAATTATTACCTGCTTTTTCTTTAACTTTCATTATAAAATATGTACATTGTTATTTTTTTTTGTTTTTTTTTTTTTAATTCTTAAAGCTAAAAAGAAAATTTTTTTTTTCTTCACAATGGGAGACAAACACAAGGAGGCGCATACACACATCAAAAAAAAAAAAAAAAAAAAAATTAAAGATAATAATTAGAAGAAAAAAAAATACATTGACACTAAAAAAAAATTCAGTGCATTGAAAGAAAAAAAAAAATTGTAAGAAAAAGCAAAGAAAAAAAAAACGAAAAAAATTTCTCTGTTTCTTCAAAAATTCTAATCGGGAAGCACCGAAATCTCCGGGAAAATAATTCCAAGCACCTTATTACAATTTTCATACTTGAAATACATCAAGATAAAAGAGATTTACTCGTCAAAATAAAAAAAATTTTATCATCGATATTCTTTCAATATCTCGAACGTTAAGAATTTTTCGCTTTTTAACGAACTTCAGTTGTTTTTTTTCGATATCTAGATGTCGATTTTGTAAAAGCAAATTTTCGATATATCGAGAATCAATACTATCGATACTATCGATATATCGAGAATCAATTCTATCGATATATCGAGAATCAATACTATCGATACATCGAGAATCGATACTATCGATATATCGAGAATCGATACATCGAGGATCTATACTATCGATATATCGAGAATCAATACTATCGATATATTGAGAATCGATACTATCGATATATCGAGAATCAATACTATCGATATATTGAGAATCGATACTATCGATATATCGAGGATTGATACTATCGATATATCGAGAATCGATACTATCGATATATCGAGAATCGATACTATCGATATATCGAGAATCGATACATCGAGGATCTATACTATCGATATATCGAGAATCAATACTATCGATATATTGAGAATCGATACTATCGATATATCGAGAAACAATACTATCGATATATCGAGGATCTATACTATCGATATATCGAGGATCTATACTATTGATATATCGAGAATCTATACTATCGATATATCGAGAATCAATACTATCGATATATTGAGAATCGATACTATCGATATATCGAGGATTGATACTATCGATATATCGAGAATCGATACTATCGATATATCGAGAATCGATACATCGAGGATCTATACTATCGATATATCGAGAATCAATACTATCGATATATTGAGAATCGATACTATCGATATATCGAGAATCAATACTATCGATATATCGAGGATCTATACTATCGATATATCGAGGATCTATACTATCGATATATCGAGAATCTATACTATCGATATATCGAGAATCGATACTATCTATATAGCGATCCTATCGAAAATTGGTACTTCGAGAATCGATACAATCGATCTATAAAATATGCATATTATCGATTTATCGAACATCGACTCTATCGATACATTAATCATTAATATTATTGATATATCTAATATCGATATTATCGATGTATCGAACATCAATAGATCGAATTTTGATACAATTTTTTTTTATCGAATTATTTCTAATTTTCCATATCAGATTCAGTTTTTAGAGTGTTACTACTGCTATTATAAGTCATTTAATCGATACATCGAATACTAATATAGTGATTTTTCGATAATTCGATTATTTATAATTAACAGTAGTATTTGATATCGATAACAAAATACAAATTAAAAGTGAAATAAAATTTCTATTAAACTTTAATATTGTTATTGTTAGTAAACTGAGTCGTTGGATCATGTAATATTGGGATGTTCGTTACTGTGAAGCGCTCTCTGTTGAAAATATTTTTAACCCTTGAAAGTAGGATGTTTGTCAATTTTTGTCCAGTTTAAATCAATCAGAGTAACACTTTCAGTCATAGTGGTGAAAAATGGTACTACTGAACGTAGGATAATATTCTAAGCCACGCCCCACAACGGATATCCCAATAATTTAATTGATTGTAATAAAGAAACATTTAAAAATTTACAAAAGTAAATTTTTAAAATCATTGATTCTTGGCTTAAAATATCATAAAATATAGAAAGGGACAATGAAAAAAAAATGTCTAAATTGTTAAATTTCATTTGAAAAATATCCACCAATCATAAGAAGAAAGGGGGGGATAAGTCAAGATTCTATTGAAGAAAGGCCTTAAAAAAATATTAATGTCTTTCTTCAATAGAATTCTAACAGCATGCGTTATGCTTATGTTGTAAAAAAATCAACGCAAGCGTAATGCATGCTGTTAGGATTCTATTGCAAAAAAAAGGCTTTAATATTTATTAAGGTCTTTCTTCAATAGAATCTTCGACTTGCCTCCCCTCATTTATGAAGTGTTACGTAATTTAAGCTACTTCTACAACAACATTTTTTTTCAAAATAAACAAAAATAATAATAAGATATTAAAATAAGCTACAACGCTTATTATTTTAATCCAATTTTTGCTTATTTTAATACCAAAATGGATTAAAATAAGCAAAATTTGATTAAAATAATAAGCATATAATAATAATGCAGCTTATTTTAATGCCTTTTAATTTTCTGTTCTTCGAAAGTAGTAAAAATTACTTTTTTTTTCCGTATGTATAATATATTTTTGCAGTTGACTAATCCAGCGACTCAGTTTCCTTTTCTTCACTCTTTCTTTCTTCTAGTGGCACAAATCGATATCACAAAAAAAAAAAAAATCCCTTTTTTTCAGAAACAGAAAAAAAAAAAAAAACCGAAATAAATCTCTCTCTTTCTTTCATTTTTCATTTTTTTCCTCTTCCTCTTGTTTAATACCACCACTATTATTACTATTATTACTTTTTTTATCATTTTCAAAATGTCTCTTCAAATGCACTTTCATATTGTCACGTCGATTAAATTTCTTACCACATTCAGAACAAACATGTGTTTTTTCACCATGCACATGACGATGTGCAGCTAAATGGCTTGCTTGAGCAAAACGTGCTCCACATTTTTGACAAACATGTTTACGTAAACCCTGATGTTTTAATAAATGTTCATTTAAAAATGCCTTTGACGCATAACGATTATCACAAACAGTACATACATATGGTTTTGGATTTGTATGTTGATGTACATGCGCTTTATATTTTGATGCAACTTTAAATGTTTTATTACATGTTTCACATGTAAATGTTGTTGCATGACGCGTTTTAATATGATCATTTAATACCGATAAACTTGAATAAAGATTATAACAAAAATGACAACGAAAATTACGTCGATTTTTCATATGAACACTACCAACATGACTTAATAAACGTGTTCTATATGGAAATACTTTACCACAATATTCGCATGCCAAATTTTGTGGTGGTAAATGTGATTTAACATGCATTTGTAATGATACTTTATGATGATATGTTTGATCACAATCAGAACAACGATATGGTTTAATGCCCTTATGTACATTTGTATGTTCAGCTAAATCAAATTTTGAACGAAAACGTTTTGGACATTTTGGACATAATATTGGCCTTGGATTTGTATGTGAACATCTTATATGTTTCATAACATCTGATTTACAGACAAATTTCGCTTGACAAACAATACAATGATATTGTTTAATACCCAAATGTGTTTTAACATGTACTGTACATTTATCACGACGTTCATAAATTTTTTGACATAAACGACATGCATAATTCATTTGATTATTAACAGTTATTTGTTCAACATTATCATCAACATGTATTTCTTCACCGTCCATACGATATAATTCCTCTGGATTTCTTAATGTTTCTGTTGTATCATCATCATCATCATTAATAATATTTGTTTTACCTTTTTGATTTTTAGCATCAATTATTTTTAATATCTCACTTATTTCATGATTATTTTGATCTTTTAATAATGTCATTATTTTTGGATCTAATAAACATGAGCCTTGATCGGGAAATACTTTTGCCAATACACTAACAGTTGATGTTTCTTTATTTCTTAATTCAATGAGAAAACTAATATCACCACCATTATTATCATTATCATTATTTATTGATTCACGTACCGATACTTCAACTTCACATGTCTCGGCAATAACATTTAATAATTTATTTAATGTACCTGTTGCAATTTGTATCATATTTCGTTGACCATTCATTTGTTCATTTTGTAATGAATTTTGTTCTTTATCATTTATTGTTGTAATATCAGTTGTTTTTGTACATTTAATTTCAAGTTCATTACGTCCACGTAACCAACGTACACATGCATCTTGTTGTCCCGATTCAATACAATTTTCATCACTCATTAATCTTTCAATACTACGAATTATTGGTATTGCAGGTGAATTTGGAAGATCTTGATAATCGCTTTGAAGAACATTTGTTTGTAAAACACGTTCATCAATATCAAGTGGATCGCGTGTTTCAATTATTAATTCCGTTCTCATTCCATCGCGATTTAATATTTCCTGATGATGATTCTGCTGCTGCTGCTGCTGCTGATGATGATGATGATGCTGTAGATGATGATTATTATTATTATTATTATTATTAAGTTGCACACTTGCGTTGTGTACAATTTGACTATTATGAAGGACTTCTTGTGAATTTGTAAATTCTTGTGGGAAAGGCACATTTTGTAATGTCGTTAAAACTGGCGTTTCAATATTTTGTAAATCAATTGTTGATTTACAACGAAATTCATCATGTAAATGATGATGTTTATCAATTTCCATTGTTATTTCTTGTACTTGATCCAATTGTGATGGTAGTGATGATTGTGGTGTTCTTGCACGATTAAGATCTTTGTCTGAATCATTGTTGTTAATTGTCGATGTGCCTGGGACCGATTTGTCCAGCTCATCCTAGATAGAAGATTAAATTAAATGTATGGAAAAAAAAATGAATACCAAAAAAAATAATCACTTCTGATGAAGAAAAAAAAAACACCAAAAGCAAAAAGGGTATTTTACCCAAAAAAGGTAATGGAAAATTTAGTGTCTGGATTTTGTGTGTAAATTCGTAGTTATATGAATTGTCAAATTTACATACATGGAAAAAAATTGGAAATAAGAATAAAGTAACATTAACTACTTTAAAAGTAAAATTGGAATTGTTCGCAGTTTCTGCGCATTTTTCGGCAATTTTTACTATAGAAATAGTAAAATTTACATCTTAAATAGTAGAAATTATTCCGAAAATAGTAAATTTTACTATTTTTGCAGTAAAAATAGTAAAATTTAATATTTTCGGAATAATTTCTACTATTTCAAAAATTTTACTATTTTTACTGCAGATATAGTAAAACTTACTATTTCCGAAAATAGTAAAATTTACTTCTGAAATAGTAGAAATTATTCCAAAAATAGTAAATTTTACAATTTCTGCAGTAAAAATAGTAAAATTTACTATTTTCGGAATAATTTCTACTATTTCTAAAGTAAATTTTACTATTTCTGCAGTAAAAATAGTAAATTTTATTATTTCTGCAGTAAAAATAGTAAAATTTACTTCTGAAATAGTAGAAATTATTCCAAAAATAGTAAATTTTACAATTTCTGCAGTAAAAATAGTAAAATTTACTTCTGAAATAGTAGAAATTATTCCAAAAATAGTAAATTTTACAATTTCTGCAGTAAAAATAGTAAAATGTACTATTTTCGGAATAATTTCTACTATTTCTAAAGTAAATTTTACTATTTCTGCAGTAAATATAGTAAAATTTACTTCTGAAATAGTAGAAATTATTCCAAAAATAGTAAATTTTACAATTTCTGCAGTAAAAATAGTAAAATTTACTCCCGTAATAGTAGAAATTATTCCAAAAATAGTAAATTTTATTATTTCTGCAGTAAAAATAGTAAAATTTACTTCTGAAATAGTAGAAATTATTCCAAAAATAGTAAACTTTACAATTTCTGCAGTAAAAATAGTAAAATTTACTATTTTCGGAATAATTTCTACTATTTCAAAAATTTTACTATTTTTACTGCAGAAATAGTAAAATTTACTATTTTCGGAATAATTTCTACTATTTCAGAAGTAAATTTTACTATTTTTACAGTAGAAATAGTAAAATTTACTATTTTCGGAATAATTACTACTATTTCAAAAATAAATTTTACAATTTCTGCAGTAAAAATAGTAAAATTTACTTCTGAAATAGTAGAAATTATACCGAAAATAGTAAATTTTACTATTTCTGCAGTAAAAATAGTAAAATTTACTTCTGAAATAGTAGAAATTTTTCCGAAAATAGTAAATTTTACTATTTCTGCAGTAAAAATAGTAAAATTTACTTCTGAAATAGTAGAAATTATTCCGAAAATAGTAAATTTTACTATTTCTGTAGTAAAAATAGTAAAATTTCTACTATTTAAAATTTTTTACTATTTTTACTGCAGAAATAGTAAAATTTACTATTTTCGGAATAATTTTTACTATTTCAGAAGTAAATTTTACTATTTTTACTGCAGAAATAGTAAAATTTACTTTTGAAATAGTAGAAATTATTCCGAAAATAGTTGATTTTACTATTTAAATTTATATCGGTTAAATTTATATATCTGTCGAATCTAATTATTTTGTTCTAAACGGATTTTCCATTCATTTTTGTCAAACCTATTTATCACCGAAACGTAATGTGTTATTACTGTTAAAATCATGTTTAAAATTGTAAAATTAAAAAATGAATTTTAGATTAAATTTTCAAAAGAAATTCGTGTTTTTTTTTTGTTTCTTAATTCTCTTCAATCCATATCATACTCATAATATTTGTTAGTTTTAAACTCTGGTTTATTAAAAAAGAGAGTATAAAAAAACTACTCTCTAAATTAAAATTTGACAAAAATAACTAATTTGAATTAGTGACACTCACTTTTTTTTTAATTTAATTTTTACTAATTCGATAGTAAAATAATTTTCTTTTTTTTTTACTGAAAAAAAAGATTTACCTGAAACATCGAAACATTTCACTATAGTAGCAAAAGTTTTACTTGCTTTAATTAAAAGCATTAAATCTTTTGTTATTCGAGTGAAATCTTTTGCTGTTTTATGTAAATATTTTTTTTTTCCGTATAGTAAAGTTTAACTATGTCAAAAAAAAGTGAGTCACTAATTCAAATTAGTTAATACTCTCTAAATCTGAATTAGTAAAAATGTTTACTAATTTAAATTAGTGACTCACTTTTTGCTTTTGAATTAGTAAAATTTTACTAATTATTAGTAACTTTTACTAACAATTAGTAAAATTTTACTAATTCTAAAAGCAAAAAGTGAGTCACTAATTTAAATTAGTAAAAATTTTTACTAATTCAGATTTAGAGAGTACTTTCTAAATTTGAATTAGTAGTTTTCTGTGCAATATTCGTTTACTAATTGAATTAGTAACAGTTTTGGCTAATTTTTATTTTAAAAAAACTAATTCCTAGTAGGAAACTACTAATTCATAGAGTAAATCGGCTTACTAATTTGAAATAGTAAAAAATACGACTTACAAATGAATTAGTAGTTTCCTACTAGCAATTGGTAGTTTTTTTTACTAAAAATTAGTCAAAACTGTTACTAAAATTGGTAAACGAATACACTCTCTTTAGAATTTAATAAACTTAAAACTTTAGTTAGAATTCAAGTAACAAGAAAAATTGTTTCTTTGATTCAAAAAAAAAAAAAAAAAAAAATATTAAAATCAGACACTATATTTTCCATTAGGTCTTCTCGAACATCGAGAATCACAAATTGAAATTAGTGGTTATTTATTGAGAAAAAAAAGCGTTAGAGGAAAGCGATTAAAATTAAATAAAAGATTTAGCTTTATGTGAGAAAAAAAGCAGTTTAAGTGATAAGCATTTTTTTTTTTTTTTATTCGAGAAGACTATTTTTGAAAAAAAGAGACATTTTCCAAAAAGAAGAGTAACATGTATTATTGGTAGGTATCATTTTTTTTTTTAATTTTTGAGAGCGGTAGAGCATTAGATGAGAAATAAAATACTGACTTACAACATCTGATAAGGGCGGTAGATTGTACCGATCGCGTAACAGTTGTTGAGTACGAAGACACTCCTCTTGGAAGTCGCAAACGAATTCAAGTTTCCCCACACAATGAACACAGATCGTCTTTGGCAGAAGATCCCTCTCATCTATCTGCGATTTAAACAGATTTTACCTGATAAACTTTGTTGCATTGAAAAACATTTTTTTTTTTTTTTTTTTTTTTTGCCAATATTCGTCTTAGAACTATATGGAAATGTGTTTTTTTAGGTTTTTTTTTAAATTTAGCGCTCGTTTACAATCAACGCTCAAAACACACACAGAATTTTTTTTTTTTTTTCTAATTTTAATCGTCGTAAATGAAAACATCTTCACCCTACCGCTCTGCAGACACACCATACTTATATATTTAAAAAATAATTAAATATTTAATATTTATTTTATTTAATAAGTAAACAGTAAGTAGTTATAATATAATAATAAATATTAAATATTTAAAAAAAAAAAAATTAATTTTGGTAGTCACAGTGACGATTTTCGAGGAAATTGCGATTTTTTTTCGAGGGGCGTAACTAATTATTAGTCGAATTTAAATATTTTAACTAATTTTAGCTAATTTCAATTAATTATTAGTCAAATTTAAATATTTTAACTAATTTTAGCTAATTTCAATTAATTATTAGTCAAATTTAAATATTTTAACTAATTTTAGCTAATTTCAATTAATTATTAGACAAATTTAAATATTTTAACTAATTTTAGCTAATTTCAACTAATTATTAGTCAAATTTAAATATTTTAACTAATTTTACCTAATTATTAGTGAAATTTTTATATTTTAACTAATTTTTACTAATTATTAGTTAAATTTATTTTTAGGTTATATCAAGTAACTAACATTTTCGGTAACTAATTGAATTAGTCAAATTTAACTATTTTAACTAATTTTAGCTAATTTCAACTAATTATTAGTCAAATTTAAATATTTTAACTAATTAGTAGTTAAATTCACTTTTAGGTTATGTTAAAATAACTAAAATTTATTTTATTTTCAAATTTTGCGGTAACTAATTAAATTAGCCAAATTTCATTTTAATTAATTTTATTCTACTAATTATTAGGTTTAAATTTACTTTTAGGTTATGTCAAAATAATTTAACTAATAATTAGTTAAAAATAAATTAAAACCGTTGAATTCGACTAATTTAATTATACCAGAAAAGAAACTAAAACAAATTATTTTGACATAACCTACAAGTGAATTTAACCTTAAAATTTGTTAAAATAACTAAATTTGACTAATTCAAATTACCGAATTTAATTCAAAAAATTTTTAACTAATTATAATATAATAACAATTAGTTGAAAGAAAATTTAGTTATTTTGACATAACCTAAAAGTGAATTTAACTTTATAATTTGTTAAAACAAAGCTAAATTTGTCTAATTCTGTTAGTTACCAAAAAATTTTATTTAACATAACCTAAAAAATTAATTTAGCTAACTATTAGTTAAATTTATTTTTAGGTTATGTTAAAATAGCTAAAATTTTTGGCAACTAATTGAATTAGCCAAATTTAATTCCAGAAATTATAATTAAATAATAATGATAATTAAATTGTAATAATAATAATAATAATAATAATAATAATAATAATAATAATAATAATATTAATAATAATAATTAGTTACTAGAAAATTAAGTTATTTTGACATAACCTAAAAGTGAATTTAACCTTATAATTTGTTAAAACAAAGTTAAATTTGTCTAATTCTGTTAGTTATTAAAAAATTTTATTTAACATAACCTAAAAAATTAATTTAGCTAACTTTTAGTTAAATTTATTTTTAGGTTATGTTAAAATAGCTAAAATTTTTGGCAACTAATTGAATTAGCCAAATTTAATTCAAGAAATTATAATTAAATAATAATTATAATTAAATTGTAATAATAATAATAATAATAATAATATTAATAAAATAATAATTAGTTGCTAGAAAATTTAGTTATTTTGACATAACCTAAAAGTGAATTTAACTTTATAAATTTGTTAAAACAAAGCTAAATATGACTAATGCAGTTAGTTATCAAAAAATTTTATTTAACCTAACCTAAAAATAAATTTAGCTAATTTTTACGATTTTTAGTTAAATTTATTTTTAGGTTATGTCAAAATAACTAAACTTTCTGGCAATTAATTTGAATTAGCAAAATTTAATTGAACAAATTTTTAACTAATTATAATAATTAGTTGCCAGAAATTTTAGTTATTTTGACATAACCTAAAAATAAATTGTTTAAAATTAGTAAAATCAGCATAAAATTTTTTTTTTAAAAAAACAAATGCTTGTTTCTCGTACGTAAATAATTTTTTTTTTTATGTTCTGTGCCTTTTAAAAATTCGAAAAAATCCTAAAATACTTTTAAAACTCTAAGAAATTGAAATCGGTTGAGAAAATTTTAGAAGCTATAATAATTTATTTAAAAAAAGAAAAAATTTCTCTAGCTTTTTTTGCACTGAAAATTAGTTAATTTTCACTAATTTTAGGTTAGTTTTTATTTTTTTTTTTACTAACTGACTAAAGCAAAAAAGTCAGTAACGATTTTAAATTTTTTTAAAAAAATTATTATTATTTTTCGATTATTTTAAAAATTCGTTATTTTTAACTAATTCATATTTAAAGAGAGAGAGAGAAATAATTTCAAAAACTATAAATTTTCATAAAACACTCAATTTTTGAATTGAAAAAAAAAATCTTATAAAATATTCACAAAACGTAAATTCAAAAAAAAAGGGAGAAAAAAAAACAAATACACAATATATATTTCGAAACACAAAACAAAAAATTAACCTCAAAAACTCGAATACAATAAATCGAAATAAAAAAAATATATATATTTTTTTAACGCTCACTTCACACAATAAAAAAATAAATAAATAAAAGTTGGGGGGGAGAAAGGGTAAAAATGCACTTTTCAAGTCACTATTTTGCGAGGATTATATATATATATATATATACATATACATATATACAATATATATACATAGGAAGAATTTTATACCAGAAAAAAAGGGAAATAAAAAACGAAATACAACTTTTATCGACGAACAACGCTTTCGAGAAAATAAAACAAAAAAAAAAAAGAAGAAATAAAGTAGCAATTTTTTTTCATTTAAAAGTAGAATTTTTTTTTTTTTCTTTCGTTACAAAAAAGAAATAATTTCACGGCGTTTTTATTTCGTGTGCGTTATACGGGAAAAAGTGTCCGAAACACGTCGGCTTTTGTCTTCCGGCCATTTTCCTATAAACCCCCCTTTATTCCACCAATGCCCCCCACCCCTCCCCTTAGCCCCTTAGAACGGACGCGGCGAGAATTTCGAGCGTGATCCCCACCCCCCCTCCTCTCTATATAATACTATAGATGTTTTCTTTCTTTTTTTTTTGTTATTTAATAAATGCACAATGGAAATATTTTTCATTTCGTTTTTTAGTGAAATTTTTTTTTTCTTGATTTTTAATTCAAATTCAATATACGTGGATTTTAGTTCTTAAAAAAAGAAAAAAAATAATAAAAGCAGAAGAGAAAAAAAAAATTCTACTCACCAGAATATTTATTTTCGAATGTATTTTAATGCGAAGCAAACGATTAGTGCCATCCTCACTAAATACATCAATACAAATATTGTCAGTTTGTCCGCAGAGTCGACAAATTTTTGCCTCCTCCTCCTTGACCTCCATTTTTGTTTACGTTCAAGGCTGCGCTTGGTTTCGAACACGACGACGACGACACGACTGTTGCTTCTGCTGCTGCAAACAAACACGACCAGACGATTCTCGTTGAAATTTTATTGTCAGAAGAAAAAAAAATCGCGATTAAGAGAATAAGAACAAAAAAAAAAAAAAAATTGTAAACAATGTCGAGTCTTCCTCCCCATAAAGAAGAAAAACTCGTGATAATAATTTTTTTGTCACAAAAAAAAAGGTGGGTAAAAAAAAAACACGTTTTCGTAAAATAACAGTGATTCTATAGAATTTCCACGAAGCTTTGTCTTGATTAAAAAAAAAATACAAAAAAAAAAAAAACTAATAAAGAAAACGATAAAAATAAATAAACTGTGAGTATAGATGTTTGTTTATGAATGTTGGGGGAAGGGGTAAAAAAAAGGAACCCGAAAAAAATTATATATACTGATCTGTCGATGTTACTTTTGCGAAACCCAGCGTGGCCGCCTTGTTAGTCCTGCGAGGTTTGTGTCGCCATTTTGTAAACATAAAGGCGCATTGCCAGTGAATGAATTCGCTTTTTGCGATTGCAGCGCCACTTGGTGTCGTTTAATCCAAGTTCGATTGTTTTACGCGGGAATATTTAAAAATTCTATTCTGCTAAAAAATTTTTTTTATTTTACATTTTCCGAAATAATAATTGTTTCTTTTTTTTTTGTTTCAGATGGACACGGAAGGGATATCAGAAAAGGTTACAAAAAAAAAAATTTGTTTAATATTAATGATGAATAATTATACAAAATTTTTTTTTATAAATTACAAGCTCTTTTTAACTTTGTTTTTTTTCAGATGGCTCCGGAATATCAAGTAACGGACGGTTACAAAAAAAGGTTGTTTTATATTAATGATGAATAATAAATATAAAAGCAAAAAAATACCAATTATGGTGAAGCAAAATTAAAAAAAAAACGATTAAGGCATTGAGGAATTATCTCTAATAAAGTAGAAATTTATAACATAACCTAAAATTTAATATTTTAACAATAATAATAATTTTCATTTATAACCTCATTGTTTCTTAAATTCCGAAACGGTCGGATGAGAAATGGAAATATTTAGAGTATGTAATGCAAAATTTTATGGATTTAGGTAAAAAAGAAAAAAATATTTTCTCTAAATTGAAGGAAATTCTTTAGATTATGGTTCCTCTACAATGAATAGAGTTGATCTCGACATGGCATTAAAATGCATATGTGATAGAAAAGGACAATATCGTTTATCTTTTTCCATCACATTGTAATGATGCCATTGTCACAACATGGGAATTTTTTTTAATTATGAACGCACCTTAATACTGCAATTAAACTACACTCATTTATATAATAAAAATAATATTTTGTATAATAATAATAATAATACCAATAGTAATTGTTCCTTTTTTTGTTTCAGATGGACACGGAAGGGATATCAGAAAAAGTAACGGACGGTTACAAAAAAAAATTTGTTAAATATTGATGATAATAATTATACTACTAAAAAAATTTTTTTTATAAATTACAAGCTCTTTTTAAATTTTTTTTTTTTTGTTTCAGATGGCCCCGGAATATCAAGAAAAGTAACGGACGTTTATGAAAAAAAGGTTGTTTTATATTAATGATGAATAATAAATATAAAAGCAAAAAAAACCAATTATGGTGAAGCAAAATTAAAAAAAACGGTTAAGGCATTGAGTGCTTATCTCTGATATATAAAGTACAAAGATATAAAAATTTATAAATTTATAACATAACCTAAAATTTAATATTTTAACTATAATAATTCCCATTTATAGTCTCATTCTTTCATAAATTAAGTAATGCAAAATTTTAGAGATTTAGATTAAAAAAAAGAGAAAAGAACCTAAAGAATAAATAAATTACAAAAGAACATATTTGCATAACAATAACATTTATTTATTTATTGTTTTTTTCTTCATTTTGAGTCTTTGATAAAAGTTTTTTTTTTGTTTTTTTTTTTTATTTTCATGGTATAAAACTTCTCTGTACATTCATTACACATAAAAGAGAACGGAACAAGTTCAGTCTCCAAAATTATGTAAACGAGCCCGTGAGCTTTTTTTTTAAGTAATAATTCATTACAATTTAACATTGCACCTTTCGGTGTATCTCGTACTCGACAAGACGGATTACAACGAACTGGAAAAAAAATTAGGACTTAATTATCATTTATCACAAGGCGAGATATTTTTTTTCAGATATATTTTTTATTTGCCATTTTTGAGATTTACTTTTTTTTTTTATCTATTAAAGTCAATATCTGAAAAAAATTTTCTTTTTTTTCCTCTAAATTGTCGCGGCAAAAAATATATATATAATATAATAAATCTCTTTTCTGCATCTATTAAGAAAAAATTGTCTTTAAAACTGGAATCGTTCAGTTTCTCTCTACCTCTGGAAATATTTATTCGAAATGAGATTCGTCTCTACTAATCAAAAATTAATTAAAAACGCTTCTTAATTTTTAATTATAAGTCATTATCATTAAATTTAAGTAATTTGGTGAAAAAAAAAAATAATAACTAGAAACTAATAATTTCAAACGCAATTAAAACAAAAGGAAAAAAAAATTTTTATTTTAAATGATTTTTATCGAAAAAAAAAATCGAAAAGAAAATGTAATTAATTTTTTTAATGGTATAAATTTTTGTTTATAAAAATGTTAAATTAAAAATTTGTTTTAAATACATTTTTAAAGCACAAAAAATTTCTTTAGAATTTTTCGCATTTGAAAAAAGAAATTCGCATATTAAAAAATTTTCTTTGAATTTGAAAAATTAAATTCTTAATTAAAGAACAATTTTTTAATTAATGTGAATTAAAGAAAAAAAATTTGAAATTAACGAAAAAAACAAAATATTTACATTTCAGAAAAATTTGAAATTAATATTTCTTATCCATTTTTTTTTTTTTTTATAAAAAGTGAGAAATTTATTTTCCTCCTCACTAAAAAAAAAATCTTAATTCCACGATTAAGAAATAAAAATGGAATTCTTAAATTTCAGTGTTCTATATACAAGTGGATGATTAATGTTTTTAAGCTATTTTTTTACAGGTGATCTCTTATTGAAAGTAATGATAAAATACTAAAATCTCTTCCAAGCGAGAAGAGAAGGAAAAAAAAAATGCACAGCTTTTTTTTATGGCCACTTGGAGTTTTTTTTTTTTTTTTTAATAATATTAATACTCCCAAAAGGACTAGGCTTCATCTTCATTTCTTTCTATAATGCCTAAGGAAAAAGAAAATCGTTTCTATTTTTTTTTTTAAAGAAAAAAATTACTATCAATTTTTAAAGTTTATGATTCTTTTTTTTTCTTTTCTTTTTATATCTGATCTCTCGTTTTCCTTCATGAGACTCTCAAATTAAGAGTTAACATTGGAATTCGATTGTCTCAGTTTTTAAAATAAAAATTCGCAGAATTCGCAAAAAAAAAAAATGTCTAAAAATCAAAAAGAAATGGTCACGTAACGTGCGCACGTGACAAAAAATAAATTGTCTAGCTAAAAGAATCGTCTAACGCGAGATTAAGCGACGAATCACGACTATCGGGTGATCGCATCGCGAGATATCGTTTTCGTAAAATTTCCTGTAAATCGTTGCATGGACTATTTTCATGCTTTATTTTCACTGGACGACCACCGGGCGATCTGAAAAAATAAAAACAGTTTTTTTTATTCCTTTCTTTATCAAAAAAAAAAAAAAAAAAAAAAATGATTTTTATTTTTACTATTTATTTATTTACTTTTAAATTAAATACTGACCTCGCAATTGGTTTGAGCTTAATTTTATCAATATCTTTCAAAATATCGCCCATCGATTTTTGTGGAATCAATGGAGGTTTTTTTTTATCGTCAACAATATGATCTTGTAAACTTGCTCGTCGTGCAATATGCGGAGTTGTCGGTGGAGGTAGAGGCGGCGGTGGCGGTGGTGGTTTCATATCATTGTCCTTTCCGTTCACGAGCGACGGTTCTGTTAAGGTTTATTTTTTTTTTTTTAAATTCAAATTTCTTTTTATATAACCGACAATTTACATTATAGATTACATTAGTATGAATGACATCCTATAAAGGCGAAAAAATACAAATTTAGAAAAAAACGTATTTTTCTTACGGAATGACCCAAAAAAAAATCCAAAAAACAGTTATAACTTCTAAACAAATTAACGGATCGTTATGAAACTTGGTAATTATGTTCTTTGCAATGAATATACGGCCCTTAGAGGCTTAGTAATTATATTCTTTGCAATGAATTACATTCTGTATTACAGAAAGATACAAATTTAGGGGAAAAAACTTATTTTTATTACGGAATGATCCCAAAAAAATCCAAAAAACGGTTATAACTTCTTTAAAAAATAACGGATCCTTATAAAACTTGGTAGTTGTGTTCTTTGCAATAAATAACATACTTTAAAGATGACAAAAAAAAAAATTTAGAAAAAAACACATTTTTCTTACGGAATGACCCCAAAAAAATCCAAAAAAACAGTTATAACTTCTACAGAAATTAACGGATTGTTATGAAACTTGAGAATTATGTTCTTTGCAATGAATAATAGCCTTTAGAGGCGAAAAATGACAAATTTATGAAAAAAAGCGAATATTTCTTACGGAATGACCCCAAAAAAGTCCAAAAAACGGTTATAACTTCTTTAAAAAATAACAAATCTTTATGAATCTTGGTAATTATGTTCTCTGCAATGAGTAACAGCCTTTAGAGGCGAAAAAATACAAATTTATGAAAAAAAGCGAATATTTATTACGGAATGACCCCAAAAAAAACCGTTATAACTTCTTTAAAAAATAACGGACCCTTATGAAACTTGGTAGTTGTGTTCTTTGCAATGAATAACATACTTTAAAGATGAAAAAAATACAAATTCAGAAAAAAACGCATTTTCTTACGGAATGACCCCAAATAAAATCCAAAAAACAGTTATAACTTCTACAGAAATTAACGGATAGTTATAAAACTTGGGAATTATGTTCTTTGCAATGAATAACAGCCTTTAGAAGCGAAAAAATACAAATTTATTAAAAAAATCGAATATTTATTATGGAATGACCCCAAAAAAATCCAAAAAACAGTTATAACTTCTACAGAAATTAACGGATCGTTATGAAACTTGGTAATTATGTTCTTTGCAATGAATATACGGCCCTTAGAGGCTTAGTAATTATATTCTTTGCAATGAATTACATTCTGTATTACAGAAAGATACAAATTTAGGGGAAAAAACTTATTTTTATTACGGAATGATCCCAAAAAAATCCAAAAAACGGTTATAACTTCTTTAAAAAATAACGGATCCTTATAAAACTTGGTAGTTGTGTTCTTTGCAATAAATAACATACTTTAAAGATGACAAAAAAAAAAATTTAGAAAAAAACACATTTTTCTTACGGAATGACCCCAAAAAAATCCAAAAAAACAGTTATAACTTCTACAGAAATTAACGGATTGTTATGAAACTTGAGAATTATGTTCTTTGCAATGAATAATAGCCTTTAGAGGCGAAAAATGACAAATTTATGAAAAAAAGCGAATATTTCTTACGGAATGACCCCAAAAAAGTCCAAAAAACGGTTATAACTTCTTTAAAAAATAACAAATCTTTATGAATCTTGGTAATTATGTTCTCTGCAATGAGTAACAGCCTTTAGAGGCGAAAAAATACAAATTTATGAAAAAAAGCGAATATTTATTACGGAATGACCCCAAAAAAAACCGTTATAACTTCTTTAAAAAATAACGGACCCTTATGAAACTTGGTAGTTGTGTTCTTTGCAATGAATAACATACTTTAAAGATGAAAAAAATACAAATTCAGAAAAAAACGCATTTTCTTACGGAATGACCCCAAATAAAATCCAAAAAACAGTTATAACTTCTACAGAAATTAACGGATAGTTATAAAACTTGGGAATTATGTTCTTTGCAATGAATAACAGCCTTTAGAAGCGAAAAAATACAAATTTATTAAAAAAATCGAATATTTATTATGGAATGACCCCAAAAAAATCCAAAAAACAGTTATAACTTCTACAGAAATTAACGGATCGTTATTAAACTTGGTAATTATGTTCTTTGCAATGAATTACATTCTGTATTACAGAAAGATACAAATTTAGGGAAAAAAAACTTATTTTTATTACGGAATGACCCCAAAAAAATCCAAAAAACCAGTTATAACTTCTTTAAAAAATAACGGATCCTTATAAAACTTGGTAGTTGTGTTCTTTGCAATAAATAACATACTTTAAATATGACAAAAAAAAAATTCAGAAAAAAACACATTTTTATTACGGAATGACCCCAAAAAAATCCAAAAAAACAGTTATAACTTCTTTAAAAAATAACGGATCCTTATGAAACTTGGTAGTTGTGTTCTTTGCAATGAATAACATACTTTAAAGATGAAAAAAAATACAAATTTTGAAAAAAACGCATTTTTCTTACGGAATGACCCCAAAAAAAAATCCAAAAAACTGTTATAACTTCTACAGAAATTAACGGATAGTTATAAAACTTGGGAATTATGTTCTTTGCAATGAATAACAGCCTTTAGAAGCGAAAAAATACAAATTTATGAAAAAAAGCGAATATTTATTACGGAATGACCCCAAAAAAATCCAAAAAAGCAGTTATAACTTCTACCGAAATTAACGGATCGTTGTGAAACTTGGTAGTTATGTTCTTTGCAATATATTACATTCTGTATTACAAAAAGATACAAATTTAGGGAAAAAAAACTTATTTTTATTACGGAATGACCCCAAAAAAATCCAAAAAACTGTTATAACTTCTATAAAAAATAACGAATCCTTGCGAAACTTGTTAGTTGTATTCTTTACAATGAATCCCATCCTTTAGAGGCAGAAAAATACAAATTTATGAAAAAAAAGCGAATATTTGTTACGGAATGACCCCAAAAAAATCCAAAAAAACAGTTATAACTTTTTTAAAAAATAACGGATCCTTATGAAATTTGGTAATTATGTTCTTTGCAATGAATTACAGCCTTTAGAGGCAGAAATATACAAATTTATCCCCCCCCCAAAAAAAAACCGTATAATTATTAATGAATGTCCTGAAAAAAATCAAAAAAAAAAAAACACAAAAAATAAATAATAATTCAATAAATACCAGAGACAAAGTTACGTGTTGGTCCGTGTTTGGTACTTTTCACAATTGTCGATATTTGTTCACGTAATTCTTGTAATTCCTGTTCCAATGCAAGAAGACGTACCTCTGAACCAAAACTAATTGGCTCCAATAGATCTGGTTTGCTTGCTGACAAAAGACCACTGGAATTATTGATAAAAAAAAAAAAAAAAAATATTCCAAAAATTAAATTATTTCTATATAAATTTTTTTTGATGAAAAAAAAAATATATATATATTTATACCTTCCGGGGCCAAGACCATTTGATCCAGGTATATCATCGCTTATTTCTTCATTAATCATTGAATTTGTCATTGAATGAAGTGGTGTTACACTGACATAAATTTTTGGCGGCGGTTTTAAGGGAAGAAACGAGCCAATTCGTCGAACGATACTACGTCTTCTTCCATAATATTTCGGTGTTTCGCCCATCTTGTAAAATATATTATCATTTCAATATGGGTCAAAAAAATAAATTAAAATCAGATTAATTTTTGAGACGAATTTTTATTTATTCAAATTAGTATTTTTTTTTTTTGCAAAATTTTCATCAAAACTAATTTTTTTCTATATATTAGGAAAATTTTTCACTAACCGAAAATTCAATTTACAAAATTTTTTTATTTATTCGAATTTTTATTTGGCAAAAAATTTTCATTTTCTCGAATTTTCATTTAATATAATAGAGAATGAAAAATTTTTATTGGCTAGAATTTTTCCATTGCATAGAATTTTTATTTTATTCTTTCAAATGAATTTTCATTTGTTTCGAATTATTATTTGATATAATTTCCATAAAAACCGATTTTTCTGCAGAATTTTTAATCGAAAAATTATTTAACGAAATTTCTAATTTGATAAGAATTTTCATTTGTCCGAAATTGCAAATGACCGAAAAATTCGATTTTGGCGCGAATTTTAAATTATCAACCAATCAAAAAAATTATTCATAAAATTGTGATTGGTTGATAATTTAAAAATCGCGCCAAAATCAATTTTTCGGTCATTTTTGCAATTTCGGACAAATGAAAATTCTTATTAAATTAGAAATTCTGTTGAATGATTTTTCGATTATAAAAAAAAAAATTCTGCAGAAAAATCGATATTTTTATGGAAAAAATTATATCAAATAATAATTCGAAAAAAATGAAAATTCATTTGAAAGAATAAAATAAAAATTCTATGCAATGAAAATTCTAGCCTCATAAAAATTCTTTAAAATGATTGATTATGTTAAAATGAAAATTTGACGAAATAAAAATTATGACAAAAATTCAAATAAATTTGAAAATTTTGTGAAGTGAATTTTCGATTATTGAAAAATTCTCTATAATATAGAAAAAATCGTTTTTTGATGAAAATTCTGCAAAAAAAAAAAAAAAAATACTAATTCGATTAAATAAAAATTTGGCTCAAAAATAATTATGACAAATGAAATTTTATAAAATGAAAATTTTAACTAATAATTTTTTTAGAATTTAATCATGCGTTCCGTTTTATTAAATAAATAAGAAAAAAATATATAAAAAATAAAAAAAAATATTATAAAAATATTATTACTATATAATTTGAAATATTTTTAATATTTTATAATTTAAAAATTTTTTTTTTTTATCATTTTACAATTTTTAATATTTTTTAATTAGTGACTTACTTTTTGCTATAAATTATTATTTATTTATTTATTTAATAATTATAATTTATTATTAAAAAATAAAAAAAAATATTAAAAATAATAAAAACATGAAATATTAAAAATATTAAAAAATAGAAAATATTAAAAAAAATTTAGAAATATATATTAAATAAATATTAAAATAGTTAATTAATTTTAATTTAATTTCTTTAATTTAATAATTAATTTTTTAATTTTTTTTTATTTATAATTTATAATATTAATAATAATAATAGTAATAATAATAACAATAACAGTAATAATAACAATAATATTAATAATAATAATAATAATAATAATAATAATAATAATAATAATAAAAATACGTAAATTATTTATGAGGAAAAAAAAATATAAATTAATACCTAATTATAATTTTTTATTAAAAAAAAATCTACAAATTAATAATTATTACAATATTAAATTACAATTTTTTTATGATTGTAAATATTTTTATTTATTATTATTATTATTATTATTATTATTATTATTATTTAAAAAAATAAAAATAATATAAAAAATTATAATTATACTTAGCTAATAATAATAATAATAATAATAATAATAAATAAAAATATTTACAATCATAAAAAATTGTAATTTAGTATTGTAATAATTATTAATTAGTAGATTTTTTTTTAATAAAAAATTAATAATTATTAATTAGTTGATTTTTTTTTAATAAAAAATTATAATTAGGTATTAATTTATTTTTTTTTTCCTCATAAATAATTTACGTATTTTAATTATTATTATTAATTAATATAAATTATAAATAAAAAAAAATTAAAATTATAAAGGAAAATTTTTTTTTTTAATTCTTAAAATCTAAACAATAAATTGAGATAAATTGAGTGTTTTATTTAAAAAAAAAAAAAAAAAAAATTTTTATTTAATATTTATTTTGGTCTAGAGGAAAAATTCTTCGTGAATTAAAAATAAATTTTTTTTTTATTAAATGCGATATTTTTGAAACGAAGCCAACAGCTGATGGCAGGTTGTTGCAATGAATTTTTTAAATATATCAGAAAATATAAAAATTAAAAAAGAAAAATAGAGAAAATTTTATCGATAAACCATTTTTCTCTCGTGGAAAATTTATTACATCATCGATGACAATTATATAAACAGTTGTGTCTCATTTAATTAATCTCGTTTATATACACATATATAGTTACATATATATATATATATATACATATATTTATATATTCGTAAACTGGGCCATGTGAATATAGTTCGAAAAAATATATAATAAATTAAGAAAAGCAATAAAAATTCAATAATAATAAAAAAAAGGCACTATTATTTATATATTTAATAGAAAAAAAAAGAAACTTACCTTTCACATAGAATTGTTATATGCGTAAACTTTTGATAAAGAAAATTTTTTTCAAATTAAAATATTTACAAGTATCAAAAAGAAAAAAATTCTCTCTCTTTTTAAACACTTTTTTCTATTGAAATTCCATGTAAATTTTTAATCACAATATTCATGGCAATGCGCGTTTTCCTTTTTTAACAACAAAAATTGGAAAAAAAAAATTTCTTGTGACGCGCGCGTAAGAATAATTTTTCTTTTTTTAGGTTATGATGATAATGGTCTTCGAATTTCTTGTCGTTTGGGGAAATTTTTGGATATTATGTACCTGGAAATTGATTTAGAAGGGACTTTTTTTTTTTAATAGTCACTTTTGTTTACTTATATTTTCCCCTAGAATGCAAGTTGGTAATTTTCCATATTTAAACAAAGAAAACATCCAAAATGTGAAACATATATTTTAAAGCTGTTTTCACAATTCTCTACTAATTATTTTTTTTTAACTTCCCAACTCTGAACATTAAAACATTATCTACCCAACTTTGGATCCAAAGTGAGAGACGAAATTTGCCGAATGAAAAGGCCTGAGCAGAATAGAAACGTAACCGGAATCGTAATCGCAAACGCAACCGGAAGAATGAGTTAGAGAAGGATAGATAGATTGTTTGTCCTTCTCTAACTTATTCTTCCGGTTGCGTTTACGATTACGATTCCGGTTACGTTTCTATTCTGCGTTGGCCTAAACTGCCGAATACTCTCGTCTGCAATACCGAACATAATCGATAATAATCGAATTGTTCCGAGACGAGGAGAACAAGAAAAAATGTTTTTCTGAAATTATTTTTAATTAAATATATGTATATTAATATTCTATTATTTCAAAACTGTTAATATAGTTTAAAAATAAAAGGAAATAATTAATTAATGTAGAATTCTTCTTTAGTCTTTTTTTATTCAATTCATTCAAGTTTACAATTAATTACACACACAAAAATGGTAAGTTTTTGTTACATTTGTTTACAAATATATTTTTTCATATTTATTATAACTTTATAATAAAATATTTTATTAAAAGCGTTAATTATATAAAATATAAAGAAAGGAAAAAATTAAATAATTATTTTAACAATATTTCACGAATCTGCAATTTATTTCTCATAATACGATTTTGAGGTTAGGTTTCGAACGTTCCGCGGTTTTTTTTTATTTCCCGGCAAATTATTATTATTATTGTTATTATTACTATTACTATAATTTTTATTGCTATTACTATTGTTATTATTAAGTTATAAATAAATATTTAAATATATGATAAAATATATAAAAATATAAATATTTTTTTTTATTTTTAAATTTATTGATTTTATTATTCAAAAAATTATTATTATTATTAATATTGTTATTTATTAATTAATTGGAAATAATTAATTTTTATTTACGAGTTTGGAGAAAAATTAATTTTTTTTTAAAAAAATTAAAAAAAATAATAATTAATTAAAAATTTTTTTATTTTTATTAAAATTCTTATAAAAATTAATAACTAAAAAAATTAAATTGTGCATAATTTATTTTTAGTATTATCAAATTAAATTTAAATTTAATTAAGTAATTTAAATTTAAATTAATTAATTAAGTAATTTAAATTTAAATTAATTAATTAAGTAATTTAAATTTAAATTAATTAATTAATTAATTTTTATTTTAATTAATTAATTTATTAATTCTATTTTTTTTTTTTTTTTTTGATTAAAAAAATGTAAAAATTAATAATAATAAAAAATTAAATTTAAATTACAATAAAAATTTTAATTTTGAAAAAAATGTTAACAAATTTTTTAAATTATTTATATTTTGCAGTTATTCTACTCGTTCTTCAAATCTCTTATTGGCAAAGATGTTGTTGTCGAATTGAAAAATGATCTCAGGTAAAAATGTTTTTCTTTTTTTTTTTTTTAAAAAAAAAATTGTAGAAAATAAAAATTTAAATTAGAAGGAAATAATTTTTTTTTGTTTAATAAAATTTTATATTTATTTTATTTATTTTTCAGTATTCAAGGAACTTTACATTCAGTGGATCAGTATCTAAATATTAAATTAACCGACATTAGCGTTACGGATCCTGATAAATATCCTCACATGGTAATTATAAAAAAAAGGAGAATAGTTTTTTTTTTTATTTATTATTTCAAAAAGAAAATTAATTTTTAATTCAAAAAAAAGAAGAAAATAGATTAAAAAATTTTATTTTCTTATTTAAAAATATATTGAAAAAATTTATTTTCTTATTTAAAAATATATTTATAAAAAATAAATTTTAAATTTAAATAAATATTTTTATTAATTATTTAAATATTTTAATTAATTAAAAAAAATACATATATTTTATCTGAATAATAAATAAAATATTTTAATAAAAAATATTATTTATAATTTAAAAAATTAAATTTAAAATAGATAAATTAAAAAAAAATATATTCATTATAAAATTTTGAAATGAAAAAAAAAATTAATTAAAAGAAAAATGATATTTAAAAAAAAAAATAAATTCGTTTCTCTCTTTGTTTTTTTTTACAGATGTCGGTGAAAAATTGTTTCATTCGAGGTTCAGTTGTTAGATATGTTCAACTTCCTGGTGACGATATTGATACACAATTATTGCAGGACGCTGCAAGGAAAGAGGCTGCAGTTCAAAGTCGATAAAAATAAAAAGAAACGAAATTTTTTATTTTATTTTTTTAATTATTCAATTCAACGTAAGCCGCATATTATTTTTACTACTATTATTATTATTATTATTATTACAAATTTTTTTTTCACCACTTTTTTCTTTCTTTATTTAAACAATTTGAACAAAAATATACTCCAATTTTAGAGTATATATATATTTTTTGAAATTCAGATTATACTTTTTTTCGAATTCAAAGCAAAATGAAAAAAAAAAAATTACAAAAATAATATATAAGAGAAAAATAATAAAATATGACGAGAGAAATTATTTTGTACGTTGTGTACGAAAATTAAACTTTTGATACGAATTTAAACAAAAAGATTCTCTTTTTTTTGGAAATTTAGGGAAGGAGCTTTTCTCTTTTTTCTTTTTCAAGACTATATTTTTATTTTTAATGGAAAACAAAAATTTGTTTTTATTTATTTAAAAAAGAAAAAAAACGGAAACAAAACAAATTTCCATATTTTTGTTTAAATACATTTTATGTGGAATTTTTATTTTCACGTTTCTCTTTTAATAATTTACAATTCAAATTTGAATTTTTATAATTCTTATAAATTTTTATATTTTTTCAATTGAAAAAAAAAAATAATATCGTGTTATTGAATTAAAACAAACAAACAAGCAAAAAAAAAAAAAAAGGAAAGAAAAATATAAAAATGAATTTATTTAAAATTTTTCTGACAAATTGAACGTTTTTATTTTTTCTTCATTTTTTTTCTCAATTCTTTTTCGTTTATTTTTCTGCATTAATGACGAAAGCTCTCGCGTGCTCTTTGCGTGTTAATATTCATTCCCAATAGGTATGCAGTGTAGGTTAAAGAATTACGATGATTTTTATCATATATACACGAGTTGTACAATTTTATTTCCAATGCACTAAAATTTTTTCACTTTTTATTTTCTTTAAAAAATTAAAAAAAAAAAAAAAAATTCTCAGTACTAATTTAAATATTCAAAAGATGTGATTAAATATTTTTATTTATTTTTTTTTTAATTTTTATTAAGTATTTTAAAAATTAATTTTTATAAACAAAATATCTCGCGATATATTTTAAAAATAATTCCATAAAAGAACATTTTTTTTTTTTGTTGAAAAAATACAATTAAACTATTTTTATAAAATAATAATAATTATTATTATTATTGTTGTTATTATTATCATAACGATAATATTTTAAAAAAATAATAATTAATTATTTTAATTAGTTACATTCATAATTTTTACAATTGTCAATTTTTTGACAATTATTACAATTTATTAGAATTTACCTTTTTTAAATTAATTAAATTAATTACAAAAGTCACATAATTAAATATGAATATTAAAATAATATTTTTTCTACATTTTTTTTTTGCAAAATAAATTTCAATTTGAAAGCATCTTGTTATGGGTGCGTTATCCATAATAATAAAATGCAACGTGACCGGCAGCTCTAATTTTCATTATGTAGCGCCTAAGGTCCTTCTCCTTTTACCTTATTCCAATTTTCTCATATTAAATCCACAAAGATTTTCATTATTATAATGCACGGATAAAAATACTGGAATTTAATAATAATATTATTAATATTATTACCATTATTATATATGATTTTAAATAAATAATTATTATTATTAAACAATTAATAAATAAATAAAAAAAGTAAATTTATATTACTAAAATTTATTAAAAATAAAATACGTAATAACATAAAAAAAAAATTACCAATAAAAAATGTTTTAAAAAAATTATAATTGTAAAAAAGAAGTTGAATTTACATTCATCTCATAAATATTTTACTTCCTTGATACGATAAACAAAGAAAAAAGAATGCTTCTTAGAATAATAAAAATGAAACCCTATTTATTTGTTGTGATTTAGATAACGATAATATAAATAATAATAATAATGGCATTAACCTTTGTTTGACACACTGGGGTACAAAATACCCCACGTTTTTCCATTCTTACCAATTTTTCTCGAAATACCTCACGTTTTCCAATTTTTTAAAAATACTTACTTTAAATATTCTACTATATAACTTATATAGTTTTCAGAAGATACCTCTCAAGAATATGTAAAAAAAAATTGAAGTAGATATATTTAATATTTTATTTTTCATGATGATTTTTGTCGATGGGGTACAAAAAACCCCAATGTGTCAAGTATGATACTCAGAAAAAGTGTGTCAAGTAAAGGTTAATAACAATAAAAATATAATTATTATAACTATTATAAAATAGAGAAACAAATTTTAAATAAAAACAAGTTAGCGAACCGATAGTGGCCATTAAACCACCCCCCCCCCCCAAAAAAAAAAAAAAAAACAAGTTTCAAGTGAATTCAGCCATTGAGAAAAAAATCATTCGCCATTTTGGATCCGCCATTTTTAATTATGAAAATTTAATATGAAATTTGTAATCAGCGACCTCAAAAACCCTCGAGTGATGAGTTTTAAGAATATTTGACGAATTTTGAAAAAAAAACCGCCATATAGGATCCGCTAATTTCAATTTCAAAAATCCGACCTCAAATTCGTAATTAGTGATCTCAAAAACCTCCAAATAACGATTTTTGAAAGAATTTGAGTAATTTTAAGATTTTTCAAACGCCAATATGAATCCGCCATTTTGAATTTTAAAAATCCGACATCAAATTCGTAATTAGCGATCTGAAAAATACCCGAGAAACAATTTTTAAACGAAATTGAATGATTTTTAGAATTTTCAAACCCTATTTTGGATCCGCCATTTTGAATTTTGAAAAATGAACATTACACTAGTTATCAGCAACCCCGAAAACCCCCGAGAAACAAGTTTTAGACAAAATCTGACGAATTCGAAAAAAATTGTTCGCCATATTAGAACCGCTATTTTTTATTTGAAAATCAAAAAAAAAAAATTTGTAATTTTAATGCAAATTCTTGCACAAAATACTCCTAAAAGTGTAGACAAAAATTGACAGCCAAATCCGAGTAGAGGAACACACCT